TTTTAATAAAGGATTTGCTTCTATAATCTAAATGTTTTTAAAACAAATGTTCTTAGGATAAAGAATTCTCTGACCTTTATGTTATGTAGTAAAACATGCCATCTTATTATAGATTAATGTCATCTTAGTAGAGATGTCATAAATACCAAAAAGAATGAAAGAAAAGAACCATAAATAGTAATACAAATCATATACTGTATATATACTAAGAGAGTTTTTTTTATCCTTTTAGAATATTAACTTAAACAGAAATAAATAAATAAATAAAAACTTAGTTTTGACATTAAATCTATCTTTACTAAATTAAAACAGCTGTTTGAGGCCTCTCATGGCATCTCACAGTTTCTAGCAGAGAATGCCACGTGGAGGAGGAAATAACAGCTTCGAGAAGCAAAAAGAATTCGGGCCTCCATTTATTAATTCGGACCTCAGTTTCTTAAACGTTAGCCCACAGAACAATATGTCTCTTAAAAAAGTCTATTCCTCTTCGTCGTCCTCTTCTTCGATAACGCACCGAGACTTGAATCGATTCATCTCTCTAATCTAATCGGTTTCTCATCTTCAATGTCCACTCCCTCTTTCGAATTTATGGCACCTCCAACTTTGAGATCCTATAAAACCCACAAACTTCCCATCTCTTAAGTTTCAAGCTCCTCTCATCTCTCATAACTTCCTCATGTAAATTGATTTCGTTTCAATAGTTAAATTCAGTTCCAAATACGATTTCCACTCTCAAAATCTACGGAGAATCCAGCAAATCATTGGTAAGCTATCGTTTACGTCTTATACTCCTCTTCAATTGATGGGTTCCTGAGATCTGCGTTTTTTTTCATCCCATGTAAACGCATCAGCCCAACTTGAGAAGCAATCGAGTCGCACGATGGTGAACATGACCTTACGTTGACCCAATCAGAAGTGGATCTGAACGTAATCCTAAACAGATCTTGATTATGTAGAGGACTGAAGAAGAAGCTATTCCTCACCTCAAAAGTGGACCGCAGCATCATCCATCATGCAAGTGCTTTTACTTTGTTTCCAAGTATTATTTGGATGTGATCAACTGAAGAAATGTATAAGTGACTTTGTTGAATGTGACTGTAAATTTTGCAGGTTAAGACTACTCTTCAGGTGTTGACTCTACAACGAGAGACTGACAAGGTAACCCAAACCAAAACATCATATACGACTCACATTCTTTTTTGGAGGCATAGTATAATATAGCATGTGGATAGGTTTCAAGATCTGATGAGTGATGAGTTTTAAGCAAATATGTCTCATTTTCCTGCATTTTGGTTCAGGTTCTAGCGAGGAAGCATATGACAGCTTTCGCACCTGATCTTATACATTCCCTTGATGGGTCTCACATGATGATAACAGCAGTTGCGGGTTTGAGTTTTGCAGGTCATTTCCAGTTTCTAAATTCATTTACTGAAAGTGTTTGTTCATTATATCTTCTTTACCCTTAAATTTCGATTTCTAGATTCGTAGTGCATGTGATGTTGATGTAATGAACAGAATACTCAGAGAGAAGTTTGTTGAGCTCTACGAAAAGCCAATCTTAGAAAATGTAAAAGAATCAAATTATAACATTACATATTCATTTTTGTCACTTTTCTTATAAACTGAATTCGTTGATGGATTGGTTTATCTGTGTATTGATAGGTGGTGGAGAGTTTCCAGAAGTCCTTCCCAAGCCTAACTTTTCCGCCATTACCATACCGAGGCGACTTTGATCTGAGATCAACATACTTCTTCAACTGAGCTGCAGCGTATTTTCAGGTTACAAAGGAACAAAGTAGCTGTTCTTGAACATACACTCCACCAAAGCCAAGGCAGGTGCGGCGGTTTTCACCAGTTTCATGAACTCCATAACCGTAAGGAGATGTCTCAGAATCGGATCTTTTTCGATAACTTAAGCAGCGGAAATAGGCAAGCTTGAGTCTATGTCCGAGGGAAGTGTCTCCGGCGTGAAAAGAGGAAAACAAGTGGGTGATGAGGGAGCTGAGGAGGACCTTTTCTGGGAGAGAAGAAGCGTCTGTGACGCCGTCCATGCGTGTATACTTATAAACTTGATATGTATGTATAGGCATTTTAACATTATCAAATATTTAGTGGAGAAAAATATTAATTGTGTAAGAGGATTTTCTGTGAATTCCCCCGGTTTTGTCGCATTATCACCACATCAATCTGCATATTCCTTATAGCAAAAGCATCCGTTACTTAAGGTCCATTGTGTTTAATGTTTGAAGGAACTTTCAATCTCCAAAAGTGTAATGAGTTTCAGGTATTAGAGACCTGTGTTTTTTTAAATACGTTCGTTGGAAATCTTATAGTCTATTCAATTTGTTTACTCTCCTTTTTATGTGACTCTATGAGGGAGGCTTCAATTTAAGCGTATTTTCCAAGCCTATTTTCTTTTTATATGTTTTTACTTCATAAACAATTAATTTATAGGTAGAGAGAGCTAAGAGATCCAACTCTTTATGTCACTTTGGCTCTTTATATTGGCATCTCTTTTGTTTCAAGGTGAATCCAATTTCATTTATTCCTTTATTATATTTTCTAACACAGGAAAGTAAAAACAGAAAATAATAGAAAAGGAAACAAAGTGAAATTGATTTTGAGCATAAATGAATATGGCAAAAAGAGAGGGATGAAAATATTACAACATGTGTCAATGATATTATCTAATTTGGCTGTTTTTGAATTATGGATTTTGGTTTTTATGAGACAAATAAAATTGTTCACTTTACTTCATGAATCCAACAATATATTTGCAAAATGTGATATTTAAGAACATTTTAAGGTTGTAAACAAGATTAACATTGAAAAAGAAATGTTTATGGATTTAAACACAAGTATAAGTAATTAAGTCAAATCATTTCTGTCTAACTTCCTGCTTAACAATAGATTATAGAGCCTCAGAACTATTTTAAATTAAAGTATTGTGTTTCCTTCTTAGTAATGTTCTCGATAAATAATTTTTTTGATGAAAATAAATATTGGAATTACTACAAGCACCAACGGGCATACATTAAGGGTATGAGCAAAGGATCAAGAAACCAAGTCCATGGCTGTCAATGAGAAATTAAATTATTTTCTTTGACCACTATATAATAATATATTTTGCAAAGTTTATTTTTGTAAATAAAGAACAGTTTTGTATTGCCAAAGGTATTTGCTCTTTTATACAGAACAAGATGTGAATTATATACTCTTATTTGGATCTATAACAAAACCAGAGTTAAACAAATCATAGAACTAATCATCAAAAAATTTAGAGTATATTGGTGTGTCCTAGATCATAATAAATAACTCAAAATTAAAATAGATAAATCGAAAACAGAAATCTATTAACAATAATCAAATATTATTTTGAAAAGTAGTCCGACAAGATAATTTAAACATATATTTCAAATTTTGGCTTAGCCAATACTTTATACTTTCAACTCAAAGAAATTCGAAGATTGAGCCACCATTTATATAATTGTTAATTTATAAAATAACTTTAAAATGTATTATAATTAAAATCTTGCATTTGAAGTATTAATTTAAAATTAGCAAATTAGTATACCAAAAATTATTTGTCGGATCTTTATGAAAGGATCAATTTTAAATGCAAAATAACATAAAACCGAAGGATCAATTCCCATTATCGAAAACAACTAGGCAAAGGCAGTTTATTAGTTTCGTCGATCTCCTTTTTTATTATGAGGTTAAAAAAAGTTAAAAGATTTAATTAAAAAAGATTAATAGATTAACCATACAGTTATTCATTATTCATATGTAAAAGATGTTTGGTTGGAAAATTTTGGATTAAGAGAGATTGTTAAATTTTGGATTAAGAGAGATTGTTAAAGCAATATAATAAATTAAATTAAATTTTTAAAAGTTAAGAATAGGTATATTGTATTTAGACAATTGTAATGAGGAAAACTATATACTAAATATTTTCAAATTTTAGCTAAACAAAATGCAAATTTTATAATATGAAACTCGCGCGTAGCGGAATAACACCATATATTATAGGAGTTGCCTAGGGCCTCTTAGGCCAGCCAACATTTTTGCCTTTTCTTTCCCACACGCTGCCACATCAGCAGCGTTTAAAAAAAAAAACGAAACCAGCTAAAGCCCAAGCAGATACGAATAACTCAGTCTAAGAAGCACAATAAGAAGCCCAGTAGTTTAGCGAAGCCCATATCTATAACATTCCATAAGACGATTCATCTCCTCCTACACTCCTTCGTTACAAACGACAGTTTCACAGCCGAATCGATTCAACTCGCTTACCGTAACCGCTTCGGCGTCTTCATTGCCCACTCTCTATTTCGATTTTATGGCCACTCTAATGGGATTCCTCACCTTCAGACCCTATATAACCCTCGACTTTGCAACCCACAAGATGCACCGAAACTTTGTAACTCATCTTCCAAAACACACTCCGTCGATGGCATCCAAAGCTCATTTATCTGTTTTTCTTTTTCCACCAGAATTTGTTCACTTTGGAGATCTCAGCAAAAAGATCTGACTGGCGTTCATTTGGGTAAGATTAACGCTTTTGTTTCTCCCTGTATAAATGAGCAATTTTCCGTCATATATGTATTGATATCTATTTTATGGTCTTTGTTGCATATAGTGGATCATTCTTATGGTTATTTAGCCTTCAATTATTTAGTTCTTCTGTAAAATTTCAGGCACCAAATCTTTGAGATCTGTACCAATATCAAACAAGAATGGAGCAACATGTTCGACGAACCTCATAGCCATTTCAGATTTGGGTTTAGTTTCAGTTCGAAATCGATTTTTTTTTTTTTTGAACAAAGCTTTCAATTTAAATTGCAAGAGAAGAAAATAATACAAGCCAGCCTGGCCTTAGTTTGTTTGGTACTAGCCCATAATAATAAAAACAACCCAATTAGAAAAGGAACCGTAATAACCCAAAAGATAGTAAGAAAGAGAAATTGGATCACACCGAGAAAGCAAATCGACGCAAGCAGAAATCAGACTGATGAGGTGGAGAACCACAACTGAATCATCTCGGAAGCTTGATTTGAGTTCACATCACGGAGGCTAGAGCAGCGGTTACGAATTAGAGAATCAATGGAGGAGATAATTGAGGATGCTGATCTGAAGGCATTGCGGTGGAGTCGAGCGTTTCGTTCAGTCCAAATGAAGTAGATGGCACATTGCCAAACCAGAAGTGTCAGTTTACGCTTTGATCTTCTTCCCTGAAGCTGCTGCAAGTGTAAGAGAGTTGAATCCCAAGATTTTGAAGGGATTATTCCACAGCGTGACCCGAGATGTCCCCAAATTGACCAACTGAAGCTGCAATCGAAAAATAGATGATTTTTGTTCTCAGCGCAGCGATTGCAGAGGAGACACATGGGATCAACCAGTAAACCCCAATTGAGCAGACGATCTTTAGTTGGAGATCTGTTGAGAACGAAGAGCCAAGTGAGGAAGCTATGCTTTGGGATACCACCGGAGTTCCACACCGACGTCTTCCAAGGGACAATCGGAGCATGAGCCTTCAACGAATCATACATTTTTCCAGTAAGGTACTTGGTCCAGACGACATCATCACAGATCCATTCGTAATAGTCCTCTGTATCTGATAGAGATAGAGTAGTTAGGTGGGATTGAAGAATCACCTGGTTTTCGGAACGTGCAGGGGCCAAATTCCAGTGACCGTTGCTGTATAAGTCATTGAGTGTGGTGAGAGTGCCAATTCTCATCCTCCTAGTAGTTTCCGACTGTAAGAAATTTCGGAGATCGCCAAACGGAGACCAATTGTCTGTCCAGAATCTTGTGTTTTTTCCATTGCCAACTCGACGCTTGATCCAGTTGTAAGCCGTATCTCTGATTTTGATTAGCTTGTTAGCTAACCAAGAATGTTTTTGTTTTACTTTGCAGGTCCAGTAATTGCTCAATGAACCCTGCAAAACTTCATTAACGTACCAAGCCACCCAGATCGAACCAGAGTTGCAAAACAGAAGCCACACCAGTTTCAATGTACACGCCTTATTCCAGGTAACTAAGTCTCTGCATCCTAGACCTCCTTCCTCCTTTGATAGTGTTATTGTTTCCCAAGCAACACGAGCTGAATGGTGTCCTTCTGTAGTGCCTTGCCATAGATAAGCACTGCAGAGGGAGTTGATTTTTTTGACACAGGCCTTTGGGATTACAAAGGTGGAGCACCAGAAATTTGTGATCCCCGCAATTACTGTTTTCAACATCAAGAGTCTTCCTGCAAATGAAAAAGAGCGCGCGCTCCAGGAGTTGATTTTTCCTTTTATGTGTTGCAATAGAGGTGCACAATTGAGAAGAGACAGTTTCTTTGAAGAAAGAGGAATTCCAAGGTAACGAATTGGCAGAGAGCCGTGAGTGAGTCCTGTTGTTGAGCTGATAACTTGAATCTCAGACTCTGAAAGGCCAGAGGAGAAGAATGACGTTTTTTGAAGACTGACTGCTAGACCCGAGAGGCGCTCAAACTCTTCCAAAATCTGAAGAATATTCTGCACTGAGCTGAGAGAGCCATCTGTGAAGATCAGGAGGTCATCAGCAAAACAGAGGTGAGTGAGTTTTGATGTTTGACACTTGTGGTGGTATTCGAAATCGATTTTTACTTGCAAAGTATGTAACTCCTTCTTTGCTTGAGAAATCCAGTGGACCATAGGTACGCTATTGCCTTCCTTCTTCTCAATCTCTTCAACTTATGGGTTTTCAAAATCAGGACCTGACCCGTATATTGAATTCATTTGTTTTTCTCACGTCCATGCATCCTAAAATGCTATACACATTGATAGAAGTTTTCTCTTAATGTAAAGAATAATGGCATGGAGCATATTCCAGCCAAGCTTGGAGACTCAGATCAACCAAAGAAGAGGAAATATGGAAGTGCATAAGCATGATTGAAGGTATTATAGATTCTGGCTTGCCTTATCTGGATTTCTTATGTGCGGCAAAATTAGATTTATTTTTACCCTAAGAGCACAAGTAGTGTTACGTGTTTCTTCTCTTTCCATGTGACATCACCAAAGGATGGTTTGGAACTTGAACCAACTTTGCTCTTGTGCTTTCCATTTGGCCCTACATAATCTAACGTTCAACTGTTTTTTTGAAACCCCAGGTTTGCTTTTGTAATGTAGCAGCATTACCATTGCCTTGCATATACTCATGAACAGGACCGGTACTTTCTATGTGATAGAGAGACACTTCAAGCTGCAACCACATGTTCTTCTCTTCTAGAAACGTTAAAGCAATGAGAAGAAAAAAAAACAAAGAAACTGGAGATCTCCCCAAGTACATACAATAAAGGAGATAGAGCGAAAAGCCAAGAAGAAGAAGTTTTGTGGTGTGATCTACTCATCAATGGTTTTACGAGGAAGAAGATTGTCTTAAGATTAAGCCTCAGTGTTTTCTGTGCAAGAGGTTTTTATGTTTATAATGTAGTTTACTTGGTTAAATAATTATCACATTAAGATTAAAGATTATATGTTCATATATAGCAAAGCTGCCTTCTATTTTTGTGCGTCAATCTCCATTGATGGTATCATTCAAACTATTAGCAAATTGGAAGACATAAGTTAGGAGAATACGTGCACTCTCAATTCTTTCGAGCAAAATATGACATCCCAATGACGAGAGAAACAACAATTCACACAGTCGAGGATAAATTGCCGAAGATACCTATCAACAACTTCTGGCAAAGCCTACAACTACCAATACTAAGTACTAGAGTTTGACCCGTGCCCTGCACGGGGTGATAGTTTCTGAATTTGTATTTTTATTAAAAATTTTATTTAAATATTTCGACATTTTATGCGAGAGATTTTTAACCTTTGTTATTCGTTTATAGTATGGAAATTAGGCATTTTAATCCATTTAAAAAAAGAAATAAATTAAAGCATTGATCGTAACCACATATTAAATATGATAGATTTAACCGAGATACATAAAACTCAAATAACTATAATATAATAAGATAGTTTAAAGAAAAAAATTGAAAATAAAACATTATTCTTTAGAAAAATTATACATCATGTATTTCATAAGATAAAAAGTTTTAGCTGTGTGGACACGGATTAGAACTAATTTTTTTCTTTCTTTCAAAACTAAAACATGCTTTATTATAATTTCAAAACAATCCAACCAATCAGAAAATAATATGCAGAATCCAAATTGTCAAAACAGCAAAAATATAATTAATTTTGTATAGAAAGTTGAAACAGATAGAGTAATATTCAAAAGTTTAATCAAAATAAAATATTTATAAAAAGAACTTTTTTATTCGATTTATTATAGATTTTAATTAAAAAACCATATTAAATGAAAAAAAATTACCTTTGGATACCTACTAAATGAGGTTATATACGAAACAATTTATATTATTTTGTTTTTAAAAATTCAAATCATAACATGTACAGAAAAAGTTTTAGATTTTTTTGATAGATTTTTTATATTGTGATTCAAATTATTTTATTAAATAAATTTAAACAAAGATGATAGAAGATGTATACTGATTTTAAAAGAAATTATTATGATGAATTAAATTGAATCTCATATCTTCCTTATTTACTAATTTTCGTAGTTGCCAATTAAGGAAAGAGAATGATAAATTTAATTTCATTATTTGGTTGTAAGCATAATATGCAATGGCATATATTGTAATTTGTCTAGTAAAGCTTGTCTTAATTAGAAATTGCTCTAAGAGTGAACCTAGTGATGACACCTAAGCAATGACATTCTTGTTAATAACACATTAGACAAAGGTTATTTAGTTAGTGTTTTCTAGGGATATGTGATACCAAAAAAAAGTTACCATGTAAGCCTTCTACATTACATACATAAATAATAAATAATCAAATCAAACAGTTATTCATCATACAAATTTAATTAATGTTATTTAAAGAATGTGGTCGGCAAGATAAACTCCGAATAATGTGTATCCCTATAAATAAAACTATTTTGTTCGTTTGTTCAGGGATACGAACCTAAACTCAAAATTCTATGACATGGATGGCAGACAACAGCGCATTTCAAGAAACTGGGAAATGGACGGGGACTAATGCACCAGAATCTTATACTTGGGATAAATTAATAAACACTAGGAGAGCACCCACGCAATGCGCGGGTTATTTATTATTTTATTCTTTTGTTAAAGAGTTTACAATTGGAATGAATATTTGTTAATTAATTTGACGTCATTGGTTATGCTTCTTGTGTTATTTTAAATATTAATATTTATTTGTTGATTATAAGAATGTAATCCATTGATTATTTTTGGCGCATTTTGTTTTCAAAGTTAGGTCGTCAAGCAAATTATTCTTCTAGTAAAATACTTTTGCGCCACAGTTAATTTTTGATCACATATATTATTGGAAATTATATTTGAATAATACCTTAGACTGAATATAGAAAATTCTGAAATGATTTCATTATTAAAATTTGAAACATTAGAATGTTGTAAATTTTGGTTCTTGCTAGAACATAATTTCAACTATTGCTATGCAAAGTAAAGGTTTTTAATGGGAAAACATTATTATGCTGTGTTTGATTCAAACATAGTAAATACTAAATACTCAATAAGCCCAGCAAAACCCTCAGGTTATTATGAGGCCTTGTATCCAACTGGTTTAACACCTTTCTTAACTCACTTTTCTATCGATCCTATAAAGATAATCTGGATAGCCAAAATACGTGGTGAATCTGAGAAACTTAGAAACTGGAATCACCGAAGTAAGAAACAGTTTAGATCAAAGCTCCTACCTCCGTTTTAGTATTTAATAAACCAAGTAAAGAAAAGCCATCTTCAGTTAGCTATTAAGTCCCTTCTCTATCCTATAGCCAAAAGGCTTCTGAGTTCCGACTAAACAAATGGTTTACAGAGATTAGTATTTCCAGATTACTCAGAAGCGAATGGAGTTACATTTACTTCTAAAATATCAGTGATTATAACTTAAAATCTACCTCATTAGTATAGGTAATGAAGTACCTGACTGAAATTCTAATTCACAGTCCATAACAGCAACACCAAATAGTATAATTTGATCTTTGAAGTGGGTAATAAGTTCAGCCATTAACCACACCTTCCCGACGTAACCGTGGAGAGTTTAGTCCATAAAAGCTACAGAGTGAAACCAAAAGAACAACGAAGACAATAAGTGATCAAAAAATATATTGAAACATAGAAACAATCAAGTGAAGAGCCTTATATCTATATGGAAGGAAAAAAATGTGTTGGATAATATCTCTGGGCTTCACTTTGTCTTTTTGGTCTTGTGATTATTGATTATAAGCAAGAGAGATCAATTTTAAAAAGATGATAATTATATCAAGCGTCAACCAATTTGTTTGGGAGCTAAATACCCATCCTTAATCAATACGATATAAGAACTACATCTTTACGATGAAACCAAAGGTTGATATGGGTGCATAAAAACGAAATATAGAGCAAATGGCTTACTTTTCAGATAATGATAGACAAATTCCATGGAGAAACAGAAGAGCATATTCAAATGTTCACTCTTCGAGGCAAAATTTTGTCGGATCTTACATACAAACTTAATCTTCCTTTATGTTTTGAATAATGCACACACAAACATCATCTTCGAAGACCAGCTCATGACCTGCAATAAACACAACCAATTACTTAAACTTTCATTAGAGATTGGGATCAGTCATTAACTAACTAACTAACTAACCCAGTTGTTAAGTTTTTTAGATGAATGATGGGACTTGCTTCTCGCTGTTGTAGAGTTTTGAATTGTTCTTCTACTATAATGATGAGCCAAATTGTTGGTGGCATCATCATTTTTTAAGAACTGAGAAGTATCTGATAATAAACAACATTAACAAGAACTCAAATAAAAAATGAAACTTTATAACTCGAATGAGAAAGCTAAATATAAACTTAATTAGTGTAAAGAGACTAATCTACAAATGAATATGAGAACCCACCCAATTAAAAATCAAAATCATCTGAAGCGGGAACAAAACCTTATGGGTTTAGTCTGACTCATGATGAGGAAGGAAGATCATAGCTTGAAGGAGAATCGTGATGTCCTTACAGTTACGGAGGCATCTGACATTTTTATGGAGCGAGGTCCCTGAGGCCTGAACCATGGCGAGACAAAGTTGAAGCTAAGGACCAGTCGGTGAGACCCCAACCGTATGCGTTACAAAACGCTAGAACAGGTGCGATGATGTACGTTGTCAAGATGTGGTACCATTTGAGCTGAGGGAAGATGTGTGACACAGTGATGATTGAATTTGAGACTATAGCCATGATCACGTAACCGGATATAGCCATCCAAGATGGGATTCTGTCTTTGATGAAAAGCTCTGTTCTTCCTTTGTCGTCGTAAGATATGGTTACGGTGGTTGGTGATGATGAACGGTCGTTAACCGGCAGAACGTCTCTGTTCTTGATTTGTGTGTATAGACCGACGACGGTCCGGCCTAGGACTTTGATGAAGTTGTAGAGACCGTCACCGACTCACCGTGAACCATGGCGAGGGTTGGAGAACCTAATAATAGCGAGCTATGAGAGTTTCTGTGCTAGGACCTATTACTAAATCCTTGCAATTGACGGAGGAGGGAAGATGCTAAGACGGACCCTAACCATGGTGAAGTTTCGCGAGCTGAGGTTACTGATTTGGGAACGGAAGAAACATTTTTTTGTGAATCGGATATTCGAAGGGGAAAGCTGGGTTAACTATTAATATATAGTGGAAGAGGGGAATGAAAGGGAAACGAACATTAAAGATCGAGTTAAAGCCATCATCGTTGGGTCCTTGTAACGGCTCGGGACGGTAGACAGATCGTCGAACCCACCGCCCCGACAGGAAGAGAGAGAGGGAGAAGACAGGTTTTTGTGTAAAATTATATCAAACCTAACGCTGTCGTTTTGGAGTCATTGGGAAGGGGGCGAAAACGACGTCGTTGGGTTATTAGGAGTAGTGATTTAAAAAAAAAAACCCGGCTGATGTGGCACTCTCTGGGAGTGCTGACGTGTCATCTCATCAGCTGAAGAGTGTCACAAGCCCTTCCCTTTCAATTATATAGATTTGGAAACCCAATTTTAAAACACCCGAAATACCAAAGGGTGTCTTATAAGTGTAAACGTCTTACGCTGAAAATGGGAACCAACCTTCTTTGCTTCACGTTGTTCGTTAATCTCTTTTCATCCATTAGTTTCTGAATATTATTTAACGTTCTTTGCCATGCTTTACATGCTTCCGGTTGAATTTTAATATATATTTTGAAAGTTTATAACAACAACCCGGGCTTGGCCCGGGGCTTCACCTAGTCTATAATATAAAGGTTGACCAACTTTCTTTAGTTGAGCGTTATGTTAGCACAGAAAAGAGTGATATGTGTCCTCTAAAATATATAAAAGAATTGACGATTCGAATTCTTCCTTAACACCTTGACATGAGATATGAAACTAACATATTTTCAAACAACTTCAAAATATTTTTGAATTCAAAAATATTTATAGCTGAGCGTTACGTTAGCAGATGAATGAGGGACATGTGTCTTCTAAAATATGAAAGAAATCGAAGATTTAAATTTGGAACCAATACTTCAACAAATGTGGCATGACAAAATATAAACAAATTTCAACAGCTTCAATAAAATTAATCAAGTCATATTTGAATTCAAAAAAATCTTTAGTTGAGAGTTACTTTAGCACATGAATGAGGAACATGTGTCTTCTAAAATATGAAAGAAATTGAATATTCGAATTCGGAACCAATACTTCTTCAACTTGACATGAGAATGAGACAGAATATTAACCAATACTCAAAAACAGAATAGTAACATTTGGTATTACTTGACCAAAACAAATACGTATGACATTAACTTGAAACTGTATGTATGACCTTAACAGTTACATAATTATATGACCATGCCGTATAACTTATTGGTTGGTTAGAAAGTAGAAACTTAGAATGTATAGTTAATCAGTTAATGCAATAGCCCTGCATTACATGGGTGTTTTCCCCTCATAGTTTATGTTGTTTACAATCTCAAATACTAAAGTTGACAGAACACCATAAATGTCTCTCGATAATAGTCAAATATTGAGCCCAAACTAAATACATGTTGGCGATATGGGCTGAATTTACAAATTGCTAATTTCATAAACTATATCATTTCAAATTAATTTTTCTTGACCTTTTATTTGTTGATCGTCTCCTATGTATTCATTACCCAAATTACATGGTAACTCTATAATCGCTTTATTATCTTCCGACTGGACTTTTCTGATTCTATCACATCCAGCGCCAAAATTATCATAGGAAAAACCATAAAAACCTATAAAATTTCTATCATTCGTCACCACGTATATTTTTGCTTTTCCATTGTTCTCATAGAACTGACACTAATTTTGAAGTACCTTAAATACGCTTTTAGCATATAGTGGACAGTAAAATTGAAAAACAAACAAAATCAGCTTTCTGTCAAATACTCCAAATATTCTTCCCTGGAGGCTGGAGTATATGGTATGACTTGTGCTTAGACTAATTGTGAAAGACTGAGAGGGAACGAATCGTGGGATAGATTTTTTAAACACTGGAGTAGTATATCTATCTCTATTATAAAAGATGGTGAACTCTCTCCATATGAGAGACATGTGACCAATCTCCTACTTTCAATAAAAAAGACATGTGGCACGTCCTTTTATTAAATTAAAAATTTCAATTTGGTCCCTAAACATTTGATTTTCTAAGAAAAAAACACAAATTAGATTATGCAATCGCCATCGGCGCATTCGCCAGCGCCGATAACCAAGCTGACAACGGCAATAACCCTTCCGTCTTCCTCTACAACACTCTCATCTCCTCCATCGTCTCTAACCACCAATCCACTCAAACCCATCTCGCGTTTTCTCTCTACGCTCGGATTTTAACCTCTAGATCCGCCGCGATCAGACCCATCCAATTCACCTACCCTTCTCTCTTCAAAGACTCTGGCTTTCAACCATCGGTGGCATCGCCATGGAAGAGCTCTTCATGCCCATGTTTTGAAATTCATCGAACCAGTTAATCACGATCGGTTCGTGCAAGCTGCCCCGGCCTCTCCACTACTCCTCCGGCGTGGTCTCGATCCAATCTTCCCGCCGTCTCCGTATGGACCACATCGTCGATTAGTCATACCGAATATTAGGGTTCCTCTTCTCCTTTCGGGAACTTTCGTTGACTCTCAATCACAATGGGCCCAAGACATATTGGGTGCCGTGTCCAAAAAAATAAAACGCTGTGGTTTCGTCTCTTTCCTTTACATCGGCAAGTTCTGAGTTCTGACCGACGATTGGAGTTCTCATCTCATCTCTTTGCCGTTTCTATTTCTCGCCTTAAAACCCCCTTGTAGGAATTTATAAGCTGCTTCGGAAGAAAGAAGATTTGTAGAAATTATTGTTTATCGAAGATGGTTTCTCGCGACCATAACCATTCTCCGTGCAGATCAAACGCCGTAACCCTTTTTCCCGTTCTATGCTACCAAGTTTCATGTCGTTCCAGTCACTGAATCTGACTTCTAGGTGTCTTTCAGTAGCTTGTCAGATGAAATTCACCAAAGCCAAAGCTTGAAGAGACTTAAGTTTCTCAATAATCTTCCTCACATCAATCTTCTCAGAGAAGTTCAACAGCCTCTGGAGACAAGAAGCTGCGTTCTCAGTAGCGAGCAGAGAAGATCGCAAACACAAGATCATCGAAACCGCCATTCCTGAGATCGGAGCTCCTCTTGGAGAATCAAAGATGTTGAAGCTCTGGTTTGTATGATCCGTTGTTGTTCTCGCAGTTTTATCAGGTGAGAAGATCTCATCCCACACTATCAACAAATCTTGAAGCAAGAACTCTCTCCCAAACCAAACTCGTAGCCAACGAAGACCAAAGTACTGAGGCTAAACACCAAGCTCCACCAAATGGCTATGCAGAGACGAATCAACGAACAATAAGAGATGGTAAAACGCAGTGCAAGCTTCAAGAACCGGAGGTAAACCATGTGTGATCCAATAGCTGGAGTGTAAGAGAAGAATCCAGCCATTGAGACACAACCGTGAGCTCCACTCATGAGAGCATCAAACATGCAGTAAGCATCATGCTCCATGAATTTCTCTGACAAGACGATCCCGAGCTCTCCTTCGGCTCCATAAGCATCGCTTAACATAACAATGGATTGGATCTCAGGATCAAGCTCATCTAGACTCTTTGTTTTCTTTGAGTTTCCTTGAATACCACCATCTCATCGTCTGTGAAATCCTCCAAGAACTTCTTGAAGTCAAAGTTGTCAGTGATATATCTTTCTTCGAAGATAAGCCATCGAATCTGTCAATGAAATGATCTTCGTAACTTTTACGCACTTCAGAGAGACGATCAACATCCACATGAAGCACATAAAGCAACGGAGCCAAAAGCTCATGCATTCCTGCAAATAAACATGAAGTCAGATTATCCATTACAAAACTAAAGTTTACATTTTCAAAGACATAACACATGTTGTACCTTGTCGGTATCCGTACTCAGGATGTTTAAGGCACCACAAGAGTAGAATACGTCTTAACATTCCTTGACATCCAGGAGCTTGGAAGTAGCTCCAATGCTCTGGATATAATCTCGAAGTCTTGATCCAATGTTTTCTCTAGCTCCGCGTTACGAAAGAAACGACCCCATGTACTATCTGCATTAGACATGGTTTGGTTTCATATAAGAGACGTCAAGAATCTCAGCAATCAAAAGGCAACAATATACATGAAACTCAAGTTGTCGAACATCTTTACACAAATGTGGATCTATCAAGAGACGTCTCCTTAAACCAGCATATCTACATTAGATAGGAAATTAATACCTTTTTGCTAAACCCAGAAAAGCTCAAAAAAAACTCTGCTCATTCTCAAATTAGGAAACTTTTGGCAAAGACAAGATTGGTCATAAATTTTTGACCCAACATTGATGTAATTGAAGCTAACCTTCTCCGAGATTCAGTTGTTGCTTTGCGGAGATCATCATGGAAGGAGCATGAAACGGAAGAACACCGAGATTCACGCGCCACTGTACGCCTCTCAGATTGGCGAAACGATTATCAGATTCCGACATAGATGGCTCGATCTCTGATGGAACCATAAGTTTCTGTTTTTTCACTTCTCCGGTTTTGTCAAAATTGAAATCAACGAAGAACTTCGTGAATTTAGAAAAATCAATGATTTAAGTGGCGCCGGAAAATTCCTCCGTTGACACCAGAAGAAGTAAATTTAATCGAATTGAGACCTGAAAGTGAAATGATAACTAAAAGAAAGATAAGAAAAAAATGTAAATTCAGATCAGATCGGAACACAATAAGATAGAGAGAGAGAGAGAGAGAGAGAGAGGAGAGAATCAATTCTGTTTCACTCTCCGAATCAATGTTTTGAAAATCGGACCGACCCGGTAGTCGGACCAGGTTCGACCATGAACCAGACATGTGACTGGATTGGATTTTCCGATCCAGATTAAAAACAATTAAGAGATCAATTAATTAATTATTTTCTTTTATTTATTTTCATTTTTGATTTTTTAAACTAATTATATTTGTTTATACTATAAAAAAAACTAATTAGAATAACAAAAATATAAGTTTTTATTTTAAACTCAACAAAAAATTATGATATATCAATTTGAAACTACTTATAATATTTATTTTCAAATTTAATATCAATTATTATGAATTGGGTTCAACCCAGTCGAACCAAATTAAACCATGATCCGAATATTTATCTGGTTCGCTTTCCGCTACGGTTTTAAAAACATTGCTCCGAATCCAAGCAAAAAAAAAAGAGAAGACTTTTTGATTTTTTTTTCACACCAGCTCCATGAGAAGGCTTTTTCACAGCAGCAATTATGTGTGAGATTTAAGTTTTAGATTTTAGTTGACATTCATACAAAAAAAAAATAGTTTTACAATTTGAGATTTTGGATTAGGTATATGGGATTTGTGATTTCGAAAATTAGATTTGAATACTTTTGAAATTATTTGTTAGGCTAGATTATGAATTTTATATAATCATTAATTATGTTTAGGGTCTTAGAGTTTAAAATTTATCATATAATTTTATTTAAATTTGTTATAAGTGTTAACAAAATAAATATGTAATCATACAAAAATATATGATCTTTTATAAGTGTTAGAGTTCTTTCTCATGTAAGGATTAGATTCAAGGGTTTAAATATAAAGATTTGGAATGGCTTTCAAATACCTTTTGTTAATTCTGATTTAATATTTTTTTTGAATAAAAGTTTAGTTTATGATTTACGATTTATGGTTTAAGTTTAGAATTTCGGGTTTGCCTTTTTAGTTTAGGATTTATGATTAGGGTATAAGATTTTCAATATGCTACAACTAGCACAATTTATTTGTGACACATGAAAAACATTTTAAAAAATTTTGATTTTAGAATAAATAAAGAGTTTATAGAATTTATACTTTTACAGCGCTTTAACATATCTGAATAAGTATAAAAGAAAATATATTTACAAAATTCAAATGACAATTAAAATACAAATAATAAAACTTTGTTATAGTCATAACCCGCGCATCGCGCGGGTTTAGCCCTAGTAGAAATAAAGATGAGATTCCTTAAAAGGTGGATAAAAATTCAACGGCCAAGGTGAAGCATATTTTCACAAGCCATACTCATCTCATGCATGCCTGCATGAACTCATTGACACTCAACAATTCGAAACTCTTTGTATTAAGGAAAATGTTAAAATGATACAATTTGATGGAGAATCACAAACAAAGCTGAAAGCATGCGTCGTACGTGTCAACAGCATTTGAACACGTTGCTGGATTCCTTACGCATTTCGGTTTGTATATAAAAAAGTACACTATTTTTGGGAGGTAAATAATAGTTTAGTCTAAGATTATATATGATTTTATTTCAAAATGTTTGTTTTTATACAAAGTAACAAAATACTCGCTTACACCTACACGTCTGCTGTCTGAACAAGGTGGAGTGCAAGAATTCATACGTCTACTAATTTGTTTCAACTTTCTAAAAATGTTAAAATATTCAACCACAATTTTTCTTTTAATGGAAAATTCCAGGAGAAAAAACCGGGGTTTTGCGTGTTTACCAAATAAAAATTGCGTCTGATCCACAAGACGATGGCCACTAAACTTTTTTTCACCATCATATGATTAATATACAGTGCATTGTAGATTTGTAATATATTTTCTCCTTGTTTTCTTATTTATATACCTCTATCTCGAGTCCATATATAGTCCGAAAATGTTTGTGCCTCTTTTCTATGAATATCGCTGTTCGTTTGTGATCTCTTCTCTATCTCCTTCTCTTGTAATTGATAAGTAATATAGTGTGGGGGTAAAAAAGCTACAAAAGGATGGGGCAAATATGTGAAATATGGAGAGAAATGAAGGGTATAACGGCAATGGTGGTGGTTCAGATAGCTTCGGCAGGATTGAACATTTTGTTCAAGCTTTCCGTGGAAGATGGTATGAATCCAAGAGTTCTCGTGGCTTATCGTCTCTTCTTCGCTACACTTTTCATGTTTCCCATGTCCTTCATCTTTCAAAGGTTTCTTTTTGTATTTATGTATGGAATTTGTTGATATTAATAACTTTGATTAAATTTTCTCGTTTATTTCTTGAACTCCATGTGATCGATTAGGAAGAAGAGGCCAGAGTTCACATGGAGACTACTCTTACTAGCTCTTCTCTCGGGTATACTCGGGTACGTAAATTGTCACAAACTCTTTCATATGTATGTTCAGACTGAAACTCTTTTCCTTGTTGGTTCTTTGTCTCCCAATGCTATATTTATTCATGTCTTGCCAAATTACAACCATTTATTTTGTTTTTTCTTTCTATTGAAATTGAACAAGAAAGATATGGTTGGAGTGTTGCACAAGTTCACTGAACACTTAAAAATCTGAATATTCCTATGTTCAATATAATGCTCTATAGATGCAAACCTCTTTTTCAAAAATATATAGCCACTAGGTTGATGCAAACCTCTTTTTCAAAAAATATATAGCCTATATTCAATGCAATAGTACCAAAAACATAGTAGACTAAAGTTTAGGCTGAAACTATTTGTTAGTAATATTTGATTAAAATGAAATAAAAAAATCAAATAAAAATACATTTGGGTATGTAAATAACTTTCTGATAAATTGAACCAGTGCGGTACTACCAACTCTCTTAACGGTTACGGGTCTGGCTCTAACGTCAGCAACATTCACCTCCGCTGCAGGAGTTCTCACTCCCTTGATCACTTTCATCTTAGCCGCACTTCTTAGGCAAGTTTCATTACTTATGACATTTTTAAATATGTTTAAAGCTATTTCTAATCGATTTTTGATATGGTGGGTCACATATAGGATGGAGAGTGTACGGCTTGGCTCGAGCGAAGGGAAGGCTAACGTTGTTGGGACAATGCTTGGTGTTGGTGGAGCTCTTGTCTTTATATTCTACAGAGGAAAAGCCATTCATCTATGGTCAACTCACGTTGACCTTGTAAACCAAACACGTGATTCTACCACCCACCACATTTCCTTCTTCGGCGCTCTTCTAGTATATATAAAGTACAGTTGGGGTCTCTTCTGAGACTGCCACATAGACCAATTTTCACCACCTCAGCAAACAGATATAAAGAAAATCCGATGGGCTTTATGGGCCACTTTTCTCCAATTGGTGCTAGCCTTCTTTTTTCATGTTCTGAAAAGAATTAAACATATGGGCTCCGCAACACTGATTCTTTTAACTATTTTAGACAAACAAATTAGATATGACCAGATGAAAAAAACGGAATGAGACGGGATTGGACGGGACGGGATAAAAGGGACACAATGGGACGAGAAAAGACGGGACATAAATTTCACCTACCCCTAATTATATTTAGGGACCGAACAGAGACAAGACAAAATGGAAAAAAAATAGGATAGGATGGGACTCGATAGGGCGGATAGGATGGAACGGGACGGGGAAAGAATGGGACAAGATGAGAAGGAATGAAATGGGACATGATGAGACTATACGGGAATTTTGTCTATCTTTAGTTATATTTAGGGAACGAGACGACAAGAAACGGAAGGAACATGATGGGACATAACAAGATGAAAAAGAACATAATGGGATAGGACGGGACGGGACAGACATGACGGATGAGACGAGAAAGAACGGACATGATGAAAATGAAGAAATAGGATACAATGGAATAAGACGGTACGTTAATTTTGCCTAATACTAATTATTTTTAATTAATATGTGTAATTTTTTTGGAAAAAAAAAACAATAGAAATAAACTAAATTTGTGGAAAACAATAAAATTAACATAATAATATAAATTCCCGCGCGAAGCGCGGGTCACTTCTTAGTTTAATTAAAAATTAACAATTCTTTAAAATATCTTGAGGTGTTAATTAGATGTTCAAATAAATGTTTAACGATATTTCTCACTAGTCGTTTATTTTTTTGACCATAAAACTAGTCGCCTAAACACTTATATACAGACAGATTTTTTTGTTTTTCGTCATCTAAATTTCATCGCAAACAGGACACTTACAGAGAAATAGCAAATTAGATGAAACTAAAACAAACAGGGAAAAATGATACACACTCAACGCAAGAACACTAACTGAACAAAGGAACAATTTTGAAACCGCACCACATATATAACCTCAAAACCATTTAGGAGTCGAAGGATAACTGAAAGACAGAGAATCGCTTGAGCTCAACCAACATGGGCTTGTATATAGACAGTTAAGGCGTCTATTTTTAAGTTTAGAGATCTTCTATTAGTAAACAGACGGATATGTGCGTGGTGGGTCATTTTAGTAGCTTTCAAAGGAAAAGGGGAAAACAAAAAAGAAGCACCAACCAATAATCTGAGTTGATATTAATCATTTTTTCTATATTTTTATCGTTCCTGATAACATTGTGGGCGCTACGATATTGACTTCTCTTCGCCTCTAAATTATGATAGTTTGACAATGTCATATAATTGTGATCGGACCGATGGTTTCATGTTTTATTTTAATGATATTGCTGAATTCAAATTAATCACAGCAGGTGAAAATTGCCATATTTAGTTGAAGTTATATAAGATTTTTTTTGTTAAGAAGTCAGTCACATATATGCTTATATTTTCTGGCACGTGTACACATACTTTCATCAACTTTCATAACACAAAACCTAATTTATAGAAATTAAACTCCATTCGTTAGCAAGTACCTACCACTTTACTTACCTTAGCGTGGTTATGTATCTGTGTTCTTGTCGTTTTGGGGATCTACATTTCAAATTCTAAGTATATATGGAAGTATATAGCTTGTGTATATATAAAGCAGGTCGTGTGAATGAAGTTATCTAAGAAGATTTATTTTAACAAAAAAAAAATTACTTCAGTTTAAAATTAATTGTTTAATTAAAATATGTTGTAACTAATAATATTAAAATTCTGATTGGTATGTAAACCGATGATGATGCTCTAATGTGGTATTTTCGCAACCGGAATTTTAATACTTTTTATGCAAGCCTTAGTATTTTCATACTTTTCTAATTGTTATAACTAGGTTTCTTAGATAGTATATAGACTAATTGTGGGAAATCATCAATCACAACACCATTTGCTTAATGATTATGAATTAATTTAGACGTTCAGTAGTTTCTTTCATTTTCCATTTAAAGGGTGGTGGTGTCTTATCGATCTCCATGTCAAGACTTTTTAGAGTTTAGAGCGATTCCAACAACCGGTCATTCCAATCATGACGCCATCCCTTACGCCTATGCTTGAACCGAATAAACCAAAACACAACACAACAATTGTACTATTTTAAAACTAACTGATTTCATTTATTCAAATAACATGATGATGGCCTTCATTAAATTAGATATGTACTACATATGTCCTGTCTCTACCGCTAGCTTAATTTAGAGGTGGTTATCTTAACCGAATATAACCAACCAACCCATACCAATTTGAAAGAAATTTAAAAAGAAATCTACGGTTCAACAAAACTTGTCAGGTGGACTTTTGGTAGGGACATTAGCCACGTGAATTCAACATTTCTAAATTTCTACTCCTTTGTCTCTTCTCTTTCATAACTCTCTTTCACACCATCCAAATTCTAAACCAAATTTACAAGAAAAAAAAAACTCCACACTCTTTCTCTTTCTTTTCAAAAGCTCTCCAAAAACACTCACACAAAGAAAGCTCCATCACCGGATCTTTCCGATGGAGCCCGTCGCTTCCGGGTCAACCCACACCGATCCAACTCCCTCTTCTCCGTCCACGTCACCACCACCACCAAGCCGTTACGAGTCACAAAAACGCCGAGACTGGAACACGTTTCTACAGTACCTAAGAAACCACAAACCGCCTCTAACGCTAGCTCGGTGCAGCGGCGCGCACGTGCTCGAGTTCCTCAAGTACCTCGACCAATTCGGGAAAACCAAAGTCCACGTGGCGACATGTCCTTTCTTCGGCCACCCGGACCCACCGTCTTCTTGTTCTTGTCCGCACAAGCAGGCTTGGGGATCTCTCGACGCGTTGATCGGACGGCTTAGAGCTGCTTACGAGGAAAACGGTGGACGTCCGGATTCGAACCCGTTTGCTGCACGCGCCGTTAGGATTTACTTGAGGGAAGTCAAAGAGAGTCAAGCTAAGGCTCGTGGGATTCCTTACGAGAAAAAGAAACGGAAACGGTCAGCCACCGTGACCACCGTTAGGTTGGATGTGGATTTAACGAAAGGAATTGTCGGAGCAGGGAGTAACGGTGATTCTCCGGCTACCTCCGATGCCGTGCTTCCCTTAGGTTAAGTATCATACGTAATTCGCTTATCTCTTTCTCAAAATATTGATCTTATAATATATGTTTATATAAAATAAGATTTTCTCGATAAAAACAAAAATTCTCTCTTTTTCACGGTAGTAGCTAGCTTGAGGTCAGTTATTTTCTCAGTTGATCGTGAAAAGACAATTGTACGGAGTTACTATTTAGTTCAGTATATATATGGCTCATTCTATTTTTTTTTCTTCTTTTTCTCAAAGCTGAATTATATATGGAGATATGATATTATTCTGATAAAAATTACTTACGATTCAAAAATTTGTGAAATGGTGAGAAACACAGACGATGAACAAAGGAGGTAAGACGTTTATATCTATGTCGTATATGCGTATATTTTTGTTATTTATTATTATGCATATAAATCCATATACGTTGATGTCTATTTTGTATCTATTTGATTATTATTCGGTTGAAGAGCAGCTTTCGTTCTTCACATAAAGTTTAGATTTTCGTCTCACATCTTTTGTCTCTATCCGAAATTATGTCCTCTAATATATTCTTAAATCGATTTCGTGACAAATACCCATCCAATTATTCAATGTAATTAATTATGGTATGGGCGATGTCAATATATATGTCAATTTACTTCTAAATTTTGATTTTAAAATTTGAAATTATTTCGAGTGAGTTGGTCGAAGTTATGAGCACCATATATCTCGAGGTGCTTTAAAGTGGATATTTCAAAATTCAAATGCATCTCGAATTGCTTGTAAAGTGGATATTTCTCCTATGGCGGTGAATCTTGAGTTATTCAGATACTTTGCTAGGTCATTTTCGACGATAAGGTTTGCTGTCACCGTATCTTTTTTATAATTGTCATGACTCATGAATGTCTGTCTTCTCACAACTTCTAAACTTCTTGTAACGCTAAGTATATTTTAGAGGTAAATTATGAGATTTTGGGTTTTAAGCTTCACTTATTTAGTAGTTGTAGATGATATATTCACCTTTTATCAAGGGAAACACTAGAGCTATAGATGGATTTTTTCAAGTTCTGCAGATCTTAGAGAGGGTCATGGGTTTACGTCTTAATCAGGATAAAGCATATGCTTTTCTAGGTGGACGCGATGTACAACCACATCCAATTATCTCTATTACCATTTACTAATACATATACCGATATACGCTTGATAGTTTAGCACATTACATTCGTGAACGTAAATTAATCTTACACACTTGACACTTGCATGATTATTCATGTCAACGACTCAACGAGTGATTATAATTGTTGGCTACGTACGCATCATGATCCACTTCTCAATTGTTGATAACTTTGGACCAATGAAAAGAACAATCCTAGTGATGTATATAGTACAGTAGTAGAGATTTCAAAAGAAGAAAAAAAACGAGTTTCCACTTTCCACAATGGTTGAAGGTACGTACGTGAATGCAAATACATATACAGACACACGTGTACATAACTATATAGTATATACAAACGGAGTTAGGAAGATGGTGGAAACTAAAAAGTGAGAGAAAAAGATGTTTTGGCTACTATTTTCTGACCGACATGAGACTTCCTGTGATCTTACGTGCAAAAGGTCCCACATGTGTGTGTTTTCGTCCTTTTTTCACCATGTACGTTTTAAGTTTTCACCTGTCAGGTGTTTTGCTTGCGTCAGTAGTCTGTCTGAACAAGTGTGTGTATATCGTTTATTAAAAAAACATGCAAGGACATTGATTTTTTGGAAGTGTCTTTTCATAATATACATTTAACTGTAATCAGCCTTTTATAATTTTTTATTTGATAAAAAGTGTAACGCTTGAAAAATTTTGTCTTTTTTTTTTTCCCAAAGCAATCTAAGCACTAATAAGACGTAGGTATTACAATATTTTAAGAAATAATATAAATATTTTTAGAAATAAAAAACTTTTTCAGTTGTCATCAATAGGTTTTTGTAATTGCATGCCTTCTCTCACGTTTCTGTTCTTTTGATTGTTTGTGTTTGTCGTTGTTTTGTTTGTATGCCTAGCTTCTCTGGCCTCTGCTTGTTCTTTTTTGTCGTTGTTGTGTCTCTTGAGTCTTATGTTGTTATCTTTTTAGTGTTCTCGTTTTCAATTTTTTAAACCATTTCTCAAGAACAAAGTACAAATGTTAACGTTTAGTCAATGTCAAATCAAAATCAAGGTGAAAAAGCTCCATTACGGAGTTGTGTGACTAAACAAGAGAAACAAAGTCCAACATGAGGAACTTGAAAATGTCAATGTAATTTTTGTAAGACATTCAACAAGACTCGTATTCCAGAGTTAAAGCGTATTTACTTGAAGTAAAACGTATTGGCATTGCTAATACATGTAAGAAAGCAACAAATATTGAAAAGCTTGAAATTAAACGGTTGGAAGATTATATTGTTGTTGTTGTTGCTTTCTTCTTCTCAAATTCATTTTCTAACAATTGCTTCAAGCTTTTGCACAAAAAAAAAAAAAAAAAAAACAATTGCTTCAAGCTTTTTAGCATTTCCTTTTTTACAAATAACAACTTCAAGCCTTTTTGTTCCAAGTAAATACGACTTAACTTTGAAATACAACCTTAATTTTCCTAATGTCCTTACAAAAATTACACTGGAATTTCCAAGTTCGTCTTGTTGATATTGTTTCTCTAGTTTAGTCACATAATTCCATAATATAGCTTCTTCACTTTGAATTTAATTTGATGTTGACGAAGTCTTAACATTATTACCTTGTTCTTGAAAACCCATAGTTTTAAACTGGAAAAAAAAGAAATTGATAACAGAAACAGTAGAGATAACAGAAAGAGAGTAAAAGAGAGTAACATGAGAGAGGCATACGATTACATAAGCAACATAACCATAATGATTGTACTAAAGAGACGTAACAATGAGAATAAGCTAAAGTAGAAAAGGACAAGAGCCTCATAAGGCCACATTTACAGTTTCAGTCAAGGTTCTTCTGAACACTGCTAATATTACCCACAACTTGGTTTAACAATGGGGAGCTCATGATTTATATTAGCTTTTGCAAAGTTTTTTTCCTACAGAAATGTGAAATAAATAAAGAAAAATCAGATGTTATAGAAAGAACAACCTAAGACCTGGTTTCTCATTGTACAATGCAAAATCCTCCAGCTACTCCTATCAGGGTGCACTAGAGTGTTGAGTATTGTTAGGCGGGTGTTGAGGAAGACAGTCCAATTCCAAGTCTCCATATACCTGAAAATCGTGTGTTTTGACCAATGTTATTCCGCTAGAAAGAACAGAAAATGTACAAAATTCTCACGAACCTATGGATATAAAATTTCCTCCCAACAGCTAACTAGAGAGCTTACAATACCCTATGAGCACAACTTTCCCCAAACAACTAGATTTTTTGGATGAGAGAGGTGATAGATCTCTACCAAATCATTTATCCATGAGTGGTATACACAATAACAACTTGGTAATGTTGATCACTACAGACAATTAGACCAATCTCTTCCTTTTCCATCAACACTACTATGTTATCAAGGAAGATCTCATATGTGTGTACCTGGTGAGAACCGTTAGCTTCAGGGTATTGGAGGCCTTGGCTTCCATAAATATCATCTGAGTTTCCATAACTCGCCACAAATCCAGGGCCTTACATCATCAACAAGTACACAAAAACTATAAGCTAGTTTTACAGATAAAGGTGCAAACTTTAGCTTCAAAGTCATAATTTTTTTATTTCACATGTTCAAAGTTTATAGTTCTTGATGAGTAAACACTTGAGCTTACTTGAGTTTTGAGCTGCCTCAGCCTCAGCCTCAGCCTCAGCCTCAGCCTCAGCGGCTGCAACTGCTGCTCTAGCTTTCGTCTCCACATCAACCAATTCTTCTTGAAGTTTCACAATTTCACGATTTAAGTGGTCGATGGTCTTCTCCATACCACGTTCATGGTGAAGATTGCTCGCTCGTGTCTTCTTCTCCACCTCAAGAGCAGCTCTGTTCCAAGTCCAAAACTCAACAATATATCTCATTATAACTCCAAAAAACAACAAAAGGGAATTCAAATTTTTCACCTTCCTTTGCTAACTTCTTCTCGCAGAGTCTCAACCTCCGCCTTAACCTCCGTGGCTCGTTCCGAATTCGGTTTAGCCTTAGCTATCTCGCCGTTAAGCATCGCCAGCTCCGTCGCTAGCTTCTGCCTACCTTCCGTTAGCCTCTGTACATCCGACCTAACCTGATCGAGCTCCGATACGAGCCCATCGATCACACGAGCCTCCGCCTCCATCCTCAGCGAGTTCTGGTAAACCTCCCGGACCTTAGCTTCCCCTTCCGATTTGACTTTCGCGGCGGTTTCGAGCAGCAGAGCGAGCTCGCGCTTGGCTAAATTGAGCTGATCCTTGACTCCGATGTGCGCCACGGCTAGCTTCTGGTTGTGCGTTAAGAGGGATTGGATGTCGCGGTGCTGGATTGCGATTTGATCCTCGAGGATGGCAGATCGAGTCCGGTTTCTATCGGATTCGACCAGTTGAGATTCCGATATTCTCAAAGAGGAAGAAGATAACGCCGGTGACGGCAAATAACTGTCTCTTCCGGCCATCTCGATGTCTGCTCCGTGATCTCCGATTTCTCTTCTCCGGTTGCGAAAGTGCCTCTCCCTAATCGACTATCAATGTATGAGTCCGTTGCTAAAATAAGCCGAATAATTAAAAAAACCTAAAATGCGCCACCAAAAAATAGCACGAGTGTTTATACAGGCATTTTAAAAATGCTCAATTGAGAGTCGTTTTATTGTACGTGGGCCCGTACTAAGCCCAATTCTAGGCCTATGGACAGCTTGAGGGTGAAGAATTTGTGTGTGTGTGTGTTTTTTTTATAACTAAAGCTTAGTGAAGAATTTGTTGTTTATTCAAGTTCATTGCTTGGAACATAGTTAGCTCAAGAGAAATTAGCTGTTTAAATCAACGCCACCTAAGTTACCAAATACTTTTTTATTCAAATTTTCCTTATATTTTATTATGTAAGGAAGCAATTGTGGTTTCGAGAACTCTTTACAACTTTTGGCTGCATGTTGAGAACACACCACCAGAAATTATGATGCAATAAGAAAAATTCGAGATGAGTTCCAACGAGAATCCAACTTTCAGAAAATACAAACTACATGGGAGTCATATTTTACTAAACTGCCTTAGATATATATGCCTAAGTTTTATAATTATTATTTTAGCTTATTGTTGGGATTATATTTTTACATAAAAGTTTCAAAAATATTAGTATCTTATCATTTTATCGCATTTTGCTATTTTTTACATTGATTCGAGTTGGGACCGGAAAAATTTATTATCTTATAATGTTTATTATTTTATCGAGTATTATTTTATAGAGGTTCTACTGTATATATATTTTGCTGAATCATTCATATTACGAATTGTGTATCTATCTGAGTGGCTATGAAACTTTTACATGTTGTTTGTGAATGATAGTGGATCATATAGGGCTCGATCAATGTCTCAGATATAATTTTTTTTGGACAACTACTCAAATACAATCTCAAATGGAGCCTTTGTAATGGAGCCTTTGTAATCTCAATACCTCGTGGTCTGGTGGTAATGGAGCCTCAGCTGAGGTGCTCGCCATCACGAGTTCGAGTCCCCGGCCACCCGGGCTGCCTTTGTAAGAAAACGTGGATTGCCGTGGGCCTCGTGGGATTAGTCTTGGGCCTAGAAAACCTTTGGATCACCCATGGTTATCAAAAAAAAAAAAAAAGTTTGCTTTTACGTAAGAAACCAAAAATCTTCAGTTATTTCATATTCTTAGAACATAATATTTTTCTAGTTTACATATATTTATGTAGTTCACCATTGGTTATGTGTATTATCTTTTATTTGGTATGAATGTTAACAATAAAAATAACATATTGTTTCGTAATATAAAGAAGCCAGTAGAATATAAGAAAATGATTATAGAAGATACTGAGGATTTGAGAGCAATAAGTAACTCAGAAAACAGAAGATAGACTTCAACAATATTAAAAATAGTTTCGCATTTGAATCAGTAAAAAATCACAGTTATTTAGTATACTATTATGAGTTCATTTACAATAGTTTCAATTGTACATGGAAGTTTTTTTTTGTAACCAACTACTAAAATTATGATTTGAAATAATTCATAGACATTTATTTTATTTGTTAAATGGGAGATATATGCGCATGTTATAACATGATAATAAAATAAAAAATAACAGTAATTTAAATTCATGCTTCTAATATATATTAAGTAAATAGTCTAAAAAAAAAAGATCATACATTCATATTACTAGATCTTTTAGTGACAGAAAGTTAATATCGATCTTGATACTGAAAGCTAGAGTTAAAATTCTTCAAAATAAAGAAGATGAGGCGGCAACTGCTACAGTCCAAGTCTACGGATTAGCACGAAGCTCTGATGTTTTCAGATTGCTTCTTTTTGTTTCTTACAGAATCTTATACAGTTACAGATCAACTTAATAAATTCATCCTTATAAAAAAAGGTTTTGGAAATCCGACAAAAACAGAAAAATTCATTTCACTCACTCATGTAACGTTTAAGCAAAAACCATTCATATCTTTTAAGTACCCCTATTTGTTTTCTACCTCTTTAACACATTAATAAATTTTACTGAACTCGTCAAACATTGCTTCTTGTCTCCCCACCGTTTCCAAAGATTTAAATTTTTTTCTTTTCTTTTGATAAGAAAAATAAATAGCAAATACCGAGAACCGAATCTTCCATGTCATCTTCTAAAGCATTTAATGAAGTGCATCGAGTCTCACATGCTTATTTTTCTCCGAGGTGCCCAAAGATGTCTGTTCTCTCTACTTTCTTTTTTTGTTTGCTTTTAAAATTTTGATTTAGTTCTTTCTTATGAATGAATCTAAATCACATTAACAAGAACCACTTCCCAATGTGACAGTTCTAATTCTAAAATATATCTCCCTATTAGCACCTAAACTATTTATTCCCCTTCTAGAGTGGTCCTGTTATCTTTTATACTCCCTCCGTTTCTTTTTGATAAATTTTCTAGGATTTTCACATATATTAAGGAAAAACAGATTTTCAATCATTAGTGTATTGATTTTTGCAATAAAACAACTTTTTATAATTTTCAACCAATAAAAATCTAACAAATATAATCATTATTTCTTGAAAACTGAAAAAGTGTATAAAAAAATAGAAAATTTATCTTTGTGAAACAACAACTAATATCTAGAAAATTCATCTTAAAAAAACGGAGAGAGTAGTATTCAATCTTTTTTTGTTTTAGTATGCAATCATGCAAGAACAACGATTCCATTAAGTATTTAGGGATTTTATGTTTCATAAGTTCAATAAAATATGAATAAGTTTGGATAAGTTTTTATGAGTGGTTTCTTTGCTGTTAAAAATATGTTAAGAAAATAAATATTTACCCAATTATTTTTTCAATGTTAGTTTTCCCAAAAACTAGTAGAAAATATTCTTGAGGTTTATTATTCTTTCCATTTCATAATAAGTGTCGTTTTGACAAAATGAATTTAGACAAAAATCAAAACGAGAACGGAGAAAGTATTTCTTAATATGAACATAAACCAAAGGCTGTATGTCTGGGTTTTGATCTGACTGCAAAAAATCCAAACTCTAAAAATATAGAGAAATAAGATCATCCATTGAAAATTTGAAATATTTGCAATCAGATCAAAATTGTTTTATTCAAGTAATTGATAATTTATTAGAAAATTTATGTTGATCAACTGGTGAAGTGGAAAATGACTAACGTTTTGTAGCCTTAGTTAGGGGTTGATTGTGATTTAATCTGGTCATTTAGTGTGAATCACTTCTATAATAATTAAATTGTCTTAGAACATCTATACGCATGCGATTTTTCTAATAGAAGTTGATATCATTTTGGAGGGGCAAACAGACAATTCTGGATAAATCTGATGCATCATACATTAATTGTGGGTGCCTAACACATCCAAGTTGATAGATTTTTGTGAATAAAGATTACTCATTAATTAACATATACATAAAATATAAGAAAATCATTCTATCAAGCGAATAACTTTGTAGAGATTATTGTGGGCGATGGTCTCAAACTGGTCAAATGGTTTTTTCATGCATGTCCCCGGCATTTTGGGGTTAAAAACATTCCTTATATGCATCACATGAATTTGATATATCATTAAGAATCATAACCACTTTCTAATACTATGGTTTCTAGGTTCATGGAGTATGCTTTTCTTGGTAGATGATAAACTAAAAAATAAAAAGATTAAAATTTTGAATAAAGATTGTCCAGTGGTCAATTCAGGTCAGAGATCAATTTTTATGGAATTTATATGTGACAATTGCAAGAATTTGCAATTTGTATGTGCCGGTCATATATCTTTTAATGAGAAGGTAAAGAACATGCAAATTAAGTATTATTTCCTCAGTTTCTTTTTACTTATCGTTCTTGAGTTTTACATACTGACTAAGAATATAACTAAAGTAATTATTTTACCTCTAATTAATATTTTGATTTATTTGATAGGAATAATTAGTGAGCTAAAAAGGTAGGGATAATAGTGAGAAAAATATAAGAAATCTGCATTGAAAATACAAAACAATAAATAATATTGTATAAAACAAAAATTTAACCCTAGAACGACAACTAATTTGTAACGGAAAAAATACTATATAAATTAAATATAGTAAAAGTGAAAATGAGGGAGAAGAAGGAGCCAAAGGAAATCTATCAGGGTAAACGAGAAGAGTTTCACTTGGAAAACTGTGGATTAGAAGCTTGGACTCATGTGGTACTCATTCATTTAATGTGATGGTTGAAACTTCTCTTGAGACTTTTATATAAGAAAACCATTTATTTTAAAGAACCTCTTTCAGATATTAATTAGGGTTTTCTTAAAAAACAAACTCTAATTAGCCTTGTGTCGGATCTCGTTTTGTGGGTCTTGCATTAATTTCCTCTGGATTTATGCTGTTAGTAAAATTATATTCACACCATGTATTCCTTAGTTAACCCCTGTCGATATGAATAGTTCAAAGTGATGCATGTATCTTCGATGGACTCATTAAGTATAACAATATGAGTCAGAGTGATATTGTTTGTGAAGAATATTTCACATCCGAAGTGTAATATAACTATTTCACTCACAGTTTTGAATTGAAATCTATGAAACTTTGAGAATTCGAACATATATCTGAATCGAAATTGATTTGACCCGAAAGTAGTCCGATTAAAATCAGCGGATCAACAATTAATTTGGTCGATCTAGTCCGAAATCGAACCATGTAATTAAAAAAAAATTGCCAACCAACTTATCACCATTGGTTTTGAAATAAAGATCCATAAATTTAACTCATGAAAAAATAATAATCAGCTTAGCAGTTTAGATGACTGTTCTTTGATGCATTTTGTTTTCATGTCTTTTTTTATACCTCAGATAATAATGAGATAAGTGAACCGATGTGTTATAAACTATCTTAAAGAGCATTTAACAACAAGATTAAAATGGTAAAATATTGATCTACGTACAGTCTCGTTTCTTATTTCTATTGACAAAGATCTTAATGTTTTTTGGTACGTGGATAGACGGAAGTCATATGGGTCGTGGCTAGAAAATCGAAGAAAAAGTGCACAAATACTTGTTCTTCTTGGATTCAAAAAGGTTAGGTCTTTGAATACTGTGTAAAGAAACTACATCTACAACTTTTGGACGTTAATTAGGTTATTAATTAGGTTGTTCAAAACGATGTTCAATGTCTGTCTTTTTGCGAAATTGTTATGATTAAATATTATTAGGCCCCCCAATATTTATCACACCTCTAAACTTCACATCCATAATGTATATCAACAATGTCATTTAAACCCTTTCTATTAACAGGGTCAGCTAAACATATTTATAGAGTTAATTTATTCAACCAAGTATTTAGGGAACAAAAGAAAGAACGATCCATAACAATTTCCCCATTATCACGAATATTAACATGTGTAACATGATTGTTCTTGTACTTTCCCCAATACCATACCAATACCTAAAATCCAACCCGGCAGCAAAGAGTTTACAAATAAAACCAAACAAGAGTATACTTTTCTCTCACTATACGTTTTTACAATATTTAAGATCCATCATATATTCTGAACTTGAGTTATTTCTTATACTAACAAATTTTCTGAATTATTTATGTTTTCTGAAATTCTTATCATTTACATCTACATATTAATAAATTGATAAGGAGTACGTGCAGTATTATATTTATGTGCAGAAATCTAATCTTGTTTTCAAGCCAGTGGTAAAAGCAAGACCACTTTTTTGACTACTATTGTGCAAGAAAACCTATGTTTTACTAGAAATGTGTGAAACCACACTCATTCGTTAATGCTATATAAACATTAGTTTCTGATACCTATTTATATTTTTGCTTTTTATTTTCTTCTGTAAAACATTTTAATGAATTAAACATTTGAGGCGTTTACCATGGTTTTTGTCTTACTTTGATTTAGTTTAATAAGACAAGGTTAATCACCAAAGATGAAATTATAAAATTTGGCTCTGTGTAATCTTGTTAAAACAAATGTTGCTTTTTAAGCATCGAAGTCGCTGACCTAAGATGCTTCGCAGAGATTCTGTCCCGTTTTAAAAATATTTTCTTTAGAAAATCGGGTTAGAAATAATGGAAACTATCCCAATTTCTAATTTAATCAGTGTCTTCCCATCAAAACCTGGGCCTCCCCAACATTATTATTCTTCTCATAATCACTTTACAAAGTTTAAAATAGTAAGAGTAGTACGTATTAATTAATAGTATAGAAAGAGGAAATGTTGTGTGAAGAAGAGATTGGTTGAAGTTTTGATGTGAATGTCTTTTAAGGCAACAAACATTCACGTTGGAGGCCATTTCTAATGGAGTCTCGGTCCTAATTAGGGTTTCACGTCATTCTCACTCCTATAGTGTATTATCCTAACATTACCCACTTCCTCTCTTATTTTTTATTTTATTTTCTTTTCATAATTTTTAATTAATTAAGTGCCTAACCACCTTTTTTGTTTCGTTTTTCCGACTGTGTTAGAAAAAAGTCAAATATAGGCCGCCATATGATATTTTTTTCAAAGCATGGAATACTATACATACATGTCCTTTACCGTTTTGGGTAGAAGGTGAAAATTATTATTTTTTATATTCCACAAATAAATCATGGATGAGCTGGTTTCAGTGGTGATCTTGGTCAAGGAGAACCACGGTTTGTAACCAGCTAGTTTGGAGGTTGTTGATTACACTTTAGCTTGAATGTTTTTTTCTTTTTCTTTTTGTTTTAGAAATTAAGCTTTAGCTTGAAATGTCATCACCTTCAAAAGCCTACAATGGCAACATAATAAATATATTTTCTTGTAACCACCCATCTCATTCTCCTCTACTTTTGCAAATTAAAAACGAGAAAAGATTAAGACATCCCGCGACTAGTTTAACGATATCTAACATCTTTGTTAGAAAAAATAAAAATAAGAAGAGGCTAGCAATGTAAAACTAACATCAAGTGATTTTGGTTTAATAGCGTTTCGGTTTAAAAACCATTCATCAATGTTGATCTAAATATAGCATAAAAAAAGGAGAAGAAAAGAAAATTAAACCTTTAATGATAACAAAAAATCCAGATTTCTGTGGGTTTTACTTTTAGAGATTAAATCCTGGTTATAAAAAAAAAAAAAAAAAAAATCAAACAAAATGTAAGACTGTCGTGTGTTAGAAAAAGAAGAGAAGAGTCAAAGGACAACGTGGGCAAACTTCTCAAACTACATCGGACGCCAACCAATCACACGTCTTTGCGGTGCTCACACCACTAACCTAATTTACCATATTGCACTCACCATTCTAACGTGAGGAATCAGAAAGGTTTGCTCTATAGGTTCTTGGCCTTATTGTAAAGGGTCAAAAAGGTCTTGCAAACGTCTAGTTTGAGTTGTTGATAACTAGCTAACAGTGTAATGTGTATGTGTCCATCTCATAGTCCAAATTATGGTTTCACTGTTATGAGTCGCAGTATAATTTTCTCGACGGTTAATTTATTGAAAACCCAAACCCAATCTTTTCTAAATAAAATATCAATAATAGGAAATTCAAACTCTTCATAAATCAGAAAAATTTGTCACTGCCACTACAGGAAAAATGGGTATTCTTAGCACTCGAAAAACGCTATCTAATGATATTATAGCGTTGTAGAAAGCGCTATGTCTACGCCCGTCATAATAGGTAATGCTGATCGTATAGTTAAAAAAATTACATTGAACAACAAACTGGTTCTTTATAAAAACTGGTTAACTACCTTTGTTACCAACGGTAACAAATGAAGTAGCTAAACCCCTCCAACATAATATGCACTTATTTCTTCAAAGTTATAAAGTTATAAGTTAGAGTTTCAAGCCAAATTAATACTACTATTTTATATGAAATATTCGCTGTCAATGATTTTTTCTCTGATAAGTACTTATTACCCAGGCTTTCAGTCTTGCGATACCAACATTGTATATAAGACAATAAATAAATAAAATATCATAGAATTCTATTACTTCCATTTCAAATTAATTGTCGTTTTGGAAAAATATATTTGCAATTATTTGGATGTATCTGGATGTATTTTGAGTTTGAAACATCTAGATAATTGCAGGTACATTTTCCCAAAATTACAACTAATTTGAAACGGTGAGAGAATAAATTAAAGATTATATATGTATATTCTTTAACAATTTATAATTTTGAGATTAGAATAACAAATGAACGTATTATATAAAGAAATCCCAAAATTAAGTTCTAATTTAAGTACGCAAATTAAAATTTTATTTATAAATTTATTGCTAAATGCATTCAGACATAATTTTTAGGATTAAGTAAACAGTTGTTTAGAATGCCTGAAAGGTTTAATTTGAATAAGCAAAAATATTAGAGGAATGTTATTACTAACTGGACTCAACTAAAACAATAACTCTGTCGTGCTGAGAACAATAAAATAACTAAGGCGAGGTGATTTTCATATTTAAATTTTTAGTTAGAGTTTACTCGGAAAAACATTTAAAGTTAGACTTAAATGAACACATGTGAACACCAACCTCGCTCTCTCCAAAGCCTTCAAAAACCTATTATAAATACACACCTCTTAAACTATCTCCCTTTAACTCTAAGCTTTGCTTTCTTCCTTCTATATCCTCAATTTTCAAGGAGAACTATATCCTTTGATAAGTAAAGACCCGTTTCATCGTGACCATAGTAGAAGATGGGAGGTCCAGGATCATCGCCATGTGCTTCGTGTAAGCTTCTACGACGACGCTGTGCAAAAGATTGCATCTTTGCACCTTATTTTCCTCCTGACGATCCTCACAAATTCGCCATTGTTCATAAGGTCTTTGGCGCAAGCAACGTCAGCAAAATGTTGCAGGTTCCATTTAGTTCCCATTTCCCCATAACTATATTCTTTATATTGCTTTTACCATAATATTTTGTTCCGTTGGAAGCTTTTAACATTCCTTGGCATGTGCATCCATGACATTATATAGATGTAGTAGATTTTGGTAACTTTAACATTAAGAAAAAAATGATAACCAAAGAATCCTGAAACGAAGTGAAAACTAATCCCAAGATTGGTGTTAAACCGATGATTTTTGCCATTTAAGTCACTAACCAACAACCTTTGATATTAATCTGAATTGGCCAATTAGTTATATATACTTAGAAACATATTTGAATCAATAATCAGAACTGCCTTGTACTCTCTAATGTGTTATCTATAAAAAAAAATGGTTACATGGTTGGTTTAAAATTGTCACAGGAGCTACCGGTTCATCAAAGAGCTGACGCGGTGAATAGTTTGGTATTCGAAGCAAATGCACGAGTTAGAGATCCGGTATACGGCTGCGTAGGAGCAATCTCCTACTTACAGAACCAAGTCTCACAGCTTCAGATGCAACTAGCAGTGGCTCAGGCCGAGATTCTTTGCATTCAGATGCAAAACGAGCCAAGTTTACAGCCTCATCAAGTACTTGAACTTGACCCAGATCACAAAGCTCTCTTGCTACACAACAACAACAACAACAACAACAACAACAACAGCAACATCAATAACTGCAACAGCAACAACAACAACAACAATAACAACTTGGGTTATGCCATGTCTTCTGGGCAGTTCAACTCTAACTTTGCCTCTCCAAGCAGCATAATGCAAATGCAGATGCAAATGCAAATGCAAATGCAAGACCCTCTTAAGCAAGAATCTCTTTGGACTTAACTTAAGCCATTATTATAAAAATTAATCTTTATTTTGGTTAAAAAAACTCAGTGAAGGTTGGACAAGTTTCTTCTTGGGCTATGTCGGAAAAGAGAAGATGGGAACAAGTTTCGTGTAAGGAAAGTAGTATAAGTCAAAAGCTTAAATGCATGCATGTGACGCGATGTGATATTGTAGTTAGACGCTTTAGAATTAGAGATATGTTTTTTTTCCGTTTTCTTTTCTCTTAATTTGGTTTCTCATTTCTATTTTTTCTTTTCCTATCGTTTGAACTTTGAACAGTGAAAATTAGTTCTAATTTCCGAACCCTATTTAACTTTCTTTGAAGTCTCCAAGAAATTGCTGTACCCACTACACTTTTTTTTTTCTCAAAGAAACCAACGCAAAACTTTGTCGCGTTCAAATGAAGAGAAATTTACATGGTTTTATTAGTCGATTAGTTTAAAGAAGAGACTCAAAATCTCAGATACTTAATATTTTGTCTGGTCAACACTCAGATACTTAATTTTTTCATAAAACTTAGTTTAGAAATCAAAAGTAAGTTTGCTTTTTCTGGATTACATTATTTGAAAATATACTAAAAATGTACGTTTTGTATCTACTTTTCTATGAGATTTTGTTATTACTTGCGATAGAGTGAAGTTGAAATCGAGGGAAAAAAAAATCAAGTTGGAATCTGCATTATTTTCAAAAACAAATCTACATGATTCAACCTTTACAATTTGACTCACTTTAGATTTATTCGACCACCTTTACAATTTGACTCGCCATAGATTTATTCGACCGACCTGATTTGATTAATCATAAGCAACACGTTAGAGCATAAAGTCGCCTCTACGTACTGTTGCTTTTGTAGTAATCATTGTTAAAAAAAAATTCATATGCATTTCAACTCATCAAACTGAATTAGAAAAGAAGAGGAGGTGATGATGTTGAATTTGATTATGTTATCTCTATGTCTAGAATGCTAGTGTTCATGTGATCAGTAGACGAAAATAATTCAAAATATTGTCTGTCGACATGGGAAAGAATCTTATGACTAAAAATAATCGATCATGTTCTACCAAAATTTATTATTTATTTTTTCAAATACCCTTAACTTGTTTTTGACGATCGTACCAAGCCAGAGAAGTTATAACTGTCTTATTCATATAATATAATTATTGGGATAAAACTATATCTTTCACGTTACGCGTAACAATTTTTTTAGTAAGGAAAAATAACTCTTTCTCTCTCTCTCTCTCTGTCTTGAAATTTTAGTATATAAATTGGTAAGTTAGACGCATGTATACATCTAGTTCATTACACGTAGACGTGCATGTGCTCCATGCACGTGCGTAAATTAATATTTTGGGCATGTGTTTTTTTTTTTTTTTTATCTGCCAAACCTAAGCTTGCTAAATAGCAGAAAGAGTCTCAAGATAAATTAATAATTTGATTACAGTGGCAGAAGAAAATTAAGCTTTACACATATAAATCCAAACTTGTCGTCGCTTAATTTAACTTTTGCAGACATCAACGAACTTTCCGTTGGTGAGTTAACGAATTCAGGCTATGAATTTAAAAGAGTGGAAACCAAACTTTGACTTCACATAAGCGATCTCGAAATTTTACTAATGAAAGAAGGATGCTTGTACGAATGACAGAAGGATGTGAGTTAAATTAATAGCGTAAGTGACACTAAGTGTATAGAGAGTACTGTACCCTATATGTTTTATTTTTCTTCCCTTTCATATCTCTCTAAAGACTAGAGATTACATTCATAAGAATAAATCTAAGCTCATTTTCCCATTATAAACTACTCCTAGTTGTGTATATACATTAGCCACGAACAAAAAAGTTAAGAGTTCCACTTTAGAAACTACTAAACATTCATCTTAAAACTAATGGCCATAGAAGTGTGAACATATATTAGAAAACCTAAAATAACATGTCAAAAGAACCTCATGCACGAAATGAGGTCGGAGTGGTGGAGCTAGAATTACTATGCAGCAGGGTCATATAGTAAAATAATAGTATGAGGAGGGGACTTGAACTTGGGACAAGGGGTCATATGTAGATTGAAACCAAATTAACTAACAAAAACATCATTAATAGGGTTAAAAACAAAAATTTATAAAAGTAGTAGGGGTCAGCTGATCCCTTCCTCTTAACGTGGCTCCGCCCCGTCGAAAATAATGTAAACTGTGGAAAACAAATAATCAGCAACTATATATAATTCTATCGAGCCGAGAGTCTTTTCACAAAACAACAGACTATAAAATTCGTACATAGTAATTAGTAAATACAAAAGTTTAGGTAATTCATATTTTCATCTAAACATAAATCCAAATTCAAAATGGTCAGGACAAATACTCAAAGGAGGATATTCCACAACACATGGAAAATTTGAAAGACAAAAAAGATATAGGAGGCCCATTAATCTAGTATTGTGCCTTGAAGTTCAGTTTAATTTTGTTTCAAATGTTCAAAGAAGTGGACCACCTCCATTATTATCATACTCGCTTAAGAACAAGGATTCCTCCATTATTATTGGGGTCTTCTTTAAATTCTTGTCTTCTGTAGTAACATTTAGAAAAAGGATCAATCTTGCATACGTAGCCAAATCTCACCCACACACACATCAAGAAATTCTAAAGAAGAAAATTCGAACTTTGTAATCATTTTTGACATTAAGAAAAAGCGCACCCAATGACCAAACATTTGACCACATTTGTTTATGTTAAAAAGCTCACGTCCCAACCAAATCTTTTCACCACCTTCAGTCACAGTGACCAAAATCACACACACTATGGAACCAACTGAATCTCAGCCAACCGGATTACGCCACGTGGTAGCCATGTCTTGGCCCGGAAGAGGCCACATCAACCCAACGATGATCCTCTGCAAACGCCTCGTTCGCCGATACCCAAACCTCATCGTCACTTTCGTCGTCACCGAAGAATGGCTCGGGTTCATAGGGTCCGACCCGAAACCCGACCGGATCCACTTCGCCACCCTCCCGAATCTCATCCCTTCCGAGCTCGTCCGTGCCAACGACTTCATCGGCTTCGTCGACGCCGTACACACAAAACTCGAGGAGCCGTTCGAGCGGCTGCTCGACCACCTCGGCTCGCCGCCTCCGACCGCAATCATCGCCGATACTTACGTCGTCTGGGCAGCTAACGTCGGCGCACGAAGGGATATTCCGGTGGTTTCTCTCTGGACTATGTCGGCGACGATTCTCTCCCTCTTCCTTCACTCTGATCTTCTCATAAGCCACGGCCATGCTCTGTTCGAACCATCAGGTAAAGTTTCAACCTTTAAATGTAGAAATTCAGAAAAATCGATACTTTTTAACGATTGTTGAATCTTTTGGGTTTGTTGTAGAATCAAAAGAAGAAGAAATCGTAGATTACATCCCTGGCTTATCTCCGACGAAACTCCGTGATCTTCCGCCGTTATTCGAACCTTATCTCGGCCAAGCCTTCGAGAAGTGCAAGTTGTGTTTCGATGGAATCTCGAAAGCTAAATGCCTTCTCTTCACCACCGCCTACGAGCTCGAACCAAAAGCCATAGACTTTTTCACATCCAACCTCGGTATCCCGGTTTACGCTACCGGTCCGTTAATCCCCTTTGAAGGGCTCTCAACCGGCGGCAAAGAGCCAGATTACATCAAGTGGCTTGATAAGCAACCGGAAAGGTCCGTCCTTTACATATCTCAGGGGAGTTTTCTTTCTGTCTCGGAAGCTCAGATGGAGGAGATAGTGGCGGGAGTGAAACAGAGCGGAGTCCGGTTTCTTTGGGTGGGTCGTGGAGGCGAGTCGAAGCTTAAGGAGGCTCTTGAAGGAAGCTCCGGCGTTGTGGTGAGCTGGTGCGATCAGCTGCGTGTGCTTTGCCACGGAGGCGTGGGAGGGTTTTGGACGCATTGTGGGTTTAACTCGACGTTGGAAGGGGTCTATTCGGGGGTTCCGATGCTTGTGTTTCCGTTGTTTTGGGATCAGATTCTGAATGCGAAAGTGATTGTTGAGGACTGGAGAGTTGGGATGAGGATCGAGAGGAGGAAGAAGACAGAGGTGGTGATAGGGAGAGAGGAGATTGAGGGAGTAGTGAAGAGGTTTATGGATAGAGAGAGTGAGGAAGGGAAGGAGATGAGAAGAAGAGCTTGTGAGGTTAGTGAGATTAGTCGAGGAGCTGTTGAGGAAAGTGGGTCGTCTAATGCTAATATTGATGCTTTCATGAGTGTTATTAGTGATTCAAGTTAAGTGCTCAATGAGTATTTTTGTTCTTGTTGTTTGGCACATTGTTTGTGACAATCAATTTCTTGTTATATCTAAGTGAAGTTTGAGTGATAATTAAAGAGGTTCACAGAGTAGTTAATTTCCTTTAGAAGAACCAGTAATGATGATGGTTCTCCTTTTTTTTCAGAATATTAAAAACAAACTGAAATGTTATTGAAAAGATGATGATAGAGATCAAAATGATGATAGAGATCATAATGCTCAATTAATTCATTTTGCATCAACTTTTTTATATATGTTGTTGAAAAGAAAATTCATTTTGCAAGTTACAAATATGAAGGAGAGATTTTTCCAGCATCAAAGCATAACAGCTACAGATTTTTCTAAGTAAAAATCCCCATCAAGCATAAACTGATCACAACACTCAACTTTACCCAAAATCTCCCCTCTTTCTCTTCTTTCCAGCGAAATCTCCGCACACCATATCTCAACTGTTCCTACTTCTCCTTTATGAAAAAACAAAGCAAGTTTTCTACCGTAATTCACAGTCTTTAACAACTCTGAACCTCTCGTCTTAGCCAGCAAATTTTGCAAACCATTCACCATTCCCCAACACCTCTTCTTTGGATCGTACGTTATTAAACTGTTCTCAACTAAATCGTGATAGTACAATACATCATCAATGACGCACGCCCACAACCACTTCTTAGAATTCAACATCTCGTCAGTTTCCCATTTATTCTTCTTTGGGTCGTAAACAAAGCTGTTATGAGAATCTCTCCTATACATCTTATCAGCCATCACAACGTTACAAGGAGTATATGTGTTGCCTAGCTCAACGTCTGGCTTTATAATCTCTGGTTCCCACATTTGTGTTTCTGTATTGAACACCACCATCCTCAGAACCTTCCTGTCATAATCGCAATATCCAGTTACATATATTTTCCCATCTACAGTATTATGCCAGCGACTGTAGCAGCAAAAGGTATAGGCATGCTGGGGAGGGTTTGCACCTTGTGAGATCTACAGTCGATGCTTAATTTACACAAGCGATGGTTATCAATCTCACCAAACACATATATCTTGGAGCCCACGGCAATAAAACTTCTACAGCTAAGCATATCGGGAAGCCAAGGGATAGGGACCAACCGACGATTGTTGTTGAGAATATACCAACGTATTTCCCAGGTCTTGGTGTTACGGAGGAGAACATAGAGACAGTGTTCGGTGCAGCCCAACAAGGATCGTCTCACGTATAGCTCAGACGAGTCAACAAGTGACCGGAAGTGCTTAGAAACGAGGGAGAGTGCTGGATAGTCGCATCTCCGTACACGCGCTATGATGTCCACGATGACTTCTTCCGGAAGTAACATAATCAGAAACGGTGATTCCCACGATTGCTCATCCTCTGCTTTAGTTTTGGAAGACATCTCAAGATCAACAACAATCACCCAATCTCTAAGAGAAATCACCAAACCCTAGTTTTAGGCTCTATTCAAAACAATCTCGGAGACACAGAGAGAGAGGAAAAAGGCCATAACCGTAAATAATAAGACCTATCCCAATACTATATAGTATATATATTGAATTTAAATTATTTAAGTTTCCTATTCTGTATACTTTAATTTTATTTAATCCAGTGAACAAAACACAACGTCCTGAGTACCCCCCTTTCTGAATATCCGAATAGGATTAGGTTTCTGGCCTTTATTTTAATTTTTGTGTATTTGTAAATTGTAATTGCTTGAGGTAAAAGGAAACTAAAAAAGGATCGAGGAGGAACATACGTTATGTAATGATGTAATCCTCAAAGGATCAGGATTTATTATTATGTTGGGACGGTGAACAAAGGCTCTATATAAACACTTGTATTCCTCCTCTTACTCCTCACAAAACAAACTCGAAACACAAAACAAACAATTATCTCTCTTAAACTCGATCGTCGTCCTTCGCTTAGCTTAATTCTCTCGTTCAAGAGAAAGAAAGAACCAAAACATCGATCATGGCATTGATCAAGAGCAACGCCTTCTTCACATCCTTACTGATTCTGGCTGCACTCTTTGGAGTTGCCATTGGAGGAACCGTACACAAAGTCGGCGACTCGAGCGGATGGACCATGATGGGCGTCAACTACGAAGCTTGGGCTTCTTCAAGAACTTTTCAAGTCGGAGACTCTTTGGTTTTTGAATACAACAACGATTTTCACGACGTAACTGAAGTCACTCACCATGATTTCGAGCTGTGCGATCCATCTAAACCGGTAGCAAATTACCAAACCGGTTCTGACACAATCAGTCTAAGCAAACCGGGACTGCAACACTTCATATGTGGTACTCCTGGTCACTGCGACTTAGGACAAAAGGTTCAAATCATGGTCCTACCTGCATCGTTGGGTCCCGTTGCAGCACCAGTTCCCGGACCGGTCCGATCACCAAGCACTTCCCCGTCGTCTCCTTCACCGGCTGATAATGCTCCACAGTATCAGATGGGACCATCACTAGCTCCACAAAGTGAACCTTCTGTTTCTAAGAGTGGTTGGATCGGATTCAGCTTCTTCCATTAGTACTTTCTCTTTTGATCTTAGTTTGATAGATTATTCATATTCGTTTTTGTCTCCTTTCTGTTCTTTGAGTTGTATTTTAATTCCTTGAGTGGTTTTGTATACTTCAACATGATTAATGGAGTCAATTAAAAATATTGTTTACTTTTTTTTTTTCTTTTTTTTTCTACATAATATTTTTTGAAGATACCACATTCATGATTCATGTTAACGATTTTTCTATCAATTTTGTTTCATAGCCAAAAAGTAAAGAAAAAAAAAACAATGAAATTCTTACTAAAAGGCTAATTTAATACTATCAACTTAATTAACCACACTGTTTATTTATTTTGATAAAACATACATCCTCAGAATCTCTGTTTTCACAAATCATGATCGCTATAAAGGAAGAACATAACGTAATCGAGATCGAATGCCACCAAAAACTTGATACTTAACAAAAACTTAAAACTAGTTAATTTAGTATTCAATGATGACTCTAAACATCTTCCAATTCCCAGTTTGCATTTCGTCGACCTAAACCGAAACCCTCAATTCCAATTAGTATTGAATCACATTCAACATCCATATATGAGTAATTGAGTATGATAAAATTAACATTACAATTTTTTTTTTAAATATACCCATTAAAAGTGTAAGGAAAAAAGACTCATAATCTTAAAACAATGATTTATTAAAATAAAAAAACGTTAGAATTTTGTAGTAGTTCTATATAACAGATTCTTATATTACTTGCTCTAGAAATCCGAATATACAATGTGACTTCCGAGTTTGTGACACATTTTTTGTCAGCCAATTTTGTGACACATAAAAAGCTTTGCTATAAAAGATTGTAGTGTTGTGAGAAAGAGAGAATGAAGGTTGTCTTATTCCATGAGGGAAGAGCTCTTTATATAGAGTACATAGTAGGGTTCCAAGGGAAATCAACATTGGGGAGAAGTGGGCCTAATGGATATCCACCTATGGAACTAATGGGCATCCACTTACCCATAACACTCCCCCTTGGATGTCCATTATACAAAAATATATTCTAAATACATAAGGTGCTGCCTCGTTAAAACCTTTACTAGGAAAACCCTAAGGGAAAAACCTTAGCTAAGGAAAAAGAGTGCAGCGCATAATTACTCCCCCTCATGAGAACACCCGTCTAAATGTTTGAGACGACATAATCCAACAAGATGAACTAACTCCTTGAAAGTAGTCGCTGGAAACTCCTTGTTTAAAGAAATCTTCAAAATCTTCACTTGAATAATCTTTAGAATGTTGATATCGCCATTCTTCGTCAGTGCATGGATGTAGTTGATGATTCATCTTGAATCATTCTCTTTGTTTCATTTGACCTCATAAATAAATGACAAAGACTTTGGAAAAGGAGATAGACTATCATCTTTAGACTTCCTTTAGATGTTTTCTCATTTGTGTGTTCTTTGTTGCCTCATTAAAACCTTTCATGGAAAAACCCAATGGGATAAAAACCATGATAAGGAAAAAGAGTACAACCACACATATCATCATATATCTTCCCTTTGGAAGCATCTTCTTCAAGAGATGCATTCCAATAATCAATGCCAACTTTTGGAGATTACTATGAGTATAACCTCAGTTAATAAACTCATATGATTATCTTATAATCTTCTAGGTCATTTAAACTTCTAGTCTATGATATTTTTTATAAGTGTATTCTTCAATATACTTCTATTATAAGTAATTATTTCTTGGTCTATATTTGGACTTCGGGCCAAACTTTCCCTTCTACATAAATTCTTGTGAAATATATCTTGTATATATAAGTTATCTCATGCTCATTTTGCTTATCTTTGAAAGAGACCAACACATTTCTCAAACATAATTTAAAGTATGATACTTCAAGACCAAATGTGAGCATTCTTTATGTAAATCTTCTAAGGATCTTTTGAGATTACATCTTTTTGTTAAACTGTGAATATGAGATATCTTAAGACAAATTTGTCTTTCCAATATCTTTTATCTAATTTCAACAATTCTTCAGGAATTTCGATGATGTTTAGATTAAAGATCTCTTTGATCCATAAATGTTTTATAAATATACACTGGGTAACACTTTTGTGATTGTACCCCAATGAGACGTATTTCTCTTCATTTGATCAAATAATTAGAGTTCTTGGGAACATAGTTTTGATATCATTAATCCTTCAGGAATTATATCCTTCAGGGACTTTTATAAAAATGTCATTATTTAGTGGGTCTTAAGACTCAAGTTCTTCTTTCATTGCCACACTTAATGAACTTGAAAGTTGCATCCACCACATGCCTATTATAACCCACTTGTTTTACACTTTTAAGGTGTAAGGACTTCTGGTCCAAATACATTTCTCTTTCTAAGAGATTTTAGTTTTGCGTCTATTGCTTCTTTTCGATTTGGCCAAATCATTACTTTGTGTACACAATGCAATAGACTTTGTTTCATGATCCTCTTTCTCATTCATAACATCAACTGCTATAATGCATGCAAATATTTTATTTACGACGTCGATTTGCTTTTATGGTTCCATTTTATTCCATACATGACATAATTAATTCTCGAGATCTCTTTTTGTCTCAGGTACCTGAATTTCTTTCTTGTCATGTTTAATATCTCTTCTTGAGATCATTTCAAAAACATTTGTTTCCTCGGTTTAACCATGTATCAATGATAATTCATTTTAACTTTAATCTTTCTCCAGCTGTTTTATTTTCTCCCCCTGATGTTGGAAAGACTGAATCACTAAATGACAGTCTACAAATTGAGCTATATTTAAATCCTTCATGGATAGCTCTAAATATTATCATAGGAGATTAACATCCAACATACATTTACTATCTCTTTCGAGGGTCCATCTTATATTGTTGTGGTGGAGCGTTATGGAATGTATTCTGCACATCCATAGATCTTTGATGGAAAACTTTGGTTTCTGACCTAAACCAATTACGATGGGGAGAAATTTTAGTTATTCATTGGCTTTATGCGAATTAATGCTTTTGCATTATGTATAATTATGAACATTTGCTACTGGATGTTCAACATTTATTCTTACAAACATGTTTTTCTCAACAAAGATTTAAGATGTGATTTCACTAGCACTACCAAGTAATCTCGCAAACTTCAGGTTGCAGATATGTAATATTGATACATAACACTTGTTGATATATTTAAGAAACACCATAACATTTCTCTTACTGGATGATCAGTCCATATAATGGTTTATTAGACCACAAAAGTTTCTTATATTCTTTCTACAAATTGTATACATTCCAAATTTATTTTGGCTAGTTGGTAATTGTATAATCATAATGTCTTATGATTAAACATCACATTATAGATAATTAAGAAGAATCTTCAAGTTCTTCAATAAATCTTTACATGATGTATTTTATTTTGCATAATTCTTGAACCGAAATGGTCTAACCAGCTCATGCCAAACTATGTTATATTTGGTAAACTTCTAGTTTACTACATAACATTTACATCTCCTATTTAATCTTTGTCTATGATGAGGCATTAGATAATGTATGTTATTTTTTCAAAATAATTTTACACCATTGAGTTACATTATATATGATTCATCAGGATTATTTTTAGTGTGAACATAATCTTCTAGATGTTCCACTTTCTAGTGATTGAGGGATTCATCCATTCTCCCCCTCGAGATGATGTCACTTCATGTTCATCAATCTCGAATGGAATCCTAGTATAACATCAATAATATATCCAACTTGAATCATGTTTTATATCTTTGATTCTTTAAACTTTTTATATTTCTATTATGTGTTTGATTCTTTTCACTTCTGGGATTTCAAAGATATAATGCATCAAAAAAATTATTTACTATAAGCAAATATAAATTTATATATACTCTTCTGGAGATGTGTATCTTTTATTTATTGCCATCTTTATTTTCTCACTTCTTATGAGAATTTGAGTTCTTGAAATAAAACTCTTTAGTTTTGACCTTAACATGAACTATAAAAGATTCATATTCATGTCTATGATCATATCTTTAATCATTCATATCACATTCACTTCAGGGAATGATCAAAACCAATTAGACAAGATTCAAGATTTTCATTAGTAACTCATTATTTTATCAAAATAATTTCTTAAACTTTCTTCAATAATATTTTGTCAGCTGGACAATATATGCCTTTTATCATCATTGATTTACATTATCTTCCAGATAAATAAAAATTATTTATAGACTTCAAGTCTTGTAATCTTAAATGCAAATACAAAATATTCATATAGAGGATAATTGAAAAATAAATAAATATTATCAAACATATATATAAACAAAATATAATAAAAATAATAATTAATATAAATAACATTACCTTTTTATTATCACTTCAAGTGACAAATTTAATTTTAAGAATTTATTTGCTATTGTGTCTACTGGACAACAATATTTTTAAAATATTCCTTAAATATATTTATGCTATTGTATCTGCAGGACAACAATATTTTCATAATTTCTTCTTATACATTTTTATTAGTAATATATTTTCACTTATAAACTTCAAGTTTATATGGTCTGAGATGCTCTATCAGATCATATCACTTCAGATGATTGTTCATTTTCTTTAGATTGCTATATTAGATCACTTCTAGTGATCATGCCTTTCTTTTTACTCAATGGTAAAATTATTACATTTTAAAATCATGTAATGATAGAGAAATACACTTATTAGTATATAATAGTAATAATTGATTTGTTAAACCAAATCAAACCAATAAATAAAACAAATCAAGGGAATAATTATACATTTATTTATAATATTAAATCAAGATATGCAATAATATAATATATATTATTATTAGCAATGATCAAATGATGATTTAGCAATAATAAACAATCTCAAAATCAGTAATAAGCAATATACGAAGTTATAGTGCAAAATCAAACAATAATATTTTAATAAAACTGATTAAGATTCATTTTAACAAAGCAGTCAACAATCATTAAATAATAATATTAAAAATATATATTCCAGAGTGATTTTAGCACTTATATTCAATTATAAATTCATGTGGTCAACAGGTCAACTTAAAAATTAATATGGTCAAGAATGTAATAATATTTCAAATTAATGCAAACAATGCAAATTAATTCAGATTTCTTCAATTTTCAATAATTATTCAATTTAGCAATTAATTAATTACGAAAATCAATTAAAATAACAAATATTGAAAAGCAAAAAAATAAATAAGAACAATATATATAAATGAAAATAAAATAATAGACAATATAAAATCCTTCTGGGATAAATAATATCAATAAAATTTATAAATCCTGCTGGGATATTTAGTTGAAATATATTTATCCTTCTTGGATAAAAAATAAAAATTAAATCCTTCTAGGATAACAGAAAATATAAATCCTATTAGGATATATAAATAAAAATATATAAATTCTTCTGGAAATATAAATAAATTATATAAATCCATATGGGATCTATAAATAAATATATAATATAAATTATTTCTTCTGGGATATAGTGAAATATAAATCCTTCTAGGATATAAATAAAAATAGAAATAAAATATAAATCCTTCAAGGATATAAATAAAATAGAAATCCTTCAGGGATATAAATAAAAATAGAAATCCTTCAGGGATATAAATAAAAATACAAATCCTTCAGGGATGTATATAATTGAAATATATAATTCCTTCAAGGAAAAATAATATATAGATCCTTCAGTTTGCTGAATCCAAGATATTATCAATAAGTAATATAAATTAAGTATTGATAGAAATAGATTTTAGTAGAATAAACACAAATTAACAAAGTAATAGAGATTACTCATTGAATTTGTGAATTCACCATAAGAACTATTAGAACTTTTAGAACCTTTGATTTAGAGAAGAATAGAAAGTTTGTGAGAAAGAGAGAATGAAGGTTGTCTTATTCCATGAGGGAAGAGCTCTTTATATAGACACATAGTAGGGTTCCAAGGGAAATCAACATTGGGGAAAGTGGGCCTAATGGACATCCACCTATGGAACTAATGGACATCCACTTACCCGTAGTTTGTAATAAAAGTCCCTGAAAAATATTTGTTTTTTTTGCGGTCTTTTTTTATTAATATGGCAAAATAAAAGGAAATAAAGACAAAAAATATATACTTAGGGGAAAATATAAAGATGTAAAGCCCAGTTATAGTTTAACCGCCGCTTCCTCTCTCTTGTCGGAGATTTCACACTGAAATCTCCAGATTTGGTATTGCTCTCCAAGCATCTCGGAACCCTAATTTAACAACCCTCTCCGTCAATATCCCTCTTTCTCTCCTCCTCCCTAAAACCCCCCCAAAGAAAGCTCCTCTCAATCCCCAACAATGGCGACAGAAGCCGCCACAGCTGCATCCAAATTCCCGGAATCCGATCTCCGTCCAATCCCTCAACCACCGGATTTCCATCCAGCGATTGTCGTTCCAGCTCAAACCAACGGACTCCGATTCTGGCAGCTCATGGTCGCCGGTTCAATCGCTGGCTCCGTCGAACACATGGCGATGTTCCCAGTCGACACCGTCAAGACCCATATGCAAGCTCTCCGTTCATGTCCGATCAAACCCGTCGGAATCAGCCAAGCTTTCCGATCAATAATCAAAACCGACGGTCCGTCGGCTCTGTATCGAGGTATATGGGCGATGGGACTCGGCGCAGGACCAGCTCACGCCGTTTACTTCTCCTTCTACGAAGTCTCCAAGAAGTATCTATCCGGCGGAAACCCTAACAACTCCGCCGCGCACGCCGTCTCCGGCGTGTTCGCAACGATAGCGAGCGACGCCGTTTTCACTCCGATGGATATGGTTAAGCAGAGACTGCAGATTGGGAACGGGACTTACAAAGGGGTTTGGGATTGTATTAGGAGAGTAACGCGAGAGGAAGGGTTTGGTGCTTTCTACGCTTCTTATAGAACGACGGTGCTCATGAATGCTCCGTTCACGGCTGTTCATTTCGCCACGTACGAGGCGGTTAAGAGGGCATTGAGGGAGATATCGCCGGAGCATGTCGGCGGCGGCGATGAGGAGGAAGGTTGGTTGATTTATGCTACTGCTGGAGCTGCCGCTGGTGGCTTGGCAGCTGCTGTGACCACTCCGCTTGACGTTGTCAAGACGCAATTGCAATGTCAGGTAAAAACCGAAACTCTGGAACCGTTCTGTCTCTGAATATGTAGACTTTGGTCTTTATAAGTAAATGTAGTTTTGCATAGAGCATTGTCAGAATCTAAGCTTTGTGATCATGGAAGTCAATGATTGTGTCTTGGATTAGATTCTTTAGTGAGCACAATTCTTGATATAATGTTTAAGTATCTTCTAGTTAGGCTCTTTAACCAGTTCTGTTTTGAAAGATGAAACTATTGGCAACTATTTGTATGAATTTGAAGCAATGATGGATGGTTCTCTGTTGAGTTCTTTGTTTTACTCAAAGCATTGGTCTTTTGGTGATGTTTCAGGGTGTGTGTGGTTGTGACCGCTTCAAGAGCAGTTCGATAAGCGATGTGTTTCGGACAATAGTGAAGAAAGATGGTTATAGAGGACTTGCAAGAGGATGGCTACCAAGAATGCTCTTCCATGCTCCAGCAGCTGCCATCTGCTGGTCCACTTACGAAACAGTCAAATCATTCTTCCAAGATGTCAATGGAGACTCAAACGTAGCTTGAAAAGACATACACAAAACTTGCGTTTGGCTTAATTTGCTTGCCTGATTCAGGTAATTGATTCTTCCATAGAGCACTAAATGAGAGATCTCTGTTTGTATAATTATTTGTTTTCACATAATAATGTTGTCAGATTAGAGTTCCAACTTCCAACCACAAGGCCTTTTTCTGATTTTAGTCTACGAGAGGAAAATTTTGTATTTTTATTTGTTTTTACGTGAGAGAGAGAGATACTAAAAGGAATAGATGAACTTATAGAGTCCATTTTTCAGATGAATACTTTTTGTTCTTTTATAACATTGAATGGTTTCAAATCCGATTTGTTTATTTGTTTGATAAGATCCTCCAACACAATGAGAGACAAGACAAGTTTCTTCAAGGACTTGTACAAAATGAATATTGACAAGATGACATAAACTTTATCAAGAACAAAGTGACTCAAGAACTAATAACTTTGGCAATGATCACAGTGACATCATCAAGCTTCCCTCCTGCATTTTTTTTCAGAACCAGAGATCAAATCAGAAACTGCTCTTCATTGTATAAGCTGAAATGTCCTGTTTCTGCATTAAAAATGGTAATTTAACCTGTAAGCTTCATTCCTAATGCCTTCTTCCAGAGAGGAACATCAAACCCCTGTTTATATCAAAGCACATATACAAAGGTTTCAGAAATACTTTGCAAGAATCAGAAAAAAAAAAAAAAAAAATCCATTCTTGCTTTTGATTTAAATAAAACCTACCTTGGCTCTTGCTTCTAATGCATATGGAGACTCAAAGGTTGGGTCTCTTGAATGGCTACTCGCCACTTGAGCTAATAACCTCGCTGTAAATAGTTGACCAAAACAAACCAATACATGTCACTTGTAAACTTCAGACTAAAAATCAAAAGTGAGAGAGATATTATTACATGTATATAAACATACATGATTCTGCCACATCTGTATGCTTGGTCACTATTGAAACAATCTCATGATCAAATACGTTATCAAAAAGCCCATCTGAACCCATCACAATCACGTCTCCCTTCTTTACTTCCACTATGTTAAACTGCTTGAAAGCAAGAAGCATGTTACAGAGGTACGGAACTAGCACAAATCATGAAGACTGGTACCAGATACGGATTTATTTACCGATGCATCAAGATATGTTTGGGCAGACCCTTCAGAGCTTAGTTGGTATGGACAGTCAAAATAGTGCTCTTGAGGAGTCGTTGAAAAAATGATCTGACCTGCAAAATGAGAATGAAAGAAGATGAACATGAAACAATCCTAGCCTCTAAGGTTAGAGAAGGATAAGGACAACAAACAACCTTGTCGAAGAAGCTTAAGTCCACAGTCTCCAACATTGCCTATTTTAAGTATACCCATTTCCTCAAGCATGGCTACAATACTGCTTCACCAATAACCACAATATGAAGCTACTCTTGAAGAGAATAACAATTGTAACAAAAGGTTCAAAATCTCACATTGTAGCAGAGCCTCTGGAAGAAGTAGAAGTATGAGCTTTGTCAATGAGGAAACCAGGATCATATCTGACCTGTTCCAAAAAATGTAAAAAATCATAAACCATAAATCACTCAAAAAGATAATTTTTAAGATTCAAAGAAAGTGACCTCTTCGTCATCAACGAGACGGGAAGCATTAGCCATGAGTTCTTTGGAGAATAAAGAAGGATCAACATCTTGTTCAGCCCAACTGAGAGACAATAAAAAAAGATGTAAACTTTAGCAAAACTGAGATAAACCCAGAAGAAGTAAAATCAAATTTAGCCGTTTTCCGATTTTACCCGGAGACACCATCTGCAACAGCTATGACTCCTCCTCTATAGCTACTTACAAACAGAGCATCTTCCCCACCTTTCTCTACCTATTAAATTTCGACACTAAAAGTCGGTTTTTTAGTTGCATAAACTCCCTTTAAGCATCAAATTTCTATTTCTCTCTTTTTGGGAATCATTACACCCAAATAAAAAAACTCAAACTTTGTTGTACCTTATCTGGATGAGGGATAGCGTGAATTCCGACAGACAGAGAAAGCTCAGGCCTAACCAAATTGCAACATATTGACAAACAGTATTCTCAGTTTCGTCCAAAATAAAATCCAATTTTGTACTTCATACAAAAGGGATAAAGAGAGGCAAAGAGCAGACCGAAGTGGTTGGAGTTCTGATGGAGCACAGCGACAGAGGAAATCAACGCGACCGGAGTTTGGAAGTTTCGGATGAGAGAGACGAGGCGATGGTCGTGAGTGAGGAACTATTATTCTCGTCACCGGAATTGCCATTTCTCCTCGCTATGTCTCTTTGCCTCTTTCTCTCCCTCTCCTCTGTTTTCCTCCATCATGTGGCTGTGACTTGCGACTTTGTGAGCGTGTGGATATTATACGTATAAATTAATTAACAGTCGACAATATAACAATAAGCACCAGTGGTCTAGTGGTAGAATAGTACCCTGCCACGGTACAGACCCGGGTTCGATTCCCGGCTGGTGCATTAATTAGAGCTGTGATGATATTTGCTTCAGCGAAGGCTGGTTCCTTCGCATCTTTCCGTTAACTCGGATGATTTAGCAGCAATCTGAGCTCTAATTTTTTTTGTTAATTAGAATTTAGAATTCCATTTTTTTGTTGTTTCCACAAATCTCAGGTGTTACATTTCTTCAATTGATATCTAGAGATTGATCGGAAATTCAGTTTAGATTTTTATTTATTTTTCTCTTGGGTTTAAGTTTTTTTTTTGTTTGGGTTTGACTTCATTTTACAGATTTGAATCTCCTGCCTAATCACAGCTTATATCTATCTGATACTGTAAACATTGAGAAGCTCTATAATAAATGAAATCATTGTTAACGCGTTATTATTTCGATTTTTCGATAAAACACAACAATACTTTGTTCTTTCTCCTTTCCTTACGAGGGAAAAAAAAAAGGAAATCTATTTCCTTTTTGTAAATTGGGTTGGGTGATAGATTCACTTTCCTTCCCTATAAATAATCTTGTTGTCAGATTTCACGTTTACAGAGTTTCACTTCACCTTAGGTTTTTTTGCAGTATTCCAAGCGATTGATCGCTTCTATTACAATGGAAGGGACATATTTTCACTTCGAAAAGTTTCTGGGAAAAGGCTCCTTCGGCTCGGTGAGTCTCTTCAAGTTCAACGGAAGACATGACGGCAAGACACGATGCGTCGCCGTGAAAACCTCCGACGGAAAACACGCAGAAGCTCTTTACAGAGAGTTTCGAATCCTGTCTGAATTCAGAGGGTCATCGGGAATCGTCCAATGCTATGGGACCAGAGTGCATAAGAGTCTCAACGACGAAGGTCACAGAGAGTACAAGATCCCCATGGAGTACGCGTGAAGGAAGTTTGAGGAGTTTCTCCGACAATTCAAAGACAGGAAGCTACCGGATCCGATGATCAGGAAGTTTACTTGTATGCTACTCCAGGGTTTAGCAACGATTCACGAACATGGATATGTTCACTGTGATCTTAAACCAGATAACATTCTGGTTTTCCCGAAGAATGACGCGTGGAATCGGTCTTACGAGTTAAAGATATCGGATTTCGGATTGTCGGAGAGAGATGGAGACAGTGACTGGTGGAGCCCTTCTCGTCCGTTTGCCGGAACACCAATTTACATGTCTCCCGAGTCAGTTTCTCACGGCGAGACAGGGAGAGGGCTTGATTTGTGGTCACTGGGCTGTGTTGTCTTAGAGATGTATACAGGGAAGAGGCCGTGGTGGCACAAGAACTACGACTTGGAAGATCTCAAGAACTGTTACGAGCCATTGATCCCCAGCGATCTTCCTTGTGATGCGAAGCTCTTTCTCATGACATGCTTTGCGCCGGAGCCGGAAGAGAGAAAAGACGCGTTGACGTTGTTGAGATACAGTTTCTTGCGCGGATTTGTCAACAAGATCAGAGAGCCTCCGGTGATTGTGAAGAAGGAGAAACAGAGAGATTTTGCTCAGGAATTGAGATTGGAGGATATTGTAAAGAGGCTTAAGGAACTTAGGAGTATGCGTGTAACTGAAGTTAGGCCTAGCAAGACTATCGAGACCTAACCTAATTTTTTGTTCTTTCTTTATCAATTCGCGTTTTATTGACTACTAAGTTTTGTAATAGTTAATGGTGTATCATCACTGAATCTGAAAGTAACCCGGTTAATGTATTTTGAATTTGTCTATGAAATCTATAGGAAACACTTTTGAGAATTTTATGTTACTAAACCTTTTCTTATCTTTATTTTTTTCGAAGAATTTTTATTACATTGTATTAATTAATCAAAATAAAAATCAAAATAAGGTTTGTGTTTATTACATTGTATTAATTTGTGGTTTTCTTATTGTGACAGCCAGTAATTGTTTTGTCATATAAATAACTTAAACTGAAATGACATTAAGCAAAAGGCACCAGTGGTCTAGTGGTAGAATAGTACCCTGCCACGGTACAGACCCGGGTTCGATTCCCGGCTGGTGCAATGTGTGAGCGATGATGAAAATATCTTGAGCTGTGGTGATGAATCTTCCTTAGTGTCGATGTGATATAAACCTCGCTTATCCTGAGCTCACACCATTTTTTTTTTTTAATTTTATTAGTCAACAAACAGTTTCACATTCATAATTCAAAATGGTTTTTGCCTTTCAACTGAAAACAAAAAATATAAGTTATCTCACCCAAAAATACAACTGAAAACTTGTAGTAACCAAACTACCAAAAACACTGGTGAATTTCCAAACTCAAATACATGAACAAAAAAGCTAGACAGAGTCTCAAGCACTTATGTTTTCGATGCTAGCGCTTTTATCTACTCTCTTGAAGATCCCTGCAATTACCTAATATTTGAAATGCATGAAACACACAATTTAGAAGAAGAAGAAGAAGAAGAAGAAACCTCAAATCTCTATAACAGGTCTACGAAGCTAAAGAAAAATACCTTTCCAGGTCCCAATTCATAGCTGCTTTTAACTCCTTTGGATAAAAGAGTCTTTACTGTTGTCTCCCATTGTACTGGAGATGTCACCTGCAGTTTTCAACACACAGAGTTTTTACTGTATTATCTTTGAACGCTTAAAGAATAAGTATCTTCTTGATATTGTTATCTTTACCTGGCGTGCAAGTATCTTCTTGATCGTGTCTGGATCCGCATGAGGCTGTGCATCCACATTGGAGATCACTGGTATCCTTGGACTTCTGATCTCCATCGCTGCCAATGCAGCTTCTAATCTCGAAACTGCTGGCTCCATGAAACTTGTGTGGAAAGCACCTGCAACAGCTAGACGAACCTACACATCCCAACCATCCAACAATCATCTTTCTTATAGCTCTCCAGAAAGCGAATAGAGAGAGAGAGAGAGAGAGAGAGAGAGAGAGAGAGAGAGTGAGAGAGTGCGAATATACCGTCATTCGAGCCTTGAACGACTTAGCTTTGGCTTCAACAACTTCGATTCCTTTAAGACCTCCAGATACTGCGTAATTACCCTGTAAATCCAATGTGAAAACGATGTTATGCAAAGTCTAGAGTGACAAAAAGGACTCATGGAGGAGGATGAGAGGACATAGATACCGGACATAAGTAGTTAGCGATCTGAACTTTGTCAGCTTCATCTACATCCTCATTTGCTGCATCACACAATTGCTGAACCTTTTCTGAGTCCAGTCCTATGATACTAACCATAGCACTCTTAGCAGCATCTGCAGCAGCCTGAACAAAAAATTGTATTTCATCAAAAACATTAAGTCAACCAAACATGCTGATGGAGATTTCAATCGGTGAAATAAGGTCATGAAAGTCCTCACCTGCATGGCTTCTCCTCTAAGTTTTACAAGCTTAAGCCCGTCCTCAAAGCTTGAGAGTAAAAACAGTAACAGTGAAAAGGAAGAAATAAGAAGAGGCAAGGTAATGATTCAGAGTTGTGGGATTAACTAACCTGAAGGCTCCAGCAAATGCGAGAGCAGTGTACTCTCCTAAACTAAGACCGCATGTCACATCAACCGAGCTAATGATTTGTTCACCGCCTTCACGAACACGGAGCAACTCAACCGCTGCTAAACTTGTGACATAAATAGCAGGCTGAGGAAAATGAAACATCAAGAACTTAGACACTAAAACAAAATTTTATTCACATGAATATCATAATATCACTAAAAGGAAACATCGCAGAAAGGATTTGATTCTACTCGATATAGGTGACAAGAAAGATACCTGGCTTATGACCGTGGAATCGAGCTTGTCTTTCGGTCCATTGACACAAATGTCGAGAAGATCATACCTGAAAAGCCACACACCATATGGTTTTTATTCATTCAAGAAAACAAACAAAAGGTTTCAAGAAAGGAACATACCCCAAGATATCGTTAGCTTTCTTATACAACTCTCCTGCTGCTGCAACACTTTGAGCCTCTTTGCCCATTCCTACTGCTTGAGCTCCCTGAGATATTTTTCAAAATTCAATTTTCAGATACATTTTCTGATAGTTCTGATTTCTGTAGCATTTTCTCCTACTTGAAACCAATTCTGACTTCTGAGGGACTAAAAGCAAACAATGTGATTTCTTCAATCAGATTGATTGCAGAATTTTCTGGGCATTTCGAAATTTCCTAACTTTGAGGCGAAATCAATAGAAAATTTCAAATCAGGATCCACATTTTTCAGTGTCGTACTATCTAAAAGCTAAGATTTTTGATGGCGTCGCGACGATTTCAATCAAATTCCAGTAATCGGGAATTACCTGACCGGGGAACAGAAAAGCAGAGGTGGGTTTGTAATCGGCGAAGAGAGAGTCGTTGACAGTAGTCTGAGATCCAGCGGAGACGCTCATGGAAACCCTAGATCGGCTGAGATTCTTACCGGCGAATCCGAGGGAGGCATTTCTGGAGGAGCAGAGTTTGTTGAGAGATACGGAAGGGAGGAGCAAGGAAGAGGAGGAAGGTGCTGCGGCGGTGGCCATGGAGGAAAGAGGGATGCGCAGGATAAGAGAATGAGCCGGAGGAGTGCGTATAATAATACGGTGAAGCAGTGAGCACATTCAGAGAACTGTAGTTTCCTTTAAAAAAAAAACTTTAGCGGAGTTAACGAAGATGATGATGATAGATGAAGGAAGTTGAGTTACCAAACCCAACCGTTTTTTTTTTGTATTCTTAAAGAGAACAAAAGAAAAAGAAAAACCTTTTGCACTCGCCCAAGTTTTTTGATTAGGAACATTTTTTATGTGTTGTTAAAAAAAGGAACATTTTTTCTAATCAAAGATGATCAAGACTTATAAGTTATACCATGAGTGTAAGTGTAACCATTGAGCAAGTTTTATAAGGCGTTTTAAGCATTATACCGTTTCGATTTGCCATATTACTACTACCACTTATAAGTGCATTTATCTAGACCGTTATCACTACGGTCAAGTTTCAGGACAAAATATAAGTTTCACAAAATTGTCCCTCAGGTTTTGGAAGACATAAGCTAAAAAAGAAAAGAACATGGTTGTTTTTGTGCACTTCAACATTTATGGTCATCAGAATTTCCAACATTTTGACTCGTTCTGATTCATCAAACGGTTAGAATAAGCTAGAAATACTTGAGAACCTCATGATAAATATAAAATCATACCCTTTTTTTGTTGGCTAAATTCTCAACATTATGTTACAGTACTCTAGATCGAGCCAAAAGGCGTTTATAAGCTTTATCTAGACAGTCAGCAATGTTGGCAAAGTCATAATTGATTAGGAACCAAGGTAAAAATGGCGATTTCCATGGTATAATTGTTAAGGAGATTGATAACATAAGAACAACAAAATAATTGTTAAGGAGATTGATAACATAATTGAAAGTCAGCTCAATGAGGATGATTTGTGAGTTGCAACACAAAGTTATTAGTAAACTTTTTTAATAGTAAAAATCAGAACACTCTTTTACGAGGGAAGATAACAAGAATACATCAAAATCAGAAGGATGAACAACTTTTCAATAGAGCAGTTATCCATTTTTAACCACATCACATATTAAAAAGCCTTTTTGATTAAAATACAACAATAAAAGACAAAAAACAAAACCCCATAAATTCTTAAATCCTTTTTGATAATCCATGGTTTAGCATCTTGGAAGATCCAACGGTGGAGCTTGAACCGATTGCAACTGTCCTCGTCCGTTCTCAACCAAGAACACCATAGCCAAACCCCATCCCAAATGCGAATCAATGTGACAATGCATAAACCAAGCTCCTGCAATGTACAAAATTATGTCAAAAAACTCGTTTTCAACTTGAAGTTAAATCGCTTAATTAATTAATTAAATTACCTGGATTATCAGCGACGAACCGGATTGCAACCCAACCACCTGGAGGTGTACCAATAGTGTTCCTCTCCGGTGGGTCAAACAGGTTAAACCTAGCCGGGTCAGTTCTCGGGTTAAAATTCCCAAAACCGGACCCAACAACGTAGAATTGGTAACCGTGTAGATGCATGGGATGATTCTCAGGCGTGACAATGCTCGTGTCTTGCAACACAATCTGAACATTAGCTTTGAACTTGAGCTTGTAAGCTTTGGTTCCCTTGATCGGCTGCCAAAGCCCACGGCTCACGTTACCGGTGTAATCAAATTGCACCGGCGGAACAGGCGGGAAATCCGTAGTAAAGATTCCTGGCGTGCCTTGGTAATAAGCTTGCATGACGGAGTTACTTCGCGGTAGCACGAATGACTGGTTGTTCATGCTGGCCGCGAACCGAGTCCCGTTAGGTCCCTGGCAACGCGGGTTGTTCGGGTTGGCACAATTGATTAGCCCCAACCCGACAGTGAAGAAGAGGTTTTCGTCAACCTGGAGCGGTACTGGAGCTCTTTTCCAGTACCGCAGACGGTTGGTGAAAGCGGTTGCGGTGGCAGTGTCGTTGAACCCTGGAAGAACAGGGAAAACCGGAGCAATCTGACCACGGCCGCGACCACGTCTAGTTGGAGCGTTGACGTACTCTAAGATAGCGGTTGTGGTTGTGTTGTCGAAAGGGGCGTTTGCGCTGTTGTAAGCACGGGCTGCCATGTAGTAGCGGCCAGGTCGCTGGTTTGCCGTGATGAGGACGTTAGTGGTTTGTCCGGGACCGATCATGATGACATTTGTGGTGAATGGTTTTGTGTATGCGGAATCGGTTTCAACAACCGTGAGCTGGTGGTTGGCGACCGAGAAGAATAGCTCTTGGTTCATACCAGCGTTGATGACACGGAGCTGGACCGTCTCGCCTGGGAAAATCGGGAAACGGATGGTCCCGGCCCGCGAGCAGCGGTAAAGATCGCCTGGTTGGCCGTTGATGGTGTAAGCGTCTGAGACATTAGCTGCTGCTCCTGTGAACTGTGCTTGCTTCAAAACGTCCATTGGGTTTCTATCCCACCATTCACCTGTTTTCACATGACAAGTATTATTTGTGAAATTGTGATCATAAAGAAATGCAATTTTGAAGTGATTAGAAGTTGAAATTTGTTACCGAGAAGAATGGGGATGTCACGTTTGGGCATAGAGAAGGGATAAGGAGAACCAAGACGAGGGTAGATGATGAGAGCACCGTAGACTGTGGCTCTAAGCCAGCGGCTATGAGCGTGCCACCAAAGTGTACCTTCTTGGTCTTCGATTGTGAACCTGTAAGTGTAGCTTTGTCCTGGACGGATCGGACACTGTGTTATGTACTCTGGACCATCAGCCCACGGGTTACGCAGCTGTCTGATTCCATGCCTGTCTCAAAAACAGAGTATAAAAACAGAGCAAAACAGAACGTAATGTTTGTTTGTTGATTTTGCTGATAGACTAATCTATTTAATTGATTACCAGTGGATGCTAATATTGTAACGAGCTCTGTTGACGACGGTGATTGCAAGCGAGTCACCGTTTCTGACCTCGAGCGTTGGACCTGGAAACTGACCATTAACGGTGATGCTTTGGTGAGTTCTGCATAGCCTCGTCACTGGTTTTGGCTGGATCTAAAGCCATCCACAAAAGAGACAACAGACACAAAATCGTCGGTTAAACTTTGATCAGTTACATTCATTAACGCTAATGATGATATTAGATAGCTTACCACGAATTGACGGACGTGAAGCTCAGCGGAAGCGAGGAAAGCGAAGTAAGCAAGAAGGGCGATGAAGGATACAAAGGAGAATTGCCGGAGAGACTCCATTGATGATATACCGTGAGAGGCTATGTAGTGGAGATGTGTTGTGTGAGTTTAGATGAAGGAGAGGATTGGTGTACTTATACATGTTAAGCGGGAAACAACAGAGCTTTTTTTGTGAATTCGTTAGCAATTTGACAAATTTTTATTGTATTTTACTAAAGTGGAACTATTATTAGGTTTAAAGTCAGCAGGAGGGAGAAAATTTCACAATGGATTTAGTTGATTTGGTGCACCCACTGGACTAATTTGGTACTAGGATCCTTCTAATAATTATCATAGATTCTTTTTTAGTTTGTTGTTTTAAGAAAATATAATATATGACTGTGGATTAAGTTGAGAAATAGCCATGCAATGTGCATTTGACACATTGAGTCAGTCAAAGTTTTGAAAGTAACTAATTTAGACATGAACATAAACACAATATTGTACATGTTTCCAGAGGTAAAGTTTTATGTTGTAACTAAAATATGTAATTTGGTTATATTTAACAAATGCAATATTGTGTGCTATATATATAGTACCTTTTAATATATATATATATAAAGTTGTTATCTGAAAGCTTTTTGACTAACCTATGAAATGGTCAGTGTAAAATATGGAATTTTAACCAGCTATTATAGAAGAAACATAAAGAGTCACAATTGGTAGATATGGACGCAAAATATTTCGAAAAGACTACAGCAGTTTTACCTGCTAATGGGGCTTAAAATTGATACTTTGAAGTTTGAAGATCTAAATAAGAAAGAAGTGGTTCGATGGGAGTTGAAATTTGTGGTATGGATTTGGTATAGAAATCCATAACTAATCAAGCAACTAACCTTTGCGGATTTTATTATTTTAAATCGTTCCACATTACACATACACCTGTGGTCGCACCTCACTTATATTAGTATTTTCTAATTCGTTTATATAAATGATTATATAGTCAGAGGATTAACTATGTGTTGGAAAAAGAGGTACCAGTACTGGCCACAATAAAAACGAAAAATATGAAGGCTACAAGCCTACAACTATTTCAAAATTAGGTTCATGTGTATAATTTTAATACTCTGAGAATTCTGATATTTTATCGTTATATCTAATGCCGGTTCAATAAATTTAAACTTCTTACTATAAAATATGTTTTTCAAAAAAAAAATTCAAAAATCACAAAACAGTAAAAATATTAAGAAAAAACCTTTATAACTTCATACAATAAAAAATTAACAAAAATATGTTCTTATTAAAACTTTGTACATAATATATATACCCCTTTAAGAAAAATTTAAGTAACTAAAATATGCTTTTGTTAAAACTTTGTAAATGATATTTTTACACACCTTAAAAAAACATTTAACAAGAACATGTTTATGATAATTGGATGTCCTATTCGGCTGCTTATCCTACATGTGCTTTAGAGTCTATATAATAAGGTGCTTTGAAATTTTGTATTATCCATGTTCATTATCACTATTTAATATGTTACGCAAAAATAATAAGGGTCACATTTTGTAATTGGCCTTAAACGTTTAAAAGTATGGACAGGGTATGTATGTATATATACTAGCTATCTGATCAACGACTTCATTTAAAATGTAAACAAATAAGATATGTTTAGTTTAAATTAAAACTTGATACTTTCAGATCCACAAAAATGCATATTTTATTAGTAGTGTGAATTGTTTGTTTGTTTTTTGGGCAACAGGGCTTTTAATAGTGATGTGAAAGTGCGTATACATCAAGGTTGGCTATACTAATATACTGCTAGTGAATTATATGCCTTTCACGTGTTTTGTTTAAGAACGTGCGTACACATACAGTACTTGGCTAATTTTCAACGCTGATTAACATAGTCAGAAATTAACGACAATACCGTTGGAGCTAGATTTAGCACCTAAATCTGGCACACATTAAGATCTAATAAAGGCCCATTTAGAGTTCGTTTGTCGGAATCTGGCACACATTAAGATCTAATAAAGGCCCATTTAGAGTTCGTTTTTCGGAAGCCCATTTACCGAAAGCTCCAATTATCTCGTCTAGCTGCACGATGGCTCGTTGCACGTGGAGCCAAAACCGGAGATCGTAACAAGGTAGTTCGAGAAGATCTCACAAAATCTGGAGCACGTGTGTTGAAGATCTCCGATATCCACGCAACAGTTAGAAGTCCAACAGCTTATATAAAGAAGCATGAACCCGACGGATAGATGATCTTGGACTCTTGAAATCATTCTCTTGTACGCTCTCGTCTTTACGAGCTATCGCATTACGAACTCTATTTGTAAACACTTTTCTCGATCAATATAAATCCATTTGAGTGTTCTATCTTATTCTTGTTTGGTTCATTGTGAGATTCTACCTATTCTTTCTCATCTCTTCATTCACTCTAAATACTTGAGTGTGGGATTTGCGTCCCACATTTTGGCGCCGACTGTGGGGAAGATAAAGAAATCTCTAACTCAGTAGCCCGGAGTAAGGCCAGTTAGAACGCCAATGGATCCACTCGCGACAGCACAGATCCACGCTTCCGTCAACTCCGAAGGTTCAAACCCTTCAAACACGACGGGAGCAAACAATTCCGCTCCCACGGGAGAAGCACCTACGGAGCAAACAAGTCCGCTCCTACCAAAGCAGCTCCCACGGGAGCAAACGATTCCGCTCCAACCGGAGCAGTTCCTACGGGAGCACCACAAACCGGATCTGAATCAGATCACGTTGATCTCAACCCTGATGCATCAACAGATCCAGCCACCGGCGAACCTGCGCCAACAGGACGAGCTCCCGGTGCGAACGCATCAACAGCTCGTACCAGATCGGGTAACTTGAACCCGAACGCTGACAGCTCCATCGGGGGTAACCCATACACCTGGGTGCGAGCAGAAGGCCGATCTAACGATCACATGCACTTCAACTGGCCGCGCCGCCCTAGAACGAATTCGTTCGGACAAACAAGAACCGATCCGAACGAAACAACAGAAATTCGAAGGATGCTCGATCTCCTGCTTGAGAAAACTCAGAATCAGGAAGCAGCCGTCCAGGCATTGATCCAACATCCATCGAAGCCCAACTCGTAAACATTCGAGCTACTGTCGAACGAACTACACCGCCACCATTGCACCGTGGTTCGACTTTTGAACAAAGAAATGGGACCGCGAGAACTCCGAGAACCGCGAGAACTCCGATCCAAGGAACTCGACTCCGATTCTCTCCGGTCTCAGGAACTCCTGGCACACAGAGAACATCTCACAATGCCGAAGCTCACAACGCTTCTGGTCAACAACCCCCAACCTCAGATCCGAACAATTCGGAGCAACCAAGAGCTTCTGCTCCGCGAGCATCAGCTCGCAGCGGAGAACAGTTTCCTCCACCCCCTCCAGGACCATTCGGAACCGGAGAAAGAACGCCTCCAAGACCGTCTCGGAACTAGGCCGCAGGGCACCGCCGCGGACCGAACACTACACTGGACACACTCAAGCACCTCCATGTTTTCGTCATCATTCGAGCAACCGCTCCCAAATGATACATACGAAACCGAAGTCCACTGAGGCAAACTCGAGAGAACATGCTTTCGAGCAACGAGCTCACACAAATCAAACTTACTTCGGTAACGATCCAGGCCTTCCGGCAGTTCGCAGAGCGAAACGAAGCGGAGCTCAGCGCATGAAATCTCTCATGCACTCAGCTTTGAGTGCTGCACCAGACATCGATCGCGTTATCGAAGAAACTCGCAGTACTCCGTTCTCTGATAGAATAGCCAATGCTAGAATCAGAGACATCGGAAAAATCAAATTCCCTGAGTATGCAGGAACTACCGATCCGAGAGCTCACGTTAGAGCTTTCAGACTAGCTGTAACTAAAGCTCACCTAAGTGACTACGAAAAAGAACCGGGCTACTGTAGATTCTTTGCAGAAAACCTGACAGGCCCAGCTCTTGAGTGGTTCGCAAGTCTAGAAGGCGGCTCAATAGATAGTTTCGATCAGCTCGTATCAGTTTTCCTTAAACAATACTCGATGTTTATCGAAACACGAGCTACAGAAGCCGATCTCTGGAAATTACGCCAAGGTCCTGATGAACCACTTCGCCACTTCATAGCTCGCTTCAAAGAAGTGAAAGCAAAATCGCAAACCTCAATGATGGTGTAGCCATTGACGCCCTTGCAGAACGGGCTGTGGTTCACCTCACAATTCAAACACGACCTGGCGGTCAGACCCACCAGCTCGCTCGACGATGCGCTGCATAAAGCAACATTTTTTGCTCACGCAGAAGAGGACTATTCGAGCAATCTCGAAAAGTACAATGCTAGGTTACTAGCTGCAGGAAAAATGTACATGCTATCACAACAGTAGCTCGCAGAAACAAAAACGCTCATCTCAATAAAGAACAAATTTTGCAAAAAGCAAAAAAACGATAATGAGGAACAAGAATCCTCGAATCGGAGGAAGAAAGTGACGGAACACTCCCAACCACTCCCAAATCAAAAAGGGGAACTCAAAACAAAGCTTCCCAAAAGAGGAGGCGAGCAGAGGAAGAAAACGATTCTCCTCCTCCCGCTTTTAAACAGCGAATAGACATGATATTCAAAGACCTCGCGCAATGCGGCGGTTCGACGAAATCAGTAACAACACCACCTCCTGCTCCCAAGAAAACTCTATGTCAACGACTAAGTGAACTTAGCCTTTGTAGGGGGGTATAGGGGCATCTGCTAAAAAAAATAAATTTATAACCTGAGACTCGAAATTCTATTTGAAACTCCATAAACTCCATAAAAGAGCGAGCTTCAATAGATATTTATCTCAAAATGCGTTATTACAAAAGTCTGTATAGACATAACCGTCGCAACAGATGCACGAACATTGACTCGGATTCCGACAGCTCGGATCCCGACAGCTCGATCCCACGCTTATGGAACACCATAAACCAAAAAACTACTACTATTAAGTAGTAAAACAATCGAACTACGTCAAGGCTTGATCCCCCGACGGGGTACGTAGGCAGCTCACCGTCGAGTTCAGCCACCACATTTTTTCAAACAACTTCATTTATATGACTTGTATCTTGTTTTCCGACAGTTCGCATACAAGTTATATCCAACGAGCTATCCCAACAAAAGCTCGACAAACCAAAGTTCACCACCAAGTAGTCGAACTTCGCGAACAAACAAACACTACATAAAGATCTCTTAAAACGATCCTTTATATCGAACTCGGATCATCAAATGATCCTCCAAAACGTCTGGCCAGACTAACCTAAATGAGTTCGTCAGTTCGCGCAACCTTAGTTCGTCTCAAATCCGAACTACCGCATATGCAAACATGCTCGCGGTCAAAAGGACTTAGTCTAAAAACCTAATCCTCAACCTTCGTTCGTCTAAACGAACTACCGCATACGCAAATATCTGCTCGCGGTCAAAAGGACTTAGTCTAAAATCTAATCCTCAAACTTAACTTCTTCTCTATCTTCCGCCTATCGAGCTCATCACTTTGCTCAATAGGCTGGGGGGCTATTGTTGGAGCTAGATTTAGCACCTAAATCTGGCCCATATTAAGGCCTAATAAAGGCCCATTTAGAGTTCGTTTGTCGGAAGCCCATTTACTGAAAGCTCAATTATCTCGTCTAGCTGCACGATGGCTCGTTGCACGTGGAGAAACCGGAGATCGTAACAAGGTAGTTCGAAGAGATCTCACAAAATCTGGAGCACGTGTGCTGAAGATCTCCGATATCCGCGCAGCAGTTAGAAGTCAACAGCTTATATAAAGAAGCATGAACCCGACGGAAGAATCTTTACTCTTGATCATTCTCTTGTATCTCGTCTTAGAGCTATCGCATTACGAATCTTTCTGTAAACACTTTTTCATCAATATAAATCCATTTGAGTGTTCTAATCTTATTCTTGTTTGGTTCATTGTGAGATTCTACCTATTCTTTCTCATCTCTTCATTCACTCTAAATACTTGAGTGTGGGATTTGCGTCCCACAAATACGTCTACTAAGTAAAATGAGTTAATTAACGACAATACGTGCGTACACAATCAAGCTACTACGTACAGTGTAAAAAGAAACAATATATGTAGTTGTCATAATCAATATTTTAGAAAACATTTTAACAAATAAATTATTTATAAGTAAAACATGTTTATGGAGGAAGCAGGTTTAAGTTTTGAACTTAGACAAAAAAATCCTTGCTTAATTAACTCACACCCAATTCAAGTCGACCTAATATAAAATTAGGTTAGCAATAAATTGACATATTTGGTAATGCGACTATGTGAGAAGAGAATCATGTGCATGTCAATTTTTTTTTTGTCAGTCTTGGAAGTCTGAAAAAAAAAGTGTGTGCATAATTAAGTGTGTTAAAGATACTCTCTCCGTTTCAAATTAGTTATCATTCTAAGAAAATGTATCTGCAATTTTTTTGATGTATCTGGATGTGTTTTGAGTTTAATACGTCCAAAAAATTGCAGATACATTTTTCCATAATGACAACTAATTTGAAACAGAGAATATTGAAATTACTGTTCTCCTGTATATAGATGACCGAATAATATTCAATATTATTTTCTAATTATTATGGATCGAAATTCTAATTCAATAAATTGTATCAAAAGTACAAAATAAATCCTTTGTATTCAAAAAAAAATAAAAATAATTTAATAAAGAACAAAAATTACAAAATTATTATAAAACATGAAGAGTATTTCCATTACTCTTACGTAAAACATTGAAAATGTAAAGAAAAAAAGAGATTGCCATAGATTGCCATAGATTTACGCCGTCGTCAATTTTACGACAAAATACATTTAATTCCGTAATTTATAGTGACGCAACTAAACCTTAACCCAACCTCGAATCTGAGCATCAACGAAGTTACCAAGGTAATTGTAAGCAGCTTCCGAGGGATGAATGGAATCCCAAAACACGTGATCCGAATGATGTGGACAAGTCTTTGTAAAGTCATTGCACAGGAAAGCCGCTTCCAAAAGCCCTGTTCCACAACATCCTTTCTTCGTCTCCTTGAACCCTATTTTATATTTCATTTTTAGGAACTTAATAACTATATATTGAAAAACGTTAACAAGACAAAAAACTATTTGACTTGCATGTGGAAATAGGAAGTAATGTACCATATTTTATAGGGTTTTGGACCATGTCCATCAAAGGGTCATAGACGTTGGCATAGAGAAACTTGCTTCCTTGTAGAGACGCTTCGATTTGTCGCATGTGCTTCTCAAGTTTCTGATTGTATAAGACTGAGTCTTTGTTCTCTTGCTCCACGCAAACTATTTGACTTGCATGTGGAAATAGGAAGTAATGTACCATATTTTATAGGGTTTTGGATCATGTCCATCAAAGGGTCATAGACGTTGGCATAGAGAAACTTGCTTCCTTGTAGAGACGCTTCGATTTGTCGCATGTGCTTCTCAAGTTTCTGATTGTATAAGACTGAGTCTTTGTTCTCTTGCTCCACGCAAGCCCTGGTATGGCCACTTTGCGGTTTGATGGTCATTTCGATTGGTAAACACCCAATCGGCGGCAACCCTCCAACCATAAAATTCCGGCAGCCTAAACCGTAAAGCTCCTGGACACACGTAAAAAAAATTAAAAAAACAAATTGAAAAATCCAACCAGATAAAGACCAAAGAAAGAACAATTAGACCAAATAAATTTATGAGACATTACTCTGACAAAACCGTCAAGCCTCTTGAGCACAAAGTTTTGGTAACCAGAGATGTGAGGAAATTCTATGCGCCTCGTGGGGATCGCGTAATAGTTTATGGCAAAATCGTTAGTCCCTGCGCTTATGACCACTAAAGCGTTTTTAATGATCTCCATCGCTTTCTTGTCTCCTACGATACCTTTAAGACGAGCTATGTAAATCTTGAACATGCTTGGTTGTTGTGAGACCGGGATCGCTAGGCTAGTTAGGGAGGTCAGGTCATCATAGCCCGATCCCGCGGATGCAAAACTGACGCCACTTACTATGTCTTGGTCGGAGATGATTGGTTGTAGAAACGGAGGAACAAACTCTTTTATGTTTAAGTTTGGTAACGATGATATCAGTGATTAGCTTTCCGTTCGAGAATCTTCCGTTGGCTACGTGGCCAGGAAGATCAACGCCGTAAGGGAGATGCTTAGCCTTCAAGAGGGCTGGTAAGAAGTAGTTGTTGACTTGTTGTTCCCTGTATCTACGGTTGAATCGCCGAAAACAAGAATCGCCGGGAAAAGCAGCTTTGATTTTGATTTGTCGTTTGTGGCCGCTATGCAAGACGCAAGGAGTGTTGATACAAAGAGAGCAAACACTATGGTTTTAGATGTAGACATTGTGAAGAAAAAGATATAAGCTTGAGTTATTTGATTTTTTCTTTATTGATGAGAGGAGTGGATTTCTAAAGAGCTTGATGGTGAACTATATATAGGGCTTTCTGTTTTGAGATAGAAGCTTTGAATACGTAGGCTAACTAGAGCTATCAACGAGGTTGCACGACTTGTAGTATATTAGGAAAAGTTTTTAATTACAATTAAGATATATTGCAACGTTTAAGAATTAATAGCATTAAGTCTTGAGTCTTGAATTCTACCATGGACGCATGTTTGTTGTTTTATATTAGTAATATAATATATATATATATATATATATACATTTTTCTAAGCTTCGGAATATTCGTTGGGTTATTTTGAAGTTTTGTATATGTTTTCGTGGATGCACGACTTGTAGTATATTATCAGGACGGCTTAAACACTAGCTTTTAAATTACAGTTAAAATATAATGCAACATTTAAGAACTAAACATAATCTTGAGTCTTGAACTTGATCATGGACGAGGATTTCCTAACATGATCTCTTATGGACTATCAACTATGTGATATTTTTCTAAAGCGAATCAAGTGTTAGAGGGAGAAAATATTTTCCACGTACAGCATAAGTCATACTTAGTGGTGGTGATGCAAGTAGTTGAGAGTTCATTCCGATTGTTCTTCTTTTGGCAAAGTTCGTTTTTTTTTGTTCTGTGATTTCAATCATCATTGGCTACCCATAAATACATTTGGTTGTAAGAGAAAATGAATTTCTATGCTTAGGCTTGAAAGATTATCCTGAGTTTTGGCCTGAGATTTCCTTCGATTTAACGGGGAAAAAACTCTTATTCGATAGGTTATGACTGACTTATGACAAAGTTTCGATAACTAAACATTTTTTTTTGGGTTGAAACTTGTTGTGTTATATTAAATCTACATAACTAATAAGGCTTGGACATTCTCCAATTCGGAACACGTGGCACCTTCTTTTTTTTCTTGCGTTGTAATTTTTTTTTTTCGTGTAACACCAAAACGAGGTCGTTTCTACCTGCAATAAAAAAACAAATTATTAAGAAAAAATTAATTCAACCCAATAACCTCTCGTCTCGCCGACCTCTTCTCTCCGTCGACGCGGTCGTTTTGACGATCCACCTTCATCCGATCTCCCATTATTTTTTCCACGATTCACACCCAAAGGTCACCGTTCAATCACTCATTCACACGGACCGTCCTCCCACCATGGTTCACGCTGGATCTGTCACCCTCCTTCAATTTCGACGAATTAGAATCGTAATTAGAAACGGATTCTACTTAAATTCTCGCAGTTGTTCGATCGGAAAGCGTCTCCTACAGAGGAGAAAGTAAACTGGAGCGATGTTCGTCAGATAGACTGATCATCTCTCTAAACAGGCCACCATAGGTTTAAAAAAAATTCCTTTTAGTTGCGTTTGTTTAATTTCTCGATTTGTCTTTCTTCTTAAAACTCTAAAATAGTGGGAATGCTATGGACTGGAGAAGCTCCAAAAGCTGAATCACTTAAAGAGCAATGGAGTCTTACTTAAACGCTCCTCAAGGCTTCTTGCTCTGTTGCCATGGAAGCACAATTGGTGCCGGTCCTACTCTTTCTTCAACCATACATTCTTCTGTCAAGCAAATCGTCGATTCCAGCTTCAGATTGTTGCGCGGCTCCGTCTCCTTATACGTTAATCCATACTAACTAACGTTTCTACGCTTTCTTCTTAGTTCATATCTAAAATCTTTAGATGGAACTGTTCTATGCTCTCTGTCTGCAGAAGGATCATATGAGAAGGGGAAGAAGCCGTCAATTCCGAAGATTTCAGGAGCAGTTTGGGAAGCATGTTCCAGTTTCAAGAAAGTCCCTGGAACAAACAGAGATTGGTAGAGGGATCACGCAGGTTGCGGTTTCGATGAAGGATGTTCTAGGGAGATGATGAACGAAGTCAAGCCAGCTGGTGATGATCACAACTCAGATGATGGTGATGAGGATGAGGACGATGATTTTGGTGATGATTTGTCTCGTGAAGAAATGGAAGCAGCGAAAATGGTTGCTGAGATTGTCTCTGACACGATCTCTCTGATTAAAGAGCTCATCCGAGTTATCACCGCCTGGGATGATGAAGATGGAGAATGCAAAGGACGAGAGCGGGTTTGTGGACTCGCTTGAGAAGCTTTTGAAGCAGTGTCAAGGAACAGGAGCGCATATCGACGAGCTTGGAGCTTGCGTTTATCCGCCGCAGGAGATTAGTAAGATGAAGCAAGCGGTGGAGGTAATAGAGGGGAATGTTGATGAGTTCGAGGCTGAAGTTGAGCGTTTGCAGAGTTCTTCAGACGCGTTTTCGGGAGCTTGTGGGAAGCTGCGAAGGTCGATCAAACACATGGAGACTGAGTTGGATAAAAGATGTGAAGATGAAGTCGTTGTTGAAATGCAGAATGTTACTCTTGGAAGTTATAAAAGTTTGGATTTTTTTGCAATATTTCTTTGAAGTTTCGATTTTTCTTTTTTAGTCTTTTTTTTGCTTCGGTCGGAAAGTGGAGCATGTGTCTTTTTAAGATTCATGTAATATGTGTTGTTCAGTGTGTTGCTTACATTTCCCAAAAATCTATAGATATGTAACTCCAATGTTGAAAAACTACTCAGTTCTTGCTAAACTATAGTGGACATTTTGTTGGTTGCGATGAGTTTTGGGTAGTAAATCAAATCTATCTACATCTGAATAGAAATCTCATATTTGGCATTCTTGGTCAAGGTAAAGGAGTTTCCATCTTTGTGATTTTGGTATATATCATTGTTGTGTGTGTTTTTTAAGCAAAATGCCTCCAAGTTCTTGAGTTAACAGAAACATAGTGGAATCAACCATATCTTGAATTTATTAACTTTCAATTTTTTTCCTTTTCTTTGATCATTGCATGTCAAAGAACCTTAGCATCTGGTTTATTCTGCTTTGCAAGAGTCCTGCTAAAGAATTTTTAGATGAATGACTACGGCAAGAAATATTGTTTGTCTCAGGTGGAAGCAATCGCCAGCTGTGGAGGTCAGGTGACTACTGATGGCAATAAGATACAAACAAGTGGTGTGAAACATCATCAAAGCAAGACAACCTGCAGCTCAGAGAGAGGAAATTTTCAGACTAAACCTTATAGACAGTATTTTAAGTGTTTTCTAAATTATAAATATTGTACAAATTTGTGAAATGATTCTAAAGAAACACAACATGCAAGTAAAATAATAATGGAAAATATGCAAAATGAACATAAATGAAAGTATTAACATAAATATTGTAGAAGACAAAAATCCGCGCAGCTACTTTCCTATATTTTCATGTTTTTATTAAAAATAAAATAATATTTTAAACAACTATAACTATATAATCCCGCGAGTTGCGCGGGTGCTCTCCTAGTAAGTATAATAAGATATAAAAAATATTCAGAAAAGATATGGGCCAATAACAAAAACATTTTCCCGGCGGGCCATAGACGAACTTTTTTTGTGGATATGATTATAAGATCTTTTTTTATCCATAATACAGCACAGGCTCCGTTCTGTCAAAACAGATTCTTCTAAGGGGGAAATTGGCAAAGTACCCCAAAAAAAGGCCACTGTTGTCTTTTACCCATTTTTTTGACTTTGGCCATTTTTTGCCTTAATTGTCCTTCAATATTGTTAAAACCTCATAATGAATATTTTTTTAAGTGAACAAAATTTCTAAAATTCCTAAAAATGATGTCAAGAATGTGTAAAATAGTTGAACATTTTTTAAAATGTTTTGGATGGTTAGAAAATTCTTTGAAGTTTTTGTTCTACAAAGTAAATTATCAAAGCAGAATACGTTTTCTACAAGATATTCGCACGTCTAACCGCCGTAGAATATGATATCTACAACTTCTTCATTCATCTTCCGGATTAGACTTCGATATCTACCATATACAATACACTCTACCATTTTGTAGAATTCGCTCCAAATATATTCTACAGAATACACCATCCGCTACTAATCGTAGATTTCAAATTCTATGGTAAACACTGCTATCTACCGGTCCTAGTTTTCGTGTACTACATATTTCATGTTTTTCTGCATGGCGTAGAACCAGTGATCTACTAAAAAGAAGACTTCTACAATCCGCAGTAATCGTGTTTCCACTGGATGTTCTACTAAATAGGTGAGTTCTACATTTTGTAGAGTTCAACTTCTGCCAAAATCGAGAGAATATTGCAACCAAATATTTTTCAAATCTTTGTTTCCTTATTTTCCTCCAACTATCCGAAAATATACCACGACTAATCCTCCATGTTCTTCCTCGTCTTCTTCATCCCCTTCCTCCTTTGTAGTCCTCTATCTCTCTATCATTTCTTAACTAATATGGTTCTATGTAGCTTGTGGTTCATGGAAAATGTTTTAATTTATTTTAAAATAAATAAGGTTCAAATCTATGTAGCTTATGCTTTGATATTTTAGAATTGTAGAACAAAACTTCAAAGAATTTTCTAACCATCCAAAACAATTTTAAAAATATTCAAATATTTTACACATTCTTTAGATCATTTATAGGACTTTTAGAAATTTTATTTATTTTAATTTTAATTTTTGATTTTGTTTTATTTATTTTAATTTTTTTAAATCGAAAAATGTTTAAATTTCTAAAAAAACATTATCAACTCAATTTCAAGGTTAAAAATGGACAAATTGCCAAAAAAAAAGTGTATTGAGACAAAGATCAAATGCAAAAGTGTAATGGGACAAGGAAGCCTTTTTTTGGAGTATTTTGGCAATTTTCTCTTCTTTTAAACAAAACAAACATAGCCAATATACATATAAAGAAATAAATTCTTTTTAAAAAATTATGATGTTTTAAGGGATTTTTTTAAATTATCAAGTTAAGGAAAAAAATTGTGTTGTAAAATTTAGAAATTTTTGTATTTTTATGATTTTTTAGTGAAAATCTTGTTCAAATCATAGCTAGGCTGAGAGGGAATTAAAGCTGGCTACAACTGATGTTTCACTCATTGTGGATTGTGATGTGTCGCAGACTTGCAGACGAGAGTGACTTGGGTGTAGAGTTGAACGTAATTCCAGTTCAGATCTGCATTGGCGTTTTGTCTTATCCGAACTATTAATTAACGTTAATCTCAAGTCTATTACTTCAACCTCCATTATACGTACAAAGCTATAGACGATGGTTCACCCATACAAACTAGCTCATGGTCTTTACAAACTCAAGAGCCAGAACAAAATATATAAAGCTGGATTAAACATCCGAGCTTAGTTTGGTTCATTTCTTAGTAGTCAAATCACCAAATCTTACGCTTCGTGATAGAACAATAAACAAATACAACCATTCCAATGATCCCAAAAATTGTCAAATCCCTAATATATTAAAATATTAAAAGAGAAAACACTATTAAACTAACCTTTGTCTAATGTGTTATTAACAAAAATGTCATTGCTTATGTGTCATCACTAGGTTCACTCTCAAGCCATTTTTAATTAAGACAAATTTTACTAGACAAATTACAATATATGTCATTGTATAAAATATCTTTATTTACTTAGAATTAAATGTTCAACTCACTAACATTACGTTAACCGAATTTAGCTCATTGGTTTATCAGCTCCATATATACAATCTATTGGTCATAACACAATTCGGTTTGGTTGACAAGAAAGTATCTGAGATAAAGGATTATATTAAAAGAGAAAGAAGCCGAATTATACACATAGTTTTACCTGACAATTTGTTACATGTGCCCAGGATTGATTTTTAAAAATATATCTACATAGTTTTAATTTTAGAAGCACATTTTATTTAGTCCTACTCTACCAAACATATTATTCTGTCTAAGGTGTGACGTGAAAAAAAACAGGGAGAAGGCCGTTAAACCATCAATTAATCAATTTAAACCGAATTAGAATTAAGGTTAGACAGAAGCTTTGTCATTAATAAATTAGTTGAGATAAAGATTATGAAAATGATATTAATTTGCATTAACATTTCCAGCAGGTTTCATATTTTTACTCATTGAAAGATATTGCAATGTTTAAAACTATTCATTTTATGGAAACCTAATAAGTTTCACCTATTAAATGAGAACGTACAGATCGGAGTCAAATATCACAATTTTATGCGTGTCATATGCAATTTTTACATGTATGGAAACGTACAGATCGGAGTAACTTCCTATGTCACAGTTCATCATTAAAAATATTGATCGTCAAGTTATTTTGAATTTTAAATTTATGGTAAAGTAATATTCCAAGGTTTCCAAACACTTGATTGATAATCGGTGTAACGGAGGATTTATAATGTCGTCAATCACTTTAAAATCGTTATCAAAAATATGATTCTCTGCACTTAATGTTGTGTTATATGATACCAAACCCTCGAACCTCCTCCCTTTCTTATATAAGGTCTTGACATATGAATGTCAAACTCACCTCAAAATCCATCGGAACATAACTCAATACAAAAAAGCTTAGTTTGTTAAGTATGTCTTCCTTAAGCTCTATCACTGATCTGAAATTTAAACTTTTCTTCCAAGACAATAACCAAGAACGTGTTATAAAATATGCTGAAAAACAAAGGGGTGTTTGCTGAAGCAGTAAATTCTTACATTTTTACAAAGAACTTCCTTGCGCAGGTCAATCCCTAGTGTATCTTAATTTGTATTACAAAAAAAAAAAAAAAAAAAAAAAACTGTTCTTAATAAAGAACATAAATTACAACATTATAATAAAACATGAAGAGTATTTCCATTACTCTTACGTAAAACATTGAAAATATAAAGAAAACAAAAAGAGATAATAATCAGCAATTAAGCACCCATTAGGTACGTAGATCTCCATGGTGCCACAGATTTATGCCGTCGTCAATTTGACGACAAAATACATTTAGTTCCGTAATTTAGTGACGCAACTAAACCTTAGCCCAACCTCGAATCTGAGCATCAATGAAATTACCAAGGTAATTGTATGAAGCTTCCGAGGGATGAATGGAATCCCAAAACATATGATCCGAATGATGTGGACAAGTCTTTGTAAAGTCATTGCACAGGAAAGCCGCTTCCAAAAGCCCTGTTCCACAACATCCTTTCTTCGTCTCCTTGAACCCTAATTTCATTTCATTTGATTTTTAACAACTTTAGTATATATTGAAAAACTTAACAAGAAAAAAGTTATATGACTTGCGTAATTAGGAAGTAATGTACCATATTTTCTAGGGTTTTGGATCATGTCCATCAAAGGGCCATAGATGTTGGCATAAAGAATCTTGCTTCCTGTTAGAGACGCTTCGATTTGTGGCAAATGCTTCTTCAGTTTGTGATTGTATAAGACTGAGTCTTTGTTCTCTTGTTCCACGCAAGCCCTGGCGGTTTGCATTTTGGTGGTCATTTCGATTGGCAAACACCCAATCGGCGGCAACCCTGCAACAACAAATTTCCGGCAGCCTAAACCGTAAAGCTCCTGGACACACGTAAAAAAAAATTTGAGAGATTTAACCAGCCAAATATCAAAGAAAGAACAATTAGACCAAAGAAATTTATTTGACAATACTCTGACAAAACCGTCAAGCCTCTTGAGCACAAAGTCTTGGTAACCAGAGATCTGACGATAGTCTATACGCCTCGTGCGCATAGTGTAATAGTTTATAGCAAAATCGTTAGTCCCTGCGCTTATGACCACTAAAGCGTTTTCAATGATCTCCATCGCATTCTTGTCTCCTACGATACCTTTAAGACGAGCTATGTAGTTCTTGAACATTCTTGGTTGTTTTAAGACAGGGATCGCTAGGGTAGCTATGGAGGTCATGTCATCATAGCCCGATCCCGCAGATGCGAAACTGACGCCATTTACTATGTCTTGGTCGGAGATGATTGGTTGTAGAAACGGAGGAACAAACTCTTTGATGTTAAGTTTGGTAGCGATGATGTCAGTCATTAGCTTTCCGTTTGAGAATCTTCCGTTTGCTTCGTGGCCAGGAAGATCAACGCCGTAAGGGAGATGCTTAGCCTTCAAGCGGGCTGGTAAGAAATAGTTGTTGTTCCCTGTATCTACGGTTGAGTCGCCGAAAGCAAGAATCGCCGGAAAAAGCAGCTGCGATGTATCGTCGGCGGCTATGCAAGACGCAAGAAGTGCTGATACAAAGAGAGTAAACACTATGGTTTCAGATGTAGACATTGTGAAAAAATATATATGATTTGAGTTATTTATTTTTTTCTTTAGTGATGAGGGGGGTGGATTTTTTTGTTCTTTCTGCGATTTCAGTCATCATTTGCTATCCATAAATACAATTGGTGGTAAGAGAACATGAATTTCTATTCATGTGGTTTGGAAAATTAGGCTATATATGCATGTGCTTTGGAAGATTAGGCTGAGTTTTGGCCTGAGGTTTCCTTTGATTGTTAGGAAAAAAGATCTTATCTTTGATAAACATTCGGTAGGTTCTGACATAGTTTCGATAACTAAACATATTTTTGGGATGAAACATATTTTGTTGTTAAATATGATATACGAGATCTATTTTCTATTTTGTTCATAAATCTCTACGGCCGCCGGCGAAGTGCTTTATAGTTATCGGGCCATGTATACTGAAAGGGCTTGCTAATGCATAGATTAGTCGAGAGCATGGATTTCGAAATCCATTGACACATTTCTACTAACCATAACATTTTCTTTGGAAAATTAATTCTCATTAGTACTTTTTTCGAAAAAATATTTCAAGCAACAACATCACCAACGTACATAAGTTGCAATGATGTGTATTTTTCTTCCATTGTTTCATAATAAGTGTCATTTTGACACTTTTCACACAAATTAAGAAAATAGTTCAAAGTTCACTTTTACCTTTGTTTTGACTATTAGAATATTACAGTATTTAATGTTTTTTATTATTTAATTATGGGCAAAACAGATAAATTAATATGAAAAAGTGCATCAAAATAAGAAAATGACACTTTTTTGTAACAAGAAAAAACTTATAAAATGACACTAATTATGAAACAAATGGAGTAATGTTTGTGTATCTTTAGTTTTTACTGTCTTATAAGATATATATTGTATTATTATTTTTATATAATTTTGACTAGAAAAGAAAAATAATTAACTAAAAAAAACATTTAAGAAAATACAAAATTTCAAATCAAATGACATATTGACCAGTAATAAAAGAATTAAAAATTATTAGTTTCCAAATAAGGAAAAAAATTAAAGAAATCTAGAAACAGTTAATTTTATTAAAAAAAATGATAAAACAGAAATATGTTATTGGATATGCGTTAAGATTTTGGCAATATTCAAAGCTCATTTTAGAAAAAGTTTCAAAAAAAACGAAAGATACAATTGCCATCTTTTAACGTCTTACTGTGGGCATGTTCGTTTCAAAATCGCAGAGTCAGCGCTGCGACTCAAAAATACGTCAACGGACTAACACAAATACTGTCCAGAATGAAAAAAGTGACGGAGCGTCGGGATTTCCGGTGTCGCAAAGGACGTTGGGCGAAATCAGCGGCAACTAATATGATCGCTGCGACTAGTTTGACGGTGTTGCCGCTGTTACTCTCCGCATGGTCGGGTTGCAAGTAGCTTATATTTTTGAGTCGCAGGACGCTGACGCTGCGATTTTATCAAATTACGAGATTTTTTTCTTCTTATGTTTTTAGGGATTTGTTTTTTTTTTTTTAATTTAAATTTTCATCTGAAAATTGGAAAAGACGCTCTCGTCTCGTCTTTCCAAAATTTCAAAACCCGCTTCTCCTTTATATTTCCCCCAATTTCTCTCTTTCTACATCACTCCATTTCTCCCAATTTCTTCTCTCTACATCACTCGATTTCTCTCAAATTTCCATTTCTCTCTTGGAACCATGGCGCAGTATCCTTGCAACGAAGAAGGAGTATGCATGCGCTGCAATCTAAAACCACCAGCGGAGATTGAGTGCCTCTCGTGCAGCACGTGCGGCACGCCTTGGCACGTGTCTTGTCTCTCCTCCCCTCCCGAAACCCTAGAATCCACTCGAGCGTGGGAGTGCCCCGACTGCTCCGGCGACGACATCGATCCCGTCCCGGTTTCCGGAATCGCCGGTGTTAAATCGTCCAACGGCTCTGTCCTTGTGGCAGCGATCCATGCGATCGAGGCCGATGAGTCTTTGACTGAGGCTCAGAAAGCTAAGAAGAAGCAGCAGTTGGTGAGCGGCAAAGTCGATGAGGACGTAACGAGGAGGAGGAGGAGAAAAATACCGGTGAAGACGGTGACGTGTTAGCTGCTCTTCGTCTCAATTTCTTCTGTTCCATTTGCCAGGATTTGCCTGAGAGGCCAGTCACGGTTTGTTCCCTCTCTCTCCCTCTCGCTTTACTCACTCATAGATTCAATGCCTCTTATGCTTGTGAATCTGAAATCTTTGCTCTTAAATTGCTACAACTTAGATTCATGATACTTCAAATCCAATATTAAAACTGTTAATTTTAGGGTTTCTTTTCACCTTTTCTGCTTACCATTTGTGTCATTAATACTTGCTCGTTTACACTTTGATTGATTGTTGATCTATTTAATTTTGGTTGTTCAGTTTTGAAAAAGTTGTGTTTAGTGTCAAAGACGGCCAAACTTTTGCGTTTTCTGTGTATTTGATGTTGTGAATGTGAAGCATACCTTTCTGTATTATCTTTGACAAAGATGATTGATATTTTAACTTAGGTGTAATGGATATTCTCTTGCAGACACCTTGCGGGCACAATTTCTGCTTGAAGTGTTTTCAGAAATGGGTTGCGCTAAAGAAGTTTACTTGTGTGAAATGCTGCCGTGCAATTCCGAGGAAGATGGCGAACAACCCTCGCATTAACGACTCGCTAGTTGCTGCTATTCGTCTGGCGAGGGTTTCCAAATCTGCTGCTCCTAGGGGAAATGCCAAAGTGTATCACTTCATCAGCAACCAGAACCGTCCTGACCAAGCTTTTACAACTGAGAGGGCTAAGAGAACAGGCAAGGCTAATGCCGCAAGTGGAAAGATCTACGTGACTATCCCGCCAGATCACTTCGGCCCCATTCCAGCTGAGAACGATCCAATCAGAAACCAAGGGGTGTTGGTTGGAGAGTTTTGGGCCGACAGGCTTGATTGCAGGCAGTGGGGAGCGCATTTCCTGCACGTTGCTGGCATTGCTGGTCAAGCTGACTATGGAGCTCAGTCAGTGACACTCTCTGGAGGCTATGCGGATGACGAAGACCATGGTGAATGGTTTCTCTACACAGGAAGGTTCGCGTTTTTACATTACTCTTTAGCCATTAGTACATTTGATCAATCCTTATTTTCAATTTAAATTTGTCAATTCTTGGCCTTTAATCTGCGTGAATGTTTTTTATTCCAGTGGAGGAAGAGATTTAAGTGGCAACAAAAGAACTAACAAGGTTCAGTCTTATGACCAAACGTTTACAAAGTCAAACGAAGCTCTAAGACATAGCTGCAAAATGGGCTATCCTGTCCGTGTTGTCAGGTTAGCTGTTTCTCACTTTCTGCAAAATGATTCTCTGTCGATACCTTATCTTGATTGAATAAATATACTGCTGGTTGCTCTCTTTGGTTGAGTTAGTATGGTGTTTTTTTGGTTAGTTTTATCTATCTTTATGGATATACTTTGCAGAAAGTTTAGTCAACTTTCTTGATTCTTTACCAATGATCAGGTCTCACAAGGAGAAGCGATCAGCATATGCCCCTGGGGAGAAAGGAGTGAGATATGATGGTGTTTACAGAATCGAGAAATGCTGGAGAAAAGTTGGAATTCAGGTTTCAGATTAAAGCTAACAATCATAAATGTGCTTCCTTTTATGATTTACTTTGCTGACCTTACTCTTGTGTTTTGGATAGGGTAAATATAAAGTATGCCGTTACCTGTTTGTCAGGTGTGACAACGAGCCTGCACCATGGACCAGGTTTGGATCTCTTTTATTGAAAACGCCATTATTCTGTATTGTCGCTTAGTTAATTTAGTTATGCTCACCGTTGGCATTTTTATACTGCAGTGATGAGCATGGTGATCCTCCGAGCGATTTGCCTAATATCCCAGAGCTTAAGAAGGCTACTGACCTCTTTGAGAGAAAGGACACTGAAACTCCATCATGGGGTTTTGATGTAAGCACTACAGTCCCCTCTCTTTCCTTTTCTTTTACTTTCACCATTTCATGATACGTTTTGAGCAAATGAGCAAATATTTAATTTCCTTTTGTGATACATTTAGGAATCTGAGGGTCGTTGGAAGTGGATGAAGGCTCCACCTGCGAGCAGAAAGTCGGTTGAAGCTTTAGATCCTGAGGAGAGGAGGAGTATTAAGAGAGCCATAAAAGCGGCACAAAACAACTCTGTCAGGGACAAACTTCTGAAAGGTCTGCTTTGTCCGTTTCTTTGCATTATTTTAAAAGGTCCACTTTCTTACTTTGTTGATGGCACAGGATTTAGCTGCCCGATCTGCCGTGAGGTGATGAATGCTCCGGTGACGACTCCATGTGGGCACAACTTCTGCAAAGGTTGCTTGGAAGGGAAGTTCGCAGGGGTTGCACATGTGAGAGACAGAAGCAGAGGCGGACGCACACTTCGTTCTCAGAAGAACGTCATGAAATGCCCTTGTTGCCCAACCGACATCTCTGAGTTTCTTCAGAATCCACAGTTAATCACAATCTCTTCTTCCAGTGTGTGTTCATTGGCAAACTTCAATTGTGTTGTCAAAGAGTGTCATAATATATATAACTTGTTGATGCGTAGGAACAGTATATAACTTGTTTGTGGTAAATTACTTTAAACAGGTGAATACAGAAGTGATGAGTGTGATAGAGGCGCTGAAGGAGAAAGTGGAGGAGCCAGCACCAGAGGAAGAAGGTGGAGAAAGCTCTGGAAACACAAGTGAAGAAAACATGGAATTTGAAGGTGGAAGCATGGAGTCTGAAGAAGAGGAATCTCAGATGGTTGGGTCTGAAGATGAGCCACCAACCAAGAAGATGAAGCTCGACGCTGAGCAAGGAGCAGCCACTGCGTCTGTTTAGGTCTTTTTAATGGGTGAGAAACCTTAAAAGAGTCTTTTTAAATATTGACAACAAACTCTCTTTCTATCTTTTTAGTCTTTACTCATCTCTCTCTTTCTCTCTTTTGGTCTGTAATATTACCTTTTGCGGTCCTTGTTTGGAAACAACAACAAAACCTTTATTCCATAACTAAAGGAATTAAAATATTGTTTATAAATTTCTCTAGTGTTTCTTTTTATTACAACTGTATGTAGAATAATTGGTGGGGAATGAAATTGGTGTGGCTTGTTTTGTTGTCAATCAATTTTACGAGTCTACAAGAGTCTCTCATTTTGCTTAAATCGGGAGATAATCTTATCATGAAAAGTATCTCCCAGCACAGTCAGATGTTCAAGAATTGGGAAAATTGGATCAGTTGAAGAGATTCTTCATCTTTGAAATCCACATCATGAAGAATCATTCCATCCAGTCTCAAAGAACACATGAGATTTGGAAGTATACAAGCTACTCTCGCTAATCTTGTACAAGAGATCATTTTTGAAAGCTTAACTCTAGAGATAGCTTTCAAACACTTGAGCATACTGAAGAGGCAAGTTCTTGTGAATTAAAGGATAACAACACACGTTTGTAGAGTGTAAAATAATTTGTTACCTATACACACGTTAATAATTAAAGTCCGTTTTGCTTTTGGTAAAATAATTTTTTTTTGTTTGTTTATATATAGTATTAAATGTTTCAGTTTAATACCGAAAAAAATACAATTATTATAACATGTAAATTAACTTAATCACAAAAACAAATGCAAACAAAAAAAGATATTTTAAGGTTTAGAGATGTTAAATATGATGTCTTTCACGGATTAACTCACACACTCACGTCTGGTCTGTTCTAAAAAAACATTTCAAAGTATAATATGTGCGATTGCAGTTTTCTGTTTTATCTTTAAACCAGTAAAATTATTTGTAGTTCAGTTTTATTCAGCTTGGTTTTATATATTTTTAGCCTCGTTTCAATTCATATTCAGGTCAGTTTTAGTTAGAAAAATGACTTTAAGATGTAAATATGCAATGAATAATTAACGTATATTTTTATATGTAAAAAGATAAACTTGTCAACCAGAAAAAGTACAAACATAAAAATATGAATTAGTTCAGTTACATTAAAATTGGTTGTGGCTTTATTAATCATCAACATTTCGTATAACACATTGATGTGTTTCCTCACAATGGAAGCTTGCATCTCGTTTTCGAGTGTATATAAACGGATATGGAAGCTGTGATTTGTATGTTCCTTTCTCTTGGCCGGATATTGTCACAAGAAATGGGTTCTTCAAAGGTAAAACCAAATGTTTTTTTTTTTTCAGTTTTGTTACTTACATTTAGCTAGGTTTTAGCTTGGATCTTGATTTGTGACTTGTAGAAATCCTTTGTTAGGGAGACATACTTTGATTCTCGGCAACCAACAAAAAATGTAAAACTAGAAGTTTGTAATTGGAGCTGGCCAATATACTTTGATTCATTGAACCGTTTGACCAAAAATGACAGCTATACAAGTATATTTTTAATCATGTTCTTTCTTGTCTAGCATTGTGATTGTTGTAAGTGGTGAACTAGGTGACTTGTCAAACTAAAGAAAGTTATGAGGTCGAGGTCGGAATACTTCGTATTAGAGGTAGGAAAAAGAGTCGAACTACAGCTTTACAAGAGAAGGAAGTCAGGAAGGTTGCTTATCCCAACTCCGAACTGAGTATCGAACTACAAACTGGATTGTCGAACTAGAGAGTACAATAAACTAGTGTTTAGCTCTCTAATCCAAGGGTTTCATGTCCCATCAACTAATATTACATGCTCTATTTATAGTCTAAACTTTAGGGCATCTCCAATAATCTGATGGTGATGTGGCTCAATCTCCTCCCTTCATCTTTAGTCTTCTTCCTTTGGCCTTTTGGAGTAGAGTTGGGCCTAGGTGTTGTTTGTGTTGGGCCCTTAATGAGGGTTTGGCACAAACCCACCATTAACAGTTGCCCCCCCGTAGTCCGTCGAGTCGAACTGAGCGTTGATCGGCATCGGCGGATTGCATTCGGAGTTTGGGCTCGGCACAAATAATACCTTAGGCCAGCATGTGAAAACGCTTTGTCTGCAGCGATTGGGAGAACTAAGAGGTCATCTGAAGGAGTTCGTCCAGGAGAACTAAGAGGTCATCCCGAGGAGTTCGTCTGGGAGAACTAAGAGGTCGTCTGGAAGAGTTCGACTGGAAGAACTAAGGGATTTGTCTGGAGGAATTCTTCTGGGAGAGCTAAGAGGTTGTCGAGAGACATAGTCAATATAAGATGTTGAACTCGGAGGATCTTGTTTTGGATGAAGTTGTAGTTGGGCGATGGTAGTTAGGCAATGATATAAACGCTTTAAGTTGAGCAGAGGAGAGCTGGTCGGCATGGAGATGGGAGATAGGAGATAGGAGATATGTATGTTTTGTATGTATAGTTGTACCTCGTGAGAGGTTGTCTACATACCCTCCGAAGAAGGATAAAGCCATTCGTAGTTCGTTGTTGGGGAACTCAACGCTGAGGTCGTCGCTGGGGAGTTTGATGTTGGGGTCGTTGCTTGGGAAGCTCGACGTTAAGGTCGTCGCTTGGGAGCTCGACGTTGAGACCGTCGCTGGGGATCTCGATGTTGAGGCTGTCATGGGATAGCTCGACATGCTGGTTGTCGCGGAAAATCACAGTTGAAAGGTCGCCACTGGATGGTTGTCGATGGGAGATCGTCGTTGAAAGGTCATCGTCAGATGGTCGTCAGTGGGAGATCGTTCTCGAGAGATCGTTGTCGAGTTTTCTGAGGTCGGACCTTCGGACTTCGTTTTGCTTTCCTCCGAGGTGGATGGTGTCAGACCTAGTAGTGTTCCCGAGTAGGCGGTGCTCGGATGTTTTTATTTTTGATTGTGTTAACTTTATATGTTTCTTTTGAATTGCTCCGGACTGTGGAGTTCGTTGGTGTTTATGTTTGAACCTTGCTTATTTCAATCGATGGTGTTTTTGCGATTTTTGTTCTAAGTCTGTTTTTAGACCTTACGAGATGCGCTCGATTTACCTAGTCGTTTTTAGACTTAGATTTTGCGAGACTGTGGCTTGGCTTAATTGACACACGGGCAGGCTTGGTCGGCCCTGATTCCGAAGTCGTGGATTATTTCACCATTGCATTCGTGGAACGCGTTTTGATCGAATGTTTGGCCAGAACACCGATGTAAGTTTAGGGTTGCGCGACGTGCGAACACCGTTTATGATTTTTTTTTTATTGAAGTAGCTGGACCTTTTGCAAGGCTGCCTACGTACCTCGAGATGAGGATCAAACCGATCGTAGTTCACTTTGCAAGTATGTATACTTGGTTTTTTTTTTTTTTTTTTTTTAAACGAACGAGGAGCTCGGTGGGACTCAACTCGGTGGAGTGGGTAGTTTGATGGAATGACTCAGTAGTAGTATTGTTCGAGGTTGGCGCTTCAGAGAGGACGATGTAAAGGTGTTCTACATCAAACCGGACTGGTACTCGTTGTAGAGGTGCTCCTGCAGTTGCCTGCACTGTTCGGTTGAGTGCCCGTAGAATTTGTGATGGTCGCAGTATGGTCTTTCCTCGCCACTCGGGGTATCTTCGGACGGCCTGATGTATTTGTTCCTCTTTGGTTTTGGTGGGTCGATCTGGAAGTTCGACGCTTGCTTGCCCTTGTAGTTCGGACTGAGGTTGCTATCGTAGTGTTGACGGGGTTCGCGATCTTTTTCTTGAGACTTTTCTTTTGCGGGAGTCGCCTTTGCTTGGGGTTGGGAAGCGTACTTCTTCGCCCCGATCGCCTTTGTTTCTTCCAGTTCGATGTAGCCTACAGCTCGGTGCAGTGCGTCCTCGAGAGTGTTCGGCCGGTTGAGATGATACTGTCCTTGAGTGGCGACTCGTGCCATAAGGAATTTTTTAACGCCGAGACAGCAGCGTTGTCTCCGACTGCGATCTGAGAAGCGACGGACTTGAACCTATCGATGAAGAATCGGAGGGACTCCTTCGGCTCTTGTTGTAAGGTGTATAGGTCGGCGTCGGAGACGCCGTCTTGGATATGGATCGAGTAATGCTTGAGAAAAGCGGTGGTGAGTACGTCGTAACTATCGACCGAGTTCGCTTCGAGCCGGGAGAACCACTGCAGCGCTGCATCGGTTAGTCGTCCTACGAAGAGTTTGCAGTAGGCCGCGTCTAAATCTTCGGCGGGAAAATGGAACATCTGCATGCCTATGTGGAATGCTGATAGAAAACGGGCTGGATCACTCTGACCGTCGTAGGTCGGCACATTCATCTTTCCTTGCGGTTTGACGGACGTATTGATTATGCGGGCTGTGAAAGGTGTGTTCTTCGATGCCTTCAGAACTTTGGTGATCTCCGGAGCGGAACTAGTTGCTTGATGGATCTTCGATGTCATTTCTTTTAATTGTTCTCGCAGCGATTCGAGCTCCATGTCGCATGCTTCGTTGCGTTGTTCCTGCGGAGTTGAAGTAGGCGGAAGTTCGGCGTGACGGCTGTGTTCGTGCTCGGCGTTGCCTGGGCCGGGGGTGTGGTTGCTTGAGGTGTGAACTCGGTTTCGCGAACAGATTTCTCATTAGTCCGGGCAGAGTTGAGTTGGCTGTCGTGTTCCGGGTCCGTGCGATGCTTGGCTCCGAGACGCTCGCAGGTCGGCTACTTGAGTCTGGGTGAGGTTCTGAGCGGCTGTGAGTTCGTCGAAGCGTGCGGCTGTCCCTTGGGCGAGGTGGTTGATCTGATTCAACATTGTTTGAAGTATTGCCGAGACTTTGGAGGTCGCCCAAGAGTTTGGCGTGCTTCTTTCTCCATTGCCTGTCGAAGGCGGTTCGGCTGCGGGGGTGCTGATCGTTCGGGGGAGTTCGACGGACGAGTCGACTGCCCTTCCCTCTCCTGTGGTTGGCCTGACATTCTCTCTTACTTCCTGAATTGTAGAAAGAAATTCCTAGTCCCCTCAGACGGCGCCAAATGTAAGTGGTGAACTAGGTGACTTGTCAAACTAAAGAAAGTTATGAGGTCGAGGTCGGAATACTTCGTATTAGAGGTAGAAAAAGAGTCGAACTACAGCTTTACAAGAGAAGGAGGTCAGGAAGGTTGCTTATCCCAACTCCGAACTGAGTATCGAACTACAAACTGGATTGTCGAACTAGAGAGTACAATAAACTAGTGTTTAGCTCTCTAATCCAAGGGTTTCATGTCCCATCAACTAATATTACATGCTCTATTTATAGTCTAAACTTTAGGGCATCTCCAATAATCTGATGGTGATGTGGCTCAATCTCCTCCCTTCATCTTTAGTCTTCTTCCTTTGGCCTTTTGGAGTAGAGTTGGGCCTAGGTGTTGTTTGTGTTGGGCCCTTAATGAGGGTTTGGCACAAACCCACCATTAACAATTGTTAAAATATAGAGAGAAGCAACCACACTAGAATAACCGTTTTTCTTGTTAGGATTAATCTAATTAGTATAATGTTCTCTCATCATAAGAAAACCAACCAAAAATAAATATTGTGGAACGCACGAGCCTTATTCGTTAATGAATTTCAGCGCCGCTCGTACGTAGTCGGTGCCCGAAACCTCCGTGCTACGAAGCTTCCTAATACGTCCTTAGCCCTTTTCTTTTTGGGTGCATTAATCATTTGATGAGTGTGATTGCCAAGACCTCAGGCACCAATAAATTCATATTATCAAACGGAAGTTAACGCCTCGAGAGTCGTAATTAACTATAATCCTGAAAATGGGAGAATTATGAGCACTAGATAGATTCCTACTCGTACATTTTGGTACATGCATGACTTTTCTATCTCATTTTTAAAAGCGTTTTAACTAACATCGAATATAACGTAGTACTGCTATAAATGCTCGGGTTCCAATCTTAAGTATTTTGCCTTCTCCAGTCTCCAGATGAGACATGTGATTTTAATTTTTTTTAAATTTATTATTATTATAAACTGAGGACCAAACATTGAAGTATTTTTCTTAAATTAATTATTAATTTGATTTTAATGATGTTTATGTAATACTCCGTTCTATAGAAATGTCTCTTAATCATTTTGCACGTAAAATTAATAAGCAAATTTAATTATACACATAGGAAGACATTTAGCTATTATATATAAATAGACTCTTGATTAAAGATATTATACGAATGGATTATACTTGTATTATGCAGTATTGTTTTGTAGTTTTGGACAGCTCTTCTTTCCTTTATTTCTCTTATTTTCAATTTTTTGTTAAATTCTTGTTTTAATGTGTTTTTTTTTGGCTCAATCATTTTTTAATGTCAATTTTTTATTCTCTCGAAATGCTAGGCCTTAACATTTTTATAAGTTTGTTTAATTTAATTTCATTGACCTCTGACAGAAGCAAAACCTTAGGAATATTGGATTTAAATAATTAAATTTGATAATTAATATCTTTCAAGAATATATACGTAAATATCGCCGTATGTCAGTTTTATCACCGCAGTGTCACGTACACTGCTAGCTGTGCATGTCATTTGTCTGTCGAGATTCTTCTTGTTCTAGAAAATACTAAAATAAAGAGTTCGAAACACTAATCGATGTACATATGCTACAAATTTGCATGATACCGTTATTAGTAGTTTTCTTTTTCTTACATCACTTTTACTACTCCTTTGCTTCAAAATAGATTTTAGAGTTTTGTGTTTATTTCAAAATATATAAAAATTTAGAGTTTTTATGCAAAACTAAATGTATTTTTGTTACTTTTGATTATTTATATTCTGCACATTTTTTCCGTTGACTGAAATATTTTATAATTGATGATAAAATATATTTTATTTCTAAAATTATAAAAATTAAATGGCTTCTTAATCTTTGTGCAAAAACCTTAAAATCCTATATTATAAAACGAATTTGTGATCAGTAAAAAAATATCTTATAAATACTTATTTTGGCTGTTTTATTTATTCATTTATTTTTGGACTAAAATCTGCTTTAGTTTTTTTTGTTTTGACAGCAATCTGTTTAAGTTATTTAATATATGGTTCACGTATAAAAATTACAAAACGTCTTTTCAGCAATAGAGAGTAAGGAATTATTAAAACTTTGAAAATGAAATTATATGAGGGTCTCCAAGTTATTTCTAACGAATTCGTAAGGAATATATTATAGATAATAAATGTGTTATATTTGTTATAGTTTGGTAAACAGAGGATATTTTTTTGTTAAAGGGTAAACAGAGGATATTTCTAAATCATTCGTATAATTTTGTGATAAAATTATATACTTAAGTTAAATCACTGAAGGGCATTTCAGTAAATAAGATATCCTAAGTATAAGTATGGTCAAGCTTCATCTCTTTTTTTCACTCTCTATATATGTAACCTCGTCTTCCCCACAACACACATAAACAAAGAACAAACTAAAACTACTTAAAAATCCTTATTCTTTGTTAAAGAAAAACTTAGAAATCTGTTTGCCAAGAAGACATGGGAAACAGTTTACGGTGTTGTTTGGCTTGTGTACTTCCTTGTGGAGCTTTAGATTTAATCCGAATCGTACACCTCAACGGCCACGTCGACGAAATCACTCGTCCGATGACCGCCGGCGAGATCCTTGAGGCGAATCCTAACCATGTCTTAAGCAAACCATGTTCTCAAGGAGTTGTCCGTAAGATCTTGATCTTGTCTCCTGATTCTGAGCTTAAGCGTGGAAGCATCTATTTTCTCATCCCGGATACTTCCTTGCCGGAGAAGAAGAAGACGAAGAAGAAAAGTGATCTCCGGCGCCGGAGAAAGACTCTTGAAAACGTCAACGACAATCATAATGATCATACGAGCACTACTGATAAAGATCTTGATTTGACGTTGTGTGAGAAATACTTGGAAGATGTTATGCTGTCGTCGGAGAAGAAAACGTGTTCGGCCGGAAAAGAGAATCGCCACCGTCGCAGACATAGTCGTTCGGCGTCGGTTTCCACGTGGCAGCCTCACCTTGATAGCATCGATGAGGATCTTAATTAGCAGTAGCTTCTGTTTCACTCTTCCTTAATTCTGTCTCTATTTTCTTAATTTCTTCCTTTTTTTTGGATCCGGAAATCGGATTTAATTTTACATCCCCGGAGAGAATTTTTTATTTATTTTAATTTGGTTATGAAGTTAAAAACAAAACTATGTAATGGTACCAATGTGGATAAGATCTATGTTAAATTGATTGTCTAATTTCAGTTGTCCGTTGCAATGCAGACAAGATCTTATTTATTTGATAAAGACAAGAAGAACTTAGCTATAAGATTGATCATTAATCAAAAATAAAACTCCAAACTGTAAAAGAAAATGATATTTAACGTGGACCAAATATAGTTATACTATATGGTAAAATAGTGTGTCTGGTAACAAATTTATAGTTTAATATTTATTGAAGAAACATTTGGGTCGAGATGAAGTAAATAATAGCTTTTGTTGTTGTTTTTTATTTGGGGGGTTAAATTGTAGTGAACAATAGTTAGATGCCAAGTAAACAAAAGAGGTGTGTGACTCTTACGAAAATTGAAACTGAAATTATATTATGACTTCCAAGAAGCTGTGGTTATTATATTATCAAAAGAATCTATTCAAGCATTAGAGGAACTGTATGTTGAACTGTAATGCAACGTATGTAGACTAGTTGGTTTCATTTTAAAGTATCAGTAGTTAGATATAATAATAATAATCAATTTGATTACCTATTGGTGCTACTTATAATGCGAACTTAAGACGGCTAATTAAGAATTGAAACTCTAAAGAGAGCGTGTAGACGGTCAGCAATCATGCAGTTTGTCACATGCAGATGTAGCCATGTAGGTGGACCAGTTGAGAAAAGCCTTTGAAGCTGAAAAACAATCCATATGATTCAAATAATATAAAATTTTCCTTTACCAAAAGTAATATATTATTTTCAATCATATGAAAGGCCAAGAAAGTTAATGCCATTTACTATTTATGGACAAATTAAATAAAGGCCCCCTCAATAATACACGAAGGAGCCAATTCTTTTAACCAAAAGTAAATGACAAAATTAAGTAACTTAACTGCTGACAATGTATATAGTATTGGACAAAGTGTGTCATTACGATACTAGTCTGTTGTAGTTAGATAATAATTTTCACTGGATATATGCAGAGTTGTAATATCTAGGTAGCAGGTTGGGTCATCAATTTAAATTTCAAGATAATGAAGACTCTATAAAAATATGTTATGGAGCAACAAAACATGCATTAAAAGTGTGACAACTATATGAAATGACGTATTAACATCGGTTTCTCTAGCTGCAGTTTAGAGATTTATTTACGTATAATTTATGTAAAAAAACATAAAAAGAATGTGAATTATGAAGGAACTTTTTTTTTCTTGCCAACATCATTGGGAGGAACTTAAAAAGGGTAGGAGATGGCGAGAACTTAAAAAGACATATACAAGAAAGAAAGCTGGCGAGGGTATCTAATTCGGCTGCCTTCACATGGATTCCATCCTTTATGTCCCATCTCTCCTAAACACTTATCTTTTTGTTTCTCATACTTTTTTTTGTTTAATAAAAACTAAAAATGTTTACTTTAGTAGAGCACCCTTTTTCAAATTTTTTTTCTTAAATTGAATAAAAAGAGTAAGCCATGACATATGTTCATCTACCAAAAATAAATTATTATATATATATTTTTTTCATCTGAATATATTCCATACAAAGAAAGAGGTAACATTACAGGGTGGGTTACAAAAGAAGGCTCAAGAGATATACCAAATCCTACAAGAGCTCAGACTACTATGGATCACCAAAACGAAAGAGATCCCAAAAAAGAGGCAGTACAACCTGTAGAAGATCTAAACAGAGGCCAAGCGTTTCTCACAGACAAACAAATCATGAAGCCAAGCAGGATGGCTAATAGCAACATACGGTTGAAAAACTTCTCCCTAAGTGCACTTTGAGCAATGAGAAAGGCGCCTCTGTTTTCCGTTTTCCGATCTTGAAACAATTTCTACCCTCCAATCCTCTATACTAATTAAAACCTGACTAAGCTCCAAAAACTGAGCTTTGTATGAGGGCCACACCCTTGGTCTTTTTAAGAGACCCAAAAGATCAGCATCCTCCGCTGCCAAAAAAACTCTATTAACTTTGTGCGACACCATACTTTTCAGAGTCCACAAAAGACACACCATCTTGGCATCTCCAAGGCTGCATATAGCACCGAACAACCTTCTGCTATGCAGTAAAACCACACCCTCGTGATTCCTTAGAACCCAAGCCCCACCAGCTGTCTTTTTTTCCTTGTCCCATTTTACGGCGGAGTTGCACTTTAATCACGGCAGAGACGGGAGCTTCCAATCCTTTTTCCTCCACTTGTTTCTGATCTCCTCTCTCTGATCACTTTTCTTTGTCAAAGACTGTGCTATGAACCAGGAGTCAACCTCTTCCATAATTTTCCCCATAGTCTCCCTTGCTCCGAACAGGAAACCCTCAAAAAGAAGATTGTTCCTATTCTTCCAAAGGTACCACAACACCCACGGGAAACACCTTCTTATGTCAGCTGGGATTTTTATGTTCTTGCTCATCATCAAGATAATGGACATTTACATAGATGGAATCTTTATAAAACCCATTTTCAGGAGATGGAAACCCTGAGAGAGCCTAGATTTGCCGAGCTAAAGAACAGGTGAACAAAACGTGGTTTGCCGATTCTCCTTCAAAGCCACAAACCCAACAGAAAGACTCAACTCTCATTCCACGAGTGTTTATATTGTCAGCGACAGGAAGAGCCTGACTAAGCACTCTCCACAAGAAAATCCTGATCTGTTGGGTTGTATGGAGGTGCCATGCTTTCTCTGTTTTTATATATCTTTATATCTTTTTTTAGGTAAAAATAAATGACTATTTCTTATTATGTATTAGAAGAATGGTTTGACTGACAATGCACGCGGAAATATATTTTGATTGGCTTTCGTGGAATAGTGTGAACTTATCCATAATTCACTGTGGATTAAAAAATGTTAACTACCTATGTTGTCAATGGTCAAGGTTAAGGGAGAAAAAGGTGCTACTGCATCGAAGTATAGAAACGGACTCAATAAGTGATCGGTTAAAACACGAGAGTAATAGTGAGTGTAATTTATTTGGGTTAATGCAAACAAAAAAATGGGTGCTAATGCATTTAACTCGTTTAGCTCATTCCTTTTAAAATGCTTTGATATATCAAAAGAAATGTTACAATTACGCTTTCGACTAATTAAAGTTAAAAAGAAAACCGAACTATTCTGTTTCCATCTTGAGACTCACTCAAAGATCCCAAATGCATCTCTACCTCTTACATAGATATATGAAAATATCTCTAGTTATTAACTTATGACAAGAAAAAAGGAATGTTACTAAGCCAAATATTAAGTCAATTGGTAACTCTAATTTTTTCCGAGATCAATGGTAGTGAAACCTTCTTCAACAGAGAAGCGTGGTTGCATTCGCATATCTCCAACCTTCTGATGCTCAGCAGGCAATTTATAACTATCGTCCATGAGTAGTGCATCATCCCCTTGCTGCTGATGAACCACGAGCACCGAGAAATGAAAATCCGCCGACGTCAACATATCTCCGATCACACCTAACTCAGGACACTCACTCCAGTCCGTGAGTCCGTACAAGACCGCAGACTCTAGGTCATGGTCTCGACCCACTAAAACCATGTCGTAAGCTTCTCCAAGCGAGCTAATAGCTTGCGTGGTCTCCACGCCATCTCTCACTATCTCCTCTACGTAATGAATCTTCGCTTTGTTCGCTGCGTAGCTCTTGAAATCATTTATTAGATTGTACTCAGCAAGTTCACTGTAATCCTCGTCCTGAAGAGAGCTTTTGTGGCGGAAATGTATCATCGTGACGTTAAGCTCCGGTTTTTCAGCCATCCTCATGCATAACGCGAGCGCCTCCGCGTCGTCACGGCCTCCGATGAAGAGAACCGCCACGTTCTGCCAGGTGTTGGTCATCAATACGGAGCGACGTCCCTCGGTCTCCCCTCGGTCTATGAATATCGCGACCGAACAAGGTGCTGCTTCAAGGACATTCATGTTTATGTTTCGGATGGGCGCGTTGACTTGTCCTACCGTTCCGTCGATTGCGTACTGCTTGTGGAACGGAACCACGATTAACGTCGCCTTCTTGTCGAGCGCGAGCGTGCATACGTCGTTGTTTATACTCGAGAATGGTGCGGCTGCGGTGAAGTGTTGCGCCATGAGAGTATTCTGTTTATGTAATACAACGTAAATTTATCAAGAAATAAAATGCAACAAATTTTTTGGTATAAATGTCACTATTTTCATTTTATATATTTAAATTTTCCAAATGTACCCATAGTCTTAATTTTGTTAAATGTAAGCACCAAATAAGATAACCTTATAAAAATCTTATAAGAATCTAGCTATGTTTTTACAGTAGTATTTTATTAAAATATATTTTGAAATTTTGATTTTTTTTCTTCATAGAAATGTAAGTGCAGAAATTGCGTTTTAAGCTATCTTATTTGGATTTTATTTTAATACCATCTTGACGGTTAGGGTTATGGGATTTCGGATTTTACCTGATATTTTTGCTCGAAACGTTGGAAGGCGTTGACAATGTGTGTAGACTGGGCCGTGTTAGGGTCAAGTTTGTTCATCTGATGGTGCGGCGTGAGGACTGCGTGAGCTCGGCCTTTAAGCTCGACAAGGTGCAGCGTGAAGAATGAGATTGGGTTAAACCGTGTCGGGTAAGTAGCTTCTAAAAGGTTCACCATTGAAGGAACGTTTTCAACGTTGTAGAGGCAGAGAAGAAGACGAAGCTGAAGATTACGTTGTCTCGTGTTGAGGATCGTTCGTTTGCTGTTGCTCTTGTAACGTTTTGAAGGATCGTAGAGGTACACGACAAGAAACCGTGAAATACCGGTTACGAGCAAAAGCGTTACTATCACCAGATTAAAGCATTCTGTATCAATCATCTGTAGCCAAATATGTTTTTACCAAAGTTAAAAAAAAAAATTACGATAAACTATATATATAAAAAACTTTTTATAATATATTAAAACTATATATTTGATAAATCGAATCAAAAGCGAACCGAAAACCAAATGAGTGAAACGGCCAGTTTATTTTTGTACCTGAGCGTCTTTCCACACGACAGTAGTGTAGATTTCGATGATACCTTGGCAACACATAATGAAAGCCAAACAAAGTGCGTCTCCGATCTGGATTTTGCAGTAAGCAGACGCAGCCGCGGTTCCAAGGAACTTGCAGCCGTAAGTGATCAAAAGAACGACTTCAATCAGTATCACATGGTTCTCATGTGACTCTGCGATCTCAAAGAGATTAGTTTGAAACCCACCAATGGCTATGAAACAAGGCATAAACATATTGGAAGCAAACATGTCGAGCTTCGTAGCGAGTTCCGTGCTCAAAGGCGGACCGTCAGGGAGCGAAACGCCTAGCCAAAACGCTCCAAACGCGGCGTGGACGCCCATGGCCTCTGCGCTAAGGCTAGCTATGGACAAAACCAAGAGGATAGGGTAAAACGGGATCACGTCTTTGTTGTTCATAGATTTGCTTTTCCTCTCGGTGAGCCATACGATGCAAGGTCTAAAGACGCCATAAATCATACCAAGAAGAGCCACGACCATGAAAACCGCATAAAAGCTAGTCATCGTCCGCTCGCGCTTGTAGAGATTAAAAACTAGAGCCACAAACCAGCTACAAGCTTCGCAGATCATTGAACAGTTGGTGGCTAACCGTCCTAGCTCGGAGTTAAGGATGTTAAGCTCGGCTAAGACCGTGGTTGTAACCGGGAATGTGGTCATGGAGCTCAAGGAGATGACGGTGCTCGCACAGCGAACAACGTCAAGTGGAAGTCCCAAGGTGCTGTTAATGAATATAACCGCGAGGTTCCCTAGGGAGAAAGGGAAGGCGTAAGAGGCTGCGCCGATGAGTATGGCTTTAGAACCGGCTTTCTTGATAATACTCGCATCGATCTTGAGGCCGAGGATGAAGAGATGGATGACGAAACCGACGTTTGAAAGCGTTTGTAAAGTGATCTTGCCTTGAGGGGGAAGGAACAAGTCCATGTATTTCATGTTATGTCCTAAGAGAGAGGGTCCTAGAATAACACCAGCCTATAACATAACACAAGAATTAATGTTTCAAGACATTTTCTTCACATGAACAAGGCATTGAAAGAAATATGTGAAAGTTATGTACCAAGACTTGAGCAGAGATCATTCCTTGTTTTAAAGGTTGAAGGATACGGAAGATAAGCCTAGAGAGGAGGATGATGACTGACATTTGAACGAAGAGAATAGGCATTGAGTATTTGAGAGGGTTACTGTTCATGAAAACTCCTCTTGAGGTCATCATGTTTTTCTTCTGGCAAATAAGCTCCTCCATCATGAATGGACCGTGCACTGCCCCCCAGTGCGATGAGTTGATCTCCTCTCTGCCTAACCTCGAAAAATCCATGGTTTTTTTCTTTTCTTATCTGCAAGAAGAAGAAAACGAGTAGAGAGAGCGAGAGTAGGTGTGGGGTAAAACTATGAAGGTTATGTTTTCATATTTGAGGAGAAAGTGTAATGGAGAGAATGCATTAAGAAGAATGAGAGATGCTTCTGTGTGAAATGTTGAATGCTAATGAGATGGAGAAGAAAACAGAGGACTCTGTTTTTTTTTTGTTTTACTTGTGAGGTCAAAGAAAGAGGTATGTGAGAGAAGAGAAGAAAGATGAGCCCATATTTGTTGTTCCTATTTTTTGTTTCTTTCTATTTTTTGTTCGGATGATGTTCTTTGCGCATAATCTCCACCGTTTTAACTTCTAAATATGTGTGGTTTTGCTTTCACTTATAAGTTCTGATAACATATTATAGATATTTAATTATTTAAAAAATATATGGTGGGTTACAATATGGAGATGATATGGTAGGTGTGGTGCTGGCGCTGCACAAATCAAGCAAAATGGATTACAAATACTATCATTGCTTATCAATCTTGAATGTGAAATGTACACAAATCAACCAAAAGATTCCAACACACAAGAAACTAAAATAGACTTTTCAAAGTGAGGTTCTCTAAGGCCAAGATGGTGACAAACAACTAACCACCACTCTGTACAACACAAATCACTAACTGTGTTAACAAACAAACAAACAAAACAAACTGTAATGAGCACAAAATATAGCAATAGTAAGAGTATTTCTTTTTACCAAACCCTAAATGGTATTACTAGTGACTAAAGTCCCAAGAATGTTCTGTTTTTTCATGAGCGACGTAGCGCGGTTGGGATATCATGATTGTGTCTTCCTTCATAGGTAGTGAGAACCGCTCTCTCGTCTTCTGCAGATCTTTCCACTTGCTTCCTCACTCCACAACCTTGGTATGTGCATTTGTAGTAGCTCCTGTTATACAACAAACAGAGATGATTAGAAAACATGAAAAAACACTCTTAAAAAATAGAGAAATTTAGTTAAAGATTTTATAAACCTTGGATTAGTATTTCCCTTGACAACTTTCTGACCATACTTCCTCCATCTAAACCCATCTATAAGAACATCAATGTCACTTATCGTCTGAACAACAACTCTTGGCTCTTTCACTCCTCTGCTTATTTCAACAGACATTCCTTCATCCTCACCTTCTCTTTTCCTGTTAACACAAACAACTCAAAAATGTTATTTTTCTTTCACTCTTCACAACCTTTTGCTTCCACTAATTCAAGAAAAATAAAAAACTACTTACAGTCTCTTAATTCCAGGTTGTTCCTCCTCTTCATCTACCTCACCATACTCAGATTTCAAGCTTTTCTGCTCAAGATCACTGTAATCAAACGAGATCGAAGAGTTCTCTGATTGATCATGTGTCTCACTAACAACAGAAGAAGGATTAAACATTCGTCTCGCATTAGATGAGGATGAAACTGATACTGATGGTCTCTTGGTGTACTCCGGCTTAGGATGGTTATGACCTCCTTTATAGATGATCTCAGTGATTTGTCCATCAGAAGCAGACTCAACTATCTTCTTGGAAACACAGTTTGGGTATGTACACTTGAAGTAACTCCTCGGGTTCTCGCTCTTCTTCACTTGTTTCTGTCCGTATTTTCTCCAACCGTAACCATCGTTAGAGTTCCTGCTCACCATGTATGATGGCACCTTCATCTGCCGATCTGATCCAAAACTTTGTGTTGCAATCAGATCTTGCTTCTTGTGGAGATCTTGAACACCATATCTTTCTTGCAAAGCCTGTAAAAAAGTTTGATTCAGTACAAGGAAGTGTTTGATATTTGTGAAAGAATGTCTCAGAGAAACGCTAAGGGAAGGAAACACATACAGAAGAAGCGTTTGAAGGTTGTGATTGCAACTGCGATTGCGGCTGTAGCTGCCAGGGAAGATCTGAGCCATTGAAGCCTTGGAACGGAAACGCTCCTGTCGTCGGAGATATCAAAGTCTGCAAGTAAACACAAAAGCCAGAGCAAAATTTAGAATTACTTTAGTTTGAAAACAGAACATCTGAGACAAAATGACTGAAATTTGATTTTTTTTTTTTCAAGCTTTAGTAGTTTACAACGAATCATATATCAAATAACATGAAACTGGTATTTTGATTTAAAGTAACGATTTTCACGGATTTCAAATGAAAAAAAAAAAAGTGATAAAAACCCAGACTTTGTTTTTTTATTTATGTTCTTTCCATTTTTGCAGTAAATAGATGAAAAGCGATAGATAAAAACGGAAGCTTTACGTGTGAGGAGCTGAGAAGAAGAGGAGACTCAAGCAAATCGGAGAAGGCGAAATGATGAGAAGATTGAGAAATCGGAAGAGGAGGTGGCTGCGCCGTCTTGAACTTGGGTAAACCCGACCCGGTTCTCTCCTGGTAAAACCCACCGTTCTGATACAGCGAAACGGACCCGGAAAGTCTAAAGTCTTCGTCTTTTTCGTAGCAGTCAACGCCGGAAGAGGAAAGGAGGTCGGTGAAAGAAGTCGACGACATGGTCGTAAAACAAAAAGGAGACAACTTTTAAAGCTTACAGAACAAAACGGATTGCTAAAAAAAGAAACTTTTTTCTCAGAGAAATGATCTGTGAAAATAGGATAAAGATGTCGAAGAAAGGATTTAGACTGGGTAAAGACGACGACGGTGGCGTATCGAGCAAGGTTTTTTCTATCTTACACATTTTGTCCTTTTCTGCTTTGGCCTCTAAATATTATTTATTTTATATATATTTTATTATTTATATAAATGGTTGACCAATGCCTTTGAGAGATATTCTTTTTTTCGGTGAGTCGTCTCTCCGAAATTGCGATAAAAATCTTCAGGTGTGAAACCGCGTTTTAAAGGTCTCTTTCGTCATCGTTGATGATTAAGACGTTAACCAAACCGGAATTCAATTGAAATTTGAAACCAAAGCATCAAAACCGTCGGTTATACACATCAGGTTCAGTCTCATCATCGTCACAAAGACAAACAACCTCAAAAACAACACAATTTGTTTCTCTTCTCTCATTTCTTGGCAAAAGAGATGACCATTGGGTTCTGAGGAGTGATTTTGAAACCTTGAAGAGCTTGCATTGCCATTGAAGACTGAACTTCGTCTTCGTATTCGACAAACGCAATCCCTGGTTTTGCTGAGATCATTCTTATCTCTTTGAATCCTGGGTACTGGACGAAGAGAAGCTGTAGCATCGTGCTTGTTGTCTCGTATGGAAGATTCTGAATGAAGAGTATGTTGTTTGGTGGCATTGCTTCTTCCCCGTTAGGCTGGAACGGAGGCGGCTGTTATAAAGACAAAACGAAAATCATCATCATCGTCATATTCATGTTATGGAGAAGCTCAACAAATCGAATTCTGCTAAAAGATTTTGTTCTGAAGAATGTGAGAAAACAAGAACACTCACCGCAGGGTTTCCGTTCTGGTAAGTTGGGCCATTAGCTGTATTTGGTCTTTGCGCTTCTTCACGCTTTCTTTCCACTGAAAAAGTAACAAAATGCAGTTCCAAGTTTTCTCAAAACGAAAATCATCATCATCGTCATATTCATGTTATGGAGAAGCTCAACAAATCGAATTCTGCTAAAAGATTTTGTTCTGAAGAATGTGAGAAAACAAGAACACTCACCGCAGGGTTTCCGTTCTGGTAAGTTGGGCCATTAGCTGTATTTGGTCTTTGCGCTTCTTCACGCTTTCTTTCCACTGAAAAAGTAACAAAATGCAGTTCCAAGTTTTCTCAATGAATCAAACATCTCACAGAGAAATATGCAGAAAGAATAGAAAAAGATAAAAGCTTTAGTACCTTTCTCTTCTTGCTTCCTCTTCTTATCTTTTGGTACGAAAGTTCCTTCGGCTTTAGCAATACAATCTGACTTTGCTTTTGCGTATTGTATGATCTGCGCTCAAAAGACCACACATTAAGCAGCTTAATGGTTTACATAAGTTTTGAGTTATACAATCGATTTCTATAACAAACAGCTCAAACATTTTGACACCAAACGTCACAAGAATATGTGATGGATAAGGTCTATAAACATCTAACTAAAAGATGTTTGGTAATCAAAAAAATGGCCAAAGATTTGTGTGTTTACAGTAAAGAGATCTCTTCAATTCTGGAAAACAAAAACCTTGTTAGATCAAAAAATAACAAGGCCAAAAAGCATGAGATTGAGCCAACACCACTAACTTCTCTCCCAATACAATTATCCAGAGAATTGGAATTCACATAGAATCTTCCTCATAACCTCGTCACTATGAAACCCTAAAAGCTAGAAACGAACACTCTATGACGGCGAAAAAACCAACAAAAAGCTAATGTTTAAGCATCGTAGCAGCTGGAATTAAGCTTGAAGAAGGAAACTGAGGAGAAATCGTTGGTACAAGCAGGCTCATGGATGTTTCGACATCTACGAAGATTTGAAATTAATTGACGGAATCAGATAGAGAAAAGAGGAGTTACCTTCTTTCTTGATCTTCTCGTTGAGGTTTTTGACATAGATTGACTGATTCGGTGGTATATCGGCTGTTTGCATTTTCGGCTGAGCTTCACGGAGACGACGAGTCTGAGAAATTTCGCGAGAGCCTGACCTAATGTGAATGTGAGAGAGACGAAGAAGAGTAGAGAATTTAATTTAGATGCGTTTCAATTTTCAAAACTTCAAACCGACGTCGTTTCCAAACAAAAAATTCACCTGTTTTTTCCCTTTTTTGGGTCAAATAGTTAAACCCTTTATTACATCAAGTGATAAAAGATTCAAGAACCATCCAGTTTTATTACATAAAAAATTGGATATTTAGTTTTGAGAAGGAAACAAGAAACCAAAATCTCATGGTGGATTATAGAACTCAGAAAGTGGAAACTTCTCGTATCTACATTTTAACGTGAGAGCCGATTGAATCAAAAGGCATTGACGACGATTGAGAATGCAATGTACTAAAATAATGCCTTTTGAGTTTTGACACATTTTCATTTACAGTGAGAAAATGAGAAAATATAGTTTGAGGGATTATATCATTTTCTTCCTTGAAGAAACACAGCGACCATTGCGACTACTAGAGAATGATCGACGGATTCTGGAAATATCGTTAGCCTGAACTTGCTTCTCCCTACGTAGATCTGCCTCAGCTTGTACATCAAACTCGTCTGCCACCAAATTTAAATGAACAAAGATCATCAGACTGAGCAACACTTTCAAGACGAAAGTCTTTCTCTACAAACCAAATGAATCCGACTTCAAAATGAACGAAAAGTGTTGATAGAGCCATGACTACATCTCACATAACCCATCAGCAAAGCATGATCAAAAACGAAACTTTTGAGCTAGATAATCAAACAGTTTTAACATGTTTTTGTCCAAAGCTAAAAAAAACTAATGTAATCACTCCAAAAGCTTCAATAGAGACATTTGATGTGATAATGGGAAGATGGATGTTTTTTTACCTGTGCAACAATGGAATCTTGACTGTAAATGGTACATGATTTCTGAAAGGGACAACCTTTGATAACAAGATGTTGTGAAGACTCTCCGGTAAAAGAAACCTCTAACTCTATCTTGCTGAATCTGTTTGCTGTCCGCTTCACCGTTAGGACCAACTCTTTACGGTTTTCGACATCTCCTTTATGTAACTCCCACATTCCGTTCTACATTCCATAAACATACACAGAAAAGGTCTAAGTTTATCCACTGGTCATGACTACTCTAAGTTTCTCTGTAAACATCAAACAAAATCCAAAGGACATATATAGCATCTATTCTAGACTGTTCTTGCTTCTTTAAAGCTTGATTTATTATCTATGCTTTCAAAATAGTTCAACTGGATAAAAATCCCCAAAATGAGACTACAATCAGAAATTCTTTAGAAGGGTTTTTTAACAAGCAACTATAAGAGGCGCAGAAATCGATGAAATTAGGATCAAATCGCGGAATTATTTTAGTGTGCTTACGTGGAGACGAGAGATGGAGAAAAGAGGAGCTCCGGAGGAATGAAGGAGAGATTTTAAAGTGGAAGACGATTTGCGGAGGATGAAGAGGAGATGGTCGGAGGAATCGGCAAAGCCGAGATCGCCGGCGGAAAGGTCGGGAAACTTCTTGGAGACGAAGAGATCGACTGGTATTCGCCGGAGATCGTCCGGGTCGGGATGATACGGAGTTTCTAAATCCTCCGCCATTCACATAGTCTAACAATCAGACGAAGAAGAAGAAGAATACGACCAAGTAAGCCTGCTTATGTTCAACGCCAAAATTGTAAAAAAAATCTCTTTGTATAAAATCCCAATTTTAAATCGTCCAGTGACATAAAAATGAATTTAAAGAATTTTAATGAACAGAAGTTTTCTATTAAAAAGTTGTTTTGGAGAAGAATTCTTCGCCATAATTGCAAAGTTAAAAACTAGAGCAGGCCAAATTGTGTTGCCTTTCTCATTAATTCAGCTGAATACTACGTTTTATCTGTAAAATATTGGTAATAAAACTTCTTTATATCTCATGATTTTTCTAATTAAAGACATCTATCAACTTCTGGTTGGTATTTGACTATTTGTCTTAACAGTGGAGGAAAAAATTTCAATTAACAGTCTTACAACTTCTGGCCTCCTCCTCATTTGGTACACAAAACTCACCGGTAAGACCATTTAGTGTACTCAAACTCTTCATCGTCGCTGCTCTCTCCAGAACAATTCACATCATCTGCATTACCATAAAACTCGTCTTCCTCGTCTCCAAGGACCATCCTCACATGTCTTTCTGATTTCTCCTCGTCTTCTGATTCATCAGAGGCTTCACTCTTCTCTTCTTCATCTTCTTCGTCATCGTCATCTTCTTCTTCCTCTTCCTCTTCCTCAGAGATCTCTTCTGGATACTCGGTCCTTGGATGAGCTTCAGCTGAGTCATCATACAAAAGACAAACAATCATACTTCTTTTCCAACAATGAAAACAATTCCCCATTTGAGTGGGATGGTAAAAGAGTACCATTAGAATCATCAGAGTCGTAGTCTGATTCATCAGATCCATCACAAAACTCTTCTTCCTCCTCGACTGTGACACTGGAAATAAAACAAAAACATACCCAAGAACCACAGATTAGCAGGTTATACAAGAGACAAACAAGAATTTCACAAAGAGAAAGAAGAAAACCGCACAGAGGAAACTGGTGCTGAGAGCTATCTTCACAGATATCCATCTCTTCGTTTACAGCGTAGTAATCGTACACGTATTCTTCGGTATGACTAGAACTGATATCCCCTTCAAGCTCTTCAGCTGCTGACGGAATAAACTCTCTAAGGAGCGGCAAGAAACTAGCCAGCATCTTCTGCTCCTCCAACGACGTTAACCTAGAGGAAAGACATGTTAAATGACCATGAGATCTAACAATACAGATTCATATTACTAAAGAACTTACTCTGGAGCGGTTTTGGGACTTTCTTCAGCATCAACACGGATAATGTCAAAGAATTTACACTTCTCATGAAGTTCTTTATCACCCTCCTCCTTGTTACCCTTCCTAGACCGCCATATTTGCTCAAACCGAGCATTCTTTGCAGCAGTCTAATAAATAGAGGAACTTTTGATTAACCGATTACACAAGTCTCAAATCAGCTAGCCTAAAATGGTAATTAGATCTTTCTCCTCGAATATGACAATGATTCATGAGTAAAAGCCAGATACCTGATGCTGTTGTACAGCTTTGGTCAGGCGCTGTTCCTTTCTCTGCAGAACCGAAAAGAAAAGGAGTTTAAGCTATGATTCATGCTGAATCTTGAAACTAAAAACAAAATGATACAAACATACATTGTCTTTCTTGAAAGCAAATTTCCGCTCCTCAAGCTTTCCTTTGCTGGAGCTTTCCTCACTAAGATCAGACTCCTGTGAAACACACAATGACGATAATCATAAACATTCAAAAACAAACAACATGCAGGGTTTATAGTATAGCCAGAATTAAAAAAGATAAAGTTAAACTCACAAAGAAAGAGTGGATTATGTCAATCGTGGTTTCAGAGTCTGTGACAGTCTCCAAATGCTGCAAGAACACCTTCTTAGGCTTCACAACCTCTGCCTCAGAAGAACATATATATCATCATATGAACAACATTTTCATTGTACAAAGCACAAAAAGGCCTGAGATGATATAAAAATTTACCTTTCTCTTGAATAGAAAGCTTTGATAAGTCCAGATACGGCCGTTTGAATGGTCTTTCGTTTATCTCCAACCCTAATTGCAATCACAATTTCAGTTTTCCTCATTCCAAGAGAATTTTCTAAAGTCGATTAGAGAGAGTGAGAGAGAAGAAACTTACAGAAAGCATCGAACGGAGACTGTCCAACTTTACGCTTAACCCTAACAATGACAGGCTTCTTCTCTTCTCCTTCCTTCTGAGTCGAAGAGCTTTCACCAACCGTAGCCATGGTGAAACCACAGCTAATTTTGAGAATTCCTTAGTAGGCTGTGAGGTTAGTTCTAAGCAGAGAAACAAAACAACATCTAACCCAAATTCATTCGCTTATCATATCAAGAACAAAGGCAAAAATTCCAGTTAATTTCGTAGCCATGCCGTAAGGAATCCCCTTTCAAATCCCGTTTGATGCACTGAGAAAGAGAGACGATACGATGGAATAGAGAGAGAGAGAGAGAGAGGTCGCATACTTTGGAATCGTGTTCTGCAGAGTTGCCGGAAGTGGAATCCAATTCGCCGGAGTCAGGGTTCTGGTCGCCGGAGACGAAGCGACTTCGAGATGAGAATTCGGAGAAGTAAAGATTAAACAACACTAAAAGCCGCAAAACCGGCCAAGCCGGTTCAGTTCGGTTCGGTTCGGACTTTCACCTAACGATAGATGTCTTTGGATAAACGACGACGTTGGAGAAATTGAGCTAACAAAACAAAATAAATTGAATATATTGGGCTTCATGAGCCCATATAAGTTACCATGAATTATTAAGGGATGAAGATTATACGAAATGCTGAATATTTTCTTCACCAAGAAAAGAGATGTTTTCTTGTGTATTCGATTACATTATGTAGCTGATTTCTATTTTCGATATCTTTCTAAAATTTATTTGAAAATTAGAGATGTTAAAAGGAGAAAAGAGTTTCAATTTGAATGGTTTTTTAGTTAAAGCGTTTTTATTAATCAATAAAATTAAGACGTTCGTAACCTATGATCCTAGGATTATACAAAAGATAACGAGCGCTGGAACTTAAAGACAGAAGGGTTTTGATTTGAATGTTTCAAATTTTCAATTAAGGTTGTTAATTAACAAATGCTTAGTTAGCATGTGTTAACAGTCTTCAACAAAATTGAGTTTAAGATAGATAAGCCACCGAATTGGCAACAGGAGTAACACTGGAGTTGGTGTCATCTGAAATTATGAAGAATGAAACAGTTGGACATCAAACCAAACGAGGTACGACTTCTTTCTTTTTGCTGTCTTTTTAAAACATTCTTTCTCTCATATTTTCTTCCTACTTTATTCATTCTTATGAATGGGAATTTTTATTAATAATTTGTTTTGTTCTAATCCCGATTCCCACGTATAAATCATATGACACACTGATGATAATAGAGAAAGTTGGTCAATGACGGGCGCGAGACGGCTTGGATGCCACTTTGCCATGGTGCGCGTTTCCGTCAAACAAGGGCATTAGGTTACATTATTAACATTGCTACTTCTTCTTCTTTTTGTTTTAATCATACAACGTGATAGAGAATGAAAGTATCAATCACGAATTTTTTAATTTAGTTGTGAACATTATGTAGTTATAGTGTATATTTTATATGCCAATTGCGATTTTTGAATTGGTGAATGTTATTATGTACTAGGAATTTGAATAATTGAGCCGTACAAAAAATTAATTGGTTAAGACTTTTAATTAAAAAATAGTTGAATATGACTATCATTTTGTAAAGCACAAATTAAATGCAAATTTAAGCGTTGAATTATAGCGCCAGTTATATTCTCTGCAAAACAAAACTCTTCTGCTGCAAATACGTGTTTTGCTGTAAGTATTTCCAATAATGTTAAATTTGGAAAGTTTATATGGTGCACCGTGCACTTATATATTTATTCTTAATGTTACTATAATATATATTTGATAAAGTTGACATTTAAAACCATGTATGATCCGATGCATATCTAATGCTCGATTTTCAGGAGTCTTTAGCTACAGTAGGATTACATACAAATCTAGTAGCTGATCTTATGGAGATTTTAAACAATTTAAAGCTCTAAAATGATTTAAGGGATTCTTGCAATAGTGACCTAAAAATTGGGGTCAATTGCATATGTAACCTCTTTTTCAACTCTCCAAAAATTTTGCCACTTTCTCTCAACTTCACCCTATCCAGTTTCTTATATTTACGAAAGTGCCATTACATTTTTTATTTTTATTTTAATTTAAGAAATCCAAAAGACAAAACAATCCTCATCCTCTTCACTTATTCACGAAAATGCCATTGACATCAATTCTTCCAACCACCATTTTCAACCAATTTGAAGCTTTTAAAGCTTCAAATACCCATTTTTGAGCACTCTAATCTCATTATCATATCTAAAAACCTTATATTCTTATATTTTCTCTCAATTTTCATCTAAAAAACTTCACAATTTAACATTTCCAAATTTGATAATCAAAGAAATTGCAATAGCTCGTAGTTTGGCTGTTGATAGTGTATGGGCTTTCTTGGTGGTGGTTAGAATCGAATTTATGAACCGTCTAACAAGCTCAAGACCACCGTAAGATAATTTTCCGATCAATTTCGTGAAATTTCAGATTTGTCTCGCGAATGAAGTCTTCTTTTGAAGTCTACTAATGATCGTAAACTTGAAAAGAAGTCTGCTGGTCAACGCACAAGTTAGTTTTGCAATTGACTATTTGACCGATTTACAACAGTAGACTTTGGTTGAAGTCGACGCCCTTTTCTTTGAGAACAAAAAAATATGGCGTAGACTTCAGACGAAGACTTCGTTAGAAACGAAGTTATTTTTGCAATTGACCGATGAGAAGACTTTTTAGAGAAGTCTGCCTCTAAAGTCTGTAAAAAAAAATGTTAGTTTTGTAATTGACTAATGCTTGACTTTTCTGGCAGACTTCTTTCGAACTCTACTTAGACTGATTTTTGGATTGACGAAACTTCAAATTTTGAGTAGACTTCAAGTGAAGTCCACTAGTTGAGTAGACTTTACACGAAGTCTACTAATTAATTTATTTGATTTTTGGTCAACCCCAAAACTAACTCAATATAGACTTCATTTAAAGTTTGCTCGGTAGGTAGATTTCTCTGAAAGTCTACTATAAAAAGTCAGATTTGGTCAATTGCAAAACTAACCTCTGTAAAGTCTGCTCAGAAAGTAGACTTCTCATGTGAAGTCTACTTTTACGGGTAGACTGTAAGCGAAGTCTACTTAATTTGAAGAAGTCTATTCCAAAAAAGTTAAAATTTGTTCAATTGCAAAACTAACTCACGGTTTTAAGCAGATTTCATGAGAAAACTTCTCTGAATGAATAGACTTCCTCTGAAGTCTACTAATCTTTTGACAATTGCACAAATAACCTGCAGGAGAGACTTCATATGAAGTCTACTTATGCTGACTTGATTGTTAGTTTATCCATGTAGACTTGCATAGAAGTTTACATTCTTACGTTTATTTCAAAATGCATTTATTTCAATTTTATAGTTGTTTTTTAAGTTTTTTTGTATCTTGCAGTTGTGTTAGTAAGTGTACTTACTTATATATTAGTTTCACATGTTTATAAGTTTTAGGTATGATGGAATCAATTTTCTTTTTCTATTTGGCATTTAACTCATTAATCGCAGACTTCTTGGAAAGTGTACTTAGTAGACTTTGTTTGAACTCTGCATATTTATTTTTTATACAAAATTCACCTATCTGAAATTTGTGACAAAAAAAAGAAAATTGTTGAGTCTTAAGTTGGTGTTATTTATAGTTTTTGCTTTTGTATAAGTTTAACATGTTTGTATGTTATAGTTAAGCTTTAAATAATATTTTTTGTGTGATTACGTTTTTCGTTTATTAGATGTAGACTTTAGCTGAAGTCTATGTTATCATTATAGACTTTAAGTGAAGTCTACTTGTTAAATTGTCATTCTTAATGTGGTTTGTATCTATTTTACCTAAATGTAGATAATGGCAAAAGATGAACATTGTTTAACTTAAGGAATGGTTGAGAAAAACAAAAATCTTATGTGATTTGTATATGTTGTAAGTGAAGTTTACTTGTTAAATTGCCATTCTTAATTCTGGTATTAAGAGCAAAGTGTTTATGTACACTTTTAGGTTTCATTGCTGTCTTTTGTTTATGGAGTAGATAGACCTTTCTCAAGGATGGCTTTAAAACCTTTGTTAAGGCTTGAGATTTCTGAAAAACTTTTTTTTATGTATGGTTCTCAAAATCCTTCGGTTAAAACACTCTTTGACGAATGACAATGTTTGTACATCAAGAATTTAGAAGCAACCGAACATAAGACAAGAATTAAAAACATGGCCATGAAAGCTTTGATCGTCATAGTAAACCATGCCTGAAGATTTTAATCCCTCAAGCTGCTTAGCCAAGTTGTCCACAAGCCTGAAAGAGAAATCGAGAGATGATGAGCTGAGGTAAAATAATTGAACATGAAACAGAAAGAGCATAAGTGGATCTAATATGCAGTTACAAGAACTCTTGAACACCGCGTGAGCAAACACAACAACAAAATCAAAACATCTTAAAAGCTCATCATAGAGGTAAAGGAATCAACACACTTCGTTGTTTCTGCAACCCAAACATAAACATAAACTGAACCTTAAGAACAAGACAAGACATAAACAAACCGATAAAGAAATATCACGAACCGCAACAATGTCTAAAGAGACCAAACAATTGCAGAAATCGCAAGGCAAAGAAAACAGCTTAGAATACACAATAAATCCTACACACACTGAAAGAACATCAATTTGAGAATCATAGAGAACAGAATACTATGAACAAGACAAGACATAAACATTATCAAGAGTAGCTAACATTAGCACAGATGATAGTCTAACTCATTATCACCAAAACCAATGAACTAAAGATAATATACAAGTCTAAGAGGAGAGAAACTTAACCACAAGTGACAAGAGTTCCTTGCAAGATCTTTTCAACAATAGAATCTCGCTGCCGCTTCCTTGCAAGCTTAGTCCATTCTGTTTTCTGCAGCAATAGGATCGAAATCTCATTACCCATCATTAAAAAGATCTATATGTAACCTAAATTTGCAACCTTTTCTCCCAATCTTTCAAAATACTAAACCTCCAGCAAAATTATATTTCCCTAAAAATCGAACTTTTCAACCTAAAGCAATTTAGGAAAGGGATAGAGAAATCTTACACTTTAGAGGCATAAATCCAACGGCGAAGACAACAGGATCTGTAAAATCAAAGGTAGCGACTAAGGGATTGAGAGTTTAACTGCAAGATATGCTGGTAAGGAAAGTAAGGGAGTGAGATGAGAGTCATTACCGGCGAGAATCGAGATAAATTACGGCGAGATTTGGGAGGAAAGATGGCAAAGCAAAAGCGGCGGCGGAGATATGAGAAGAGGAAAAGGAAACTCGATTAATTCACTAAACCCATTGAAGTGTTTCTAACGAACAGAGTAAGAGAAAGGAACAAGTATTACCGGCGGAGAGGCAAGCGCGGCGGCGAAAACGATGAGTGTCGGAGAACTCTGTTTGACGACGACGGCGACTCGGCAGCGGAAGAAAAGTTGGGGTCGAGAGGAATTAGGGTTTTTTTCTGAAAATGGAGTCTCTCTTCGGTAAATCCGAATATATATATGCTGGTTAATGTCTGGTTTTGGGTAAAATCGTTCGGTTCAATATATCTTAACCGGCTCAGTTGTACTAGAAGACTTCTTCCAACGTCAATATACAAAGTTTACTAAAGTAGACTGATTAAATTTCGGTTCCCTCCAATTTGCCTAAAATTTTGGATTTCCGCTCAGCTTAATTGATATTTCAGACTTCTATAAAAGTTGGTTATTGAAGTCTACAGATGAAGTCTGCTAAACCCTAAATCCAAACCCTAAACCCTATTTCGAAATTTTAACATTAAAACTTATATCTAACATTGATTTGATATCATATTCACATTTTACAGTTAAAATAACAATTATATGAACTTTAACCAAACCATAATCAAAAATTATTAATGAATTTGGACTTACCCTAACAATAACACTTATATACCATACACTTTAACCCTCAAACTCTACTCATTTCAATCTTATACTTATGAAACTTACAAATTGTTTCATTTTTATGATTTTGTTTTTTATACAAGTGCTAGTTATATATGTTTACGCTATGGATTCAATTATTTATCCAAAATGTTTTTTATAATTTTTATAATTAAGTTTTAAACTTTTGTTAATTAGTAGATTTCACAAGTAGACTTCCAAATGTTGTATAGGTTTCTGACCTAATTTGTTGGTTTTGATTTAAATTGAATAATTTTATTTTTCATACGTGAAGAACATCTATATTTTGGTTTTGTATAATTTTTTTATATCAAATTATTTTTTGTAGAATTTGTAATTAAATTTTATGATGAAATTATGTGGTAGACTTCAATATACGTCTGCACAAGTAGATTTCCCAAGCAGATATCTTCGGGTAAATCTGACATTATGACACACGTTTTTTCTTTGTTCACAAAGGAGGAATTGTAATTTTACTAACCTTGTGGGTTAGTTTTGCCAAACATACAATATAGAGGTTAGACTTCTTGAAAAAATGAAATTATGGTTAGAAATAGCAATTTCCCCATGATTTAAACACATTTTGTATTCCAAATAATTTGTGAGGTATTCCATTCCAAATATTTTTTGGATATAATTTATTAATGATATCCGCAAGATTTTAGTAAATTTGTATAGTCCAATAACTTTGGATTTTGAATAAGTTTAAAAAATGCTAGATTCAGTAAGAGAAGATTCAAAATAAAAATTAAATCATCCCAAATTACTGATCAATTATGTCCCCCTAAAACTTGACTTACAAAACTAATCCCCCCCTCCCCTATTTCCTTTTTGTTAATTCCTTTTCATTACCACAACATAAAATCCAATTTAAAATACAAAATTGAACATAAATCTTTAGGTTATAAATACAAACCTCCTCAACAAGTGAACGTCTCAGTCATCACAATCTCTATTTCTCAACCGACATCATCAGTACTCTCAGATCATGTCTCCGAACGTTCTACGGTGGCTTAGCCTCGTCGCTCTTCTCTGGCTTCAATCTCTCAACGGCACCAACTTGAGTTTCCCTGCCTACTCCTCGCAGCTCAAAGAGTTTCTCTCAATCTCTCAATTTAAACTCAACTACCTCTCTTTCGCCTCCGACGCCGGAAAAGTCCTCGGCTTCATCGCCGGAATCGCCGCCGTCCACCTTCCCCTCCCTCTCGTCCTTCTCGCCGGAGGTTCTTTAGGTTTCGCCGGCTACGGTCTTCAGTACCTCTGCATCGTCAAGAAGATGTTCACTCTATCGTTCCCTCAAATCTGGATCTTAAGCTTCGTTGCCGGAAACAGCATCTGCTGGATCAACACCGCTTGCTACATCGTCGCGATCGACAGTTTTCCGGTGAACCGTCAGGTCGCCGTGGGGATCACGGCAGGTTATCAAGGTTTGAGCGGGAAAATCTACACCGACATGGTCCACGCCTTCTTCTACTCGTCTCAACGTGAAGCAGCCTCCGGTTATCTTTTGCTCAACTCTCTCGTCCCTCTGGTCGCTTGTCTCGTGACGGCCCCTATGTTGATGAGAGACGCGAAAACGTCGTCGTGTTCGTCTCGTGACGTTAGATTCGGTTTCATCGTTTTGTTCATCATCACTATAGCCACAGGGGTTTACGCGGTGGCTACGAGTCTTGTCCCTGCTCCTGCGGTTTTAGTACTCGTTGGTATCGTGTTGCTTCTTCTTGCTCCTATCGTTATTCCCGTTGGAGTCAGAGTCAAAGAGTTTATGATCGCTAGAAGAACACAACACAAGGTACACGACTTGGAAGCTCCTATGGAAGAAGACCAAACAAAAGAAGAAGAGTTTGATGAGAAAGCGATAGTTGGAGTTAAAGAAGAGGTCGAGTGGACAAAACTATGGAGGAAACTTGATTTTTGGATATATTTCGGACTCTATTTGTTCGGTCCGACGGTTGGGATGGTGTTTATGAACAATCTTGGTCAGATCGCGGAGTCTCGTGGCTGCGTCGCGACCTCTTCCTTGGTCGCTCTCTCGTCATCGTTCGGTTTTTTCGGCCGCTTGCTACCTTCGTTACTTGACTACTTCTTTTCTAGGTAACAAAAAAAACCTTTTTACCTTTTTACTAATTGGAAAAAGCCTAATCAATTATAGTTTCCTTAATAAATTACAACTACGTTGACCTAGCACGTACGTAGAATTATAACATATGTTGCATTCCTTGCATCATCTACGTGTTTTGTCTAATTCATCGAACAACATCATTTTTAATTATTTTGTTGCCTAATTTCTCGGAGTTTAATTATTCTAATTATATTATTTTGTATTCATTGCAGGAACAAGTACATGCCATCAAGTCCGGTTTCTATGGCCGTCTCACTAGTGGCTATGGTAGCTTCGTTTCTACTCCTCCTCATCGACTCAGACGTCTCTCTATACGTCAGCACGGCGATGATCGGAGTCTTCTCCGGAGCCTTGACTTCTCTTTCCGTCACAATGACCGCAGAGCTTTTTGGTACAAAGAACTTTGGAGTTAACCACAACATTGTTATCGTAAGCATTCCCATTGGATCTTTTTCTTTTGGGTCATTAGCCGCTAAAGGTTACCGCGACGGAGCAACCTTCTCCGAAGGTCTAGACGGCAAGTGTTTTGGGATGTATTGCTTTCAAACCACTTTGATTTCTTGGGGAATGTTCTGTTCTATCGCCGCCGTTCTTGCCACCGTTTTATATCTACGGAACCGCAAGTTCTACTGGCACAAGCCGTAGAAGAAAGAGAAGAAGAAGAAACACACAACAAGTTTTGAAAGAGAAAACGCATCGTGTTTTCTTGCGGTTGGTTATTCACGCAAGCTTTCACTTTCATCCAACGACGCAAATGTTTTTTTTGTATAGTTTGCGTTTTACTTTAAACCGATGTAAACCGGTTAAAGAGTAACAACTAAAATTTTGTATATGGGTTGTAGAAACACGCAATACAAAAATAGATACGATAACTAAAAGGATGTAAATTCAGATTTCTTTTTCAAGATCCTTTTTAATTGTTAAAGTTGTACGATGGAAAATTCTTGTTTTTTCTTTTGCTAAATTAATGTAAGACCATGTACGACTGTTGAAGAAAGTAAAACGACTTTGTTTGGGTATAAGTGGAAAATATGACTTGACGAAGTTTCGGGTGAGTCCAATTAATATATCACAACATAATATTCTGTTGGTAGTTCATGTTGTGTAATTGGTTTGATCGTGGGTCCATGAATTTTGATCACGCGGCTGTTATTTTAAGTGAATTTAATTCCAAAATTTTATGGGACCCTAACAATAATCAATAAACTCTCACCTAAATCAAAATATTTTGTGTTACTCTATGCTGTCCATATATTTGATTTCATAAAGTGATTAAACATTTTCGTGAGATCGATACGACGTGAACGTATTCACCTACAAAACGGCCACATATACCAATATATGGTGGAGATAGAGACATGCATGGTTTCCGCAGAATTAAAGATTGAACTTCATACCTACATATTATATGTCATAAATCATTTTTGATTCTACGTATAAACGCAATTTATATAAATATTTGAGGTCACAAATAGCGCTTCGTTTGATAGCTGAAATTCGAAAAAGTTTTGACTTTCAGCACAAAGTAATAAGATACACAGATTTTCTTTTGACACTGATCGACTTGTTAAAAAATAACTCACATCTCATATCTAAATTAAAGTAATATATAAATCCATTCATTGTCAATAGATGTTGAAGAAAAATAAAGTCAAGAGTTCCAATATCTTGAGAAAATCAGACATTACGTACTAGTATTTTTTCAAAATATTTAACAGCATGTAGAAATATACATAGAATGTGTTACATACGTGCAAAAGACCTGGAGATTTATTTCTATTATGTTGTCATTATCGATGGTTAAGTCCACGGAACAATTTATAATAAATGACATGCACCGTACGTGGTCAGTTGGGAGACCCGGCCGGTCTAGCACTCATAATTTTGAACAAGACCTAATGTTCAAATTGCATGCCGGCCTATGACCAACAGTCTAAAGTACTAACCAAATTGCATGCCGGCCTTCGTGTAGAATCACAAATTATACTAGAAACTTTGTTTTTTTTTTGTTGATAACCAAATTTTGCTTTAAATGTTAAAAAGGTTAGAGAAGGTAGGTTCTACCGAGAATTGAACTCGGGTTACTGGATTCAGAGTCCAATGTCCTAACCGCTAGACCATAAAACCATTTGTTTATACTAGTAACTTGAGGTTCCATTAACGGAATTATATGTTTCATTATTTTTTTACGGTACAAATTTAAGAGGAGTTTCTTTAATTCGTTTGCTTATTTAAATATGAGTGTAATTTTTTAAATATTTTAATATTAATGATTTGCATTTGAGAGTTAAAAATGCGACGTTCTTATTATCTTTGAAAGTATCATGTGTTTCCAAATTGCCGAGACATATAATTCATCAAGAAAACGTTTTTTATATCCAGTCAACTACATTATTACTTACAAAATGTCATCGTAATACAGGAAGAAAAAACTGTTACTTTTTTAAAACCATTTTTAGTTTAAAATTCTTCTGTTTTTGACTATTAATTTTAGTCAACATCTTCTGTTTTTTTCTGACTATGCTAGTTATATCTTTAATTAGACTACAAGATTTAAATCTCCTTTCTTTCTTTCTTTCTTTCTTATCAATTTGTTTTTCAGTTTCAGGAAAAACAGACTTGCAGATGAAAGAACAGCATGTTACATACAGAAACCAACTCAGTCCAACAACAAAAATCAATGTTCAATCCCTTATAAATAATTAACTAAACACATTTGAAATTCATCAACAAATTAAAGAAGAAACAACAATTCAAGATAATTTTCACAATGTGTCTATCTAAAGCCATAGTTCTTGGTCTCTTCATCGCAACACTCACATCTTTGTGCAATGCGGCCGCAAACGTCACAGCAAAGCCACTATTTCCAGCGATTTTAATGTTCGGCGACTCAACCGCAGACACAGGCAACAACAACTACCATTTCCAGGCCGTATTCAAAGCTAAGCATCTCCCTTACGGTGTTGATCTTCCCGGCCGCGAAGCTAACGGAAGATTCTGTAACGGAAAGCTAATCTCTGACGTCATCGCCACCAACCTCAACATCAAAGAGTTTGTTCCTCCGTTTCTACAACCGAACATCTCCGACCAAGACATTGTCACCGGAGTCTGTTTCGCATCCGCGGGTGCAGGCTACGATGACCGGACCTCGCTATCGAGCAAGGCTATCCCGGTCTCACAACAACCGAGCATGTTCAAGAATTACATCGCTCGTCTCAAAGGTATCGTGGGAGAGAAGAAAGCCATGGAGATCATTAACAACGCTTTAGTTGTCATCAGCGCAGGGCCCAACGATTTCATCTTGAACTTTTACGATCTCCCCACGAGGCGTCTCGAGTACCCTGATATCAATAGTTACCAAGACTTTGTGCTCAAGAGGGTTGAGAGTTTTGTTAGGGTAATGTCTTACTCTCATATGCTTTTGTTTCTCTCTAGGTTTAAAGACCAGTCTTTGATATTTCTTCAAGCTATTTTTCATATTTGATCAACTAATCTTTTCCTCTTGCGTGTACAGGAGCTTTACAGTTTAGGTTGCCGGAATATTGTGGTCGGAGGGTTGGCGCCGATGGGATGTTTACCGGTGCAAATGACGGCTAAATTTAGAAACATTTTTAGATTTTGTGTGGAACAAGAGAACAAAGACTCCGTTGTGTACAATCAGAAACTCATCAAGAAACTGCCTGAGATTGAAGCGTCTCTTCCGGGAAGCAAGTTTCTTTACGCTAACGTGTACGACCCTCTCATGGATATGATCAAAAACCCTAGAAAATACGGTAATATACGATTTTCTTCCTTGTTTTCCCAAAGTAATCTAAAAAATCTTGTCTTATTAAATCATGCATTATATACTTATCATCTTAAAAATGAAAATAGGGTTTAAAGACACGAAAAGAGGATGCTGCGGAACAGGGTTCTTGGAAACGAGCTTCCTGTGCAATGTTCTTTCAAAGACTTGTAGTAATCATGCGGATCACTTGTTTTGGGACTCAATTCATCCCTCGGAAGCTGCTTACAAACACCTTGGCAGCTTTGTGGATGCTCAGATCCGAGATTGGGTTAAGGCTTAAGTAATTGACCATACCACACATATTCTTACGGCGCCCCTATGGAGATCTATTTATCCCAATGGGTGCATTGTATTGAACTATGGTTGTATTCTCTTATATTATTAAAACCTAAGATACAAAATCTTCCAATATTACAATTTCTATTTTTATTTTGCATTGGCTCTACCCAGAAATTTTTATACGTAATCATGAAGTGACCTAGATTGGCAAAGCTAACAAGAAAGATTCAGTGAATAGCTAGTATAGTTACACACTTACACGTTGAATGCACATTGTTTTAATCATGATCAAACACTCTTATACATGGTCATTGATCTTTAAATTTAATGTAGAGTTTTTATAGATGAGGCATATACCACTCCTTTTATTTATTTATTTATCTGTCTGACGCACCTGCGTATATGATAGAATCTACAAACCAGAATTTATATATTAAACATGAGCGATTGCTACAAAAATTAGGGCATCCAATGAATAATAGTCGGAAACACCATCGTCTCTTATTAGGGTTTGGTGTTTTTCTCTCGAAGATGTTTTCCAAAATTAGGGCAAAGAAGGAACAACCATCGGAACCACCGTTTCTGTTACTTCCCGTAGACATCATCCTTGACATCATAGCGCGTGTTCAGAGAAGTTACTATCCAACACTCTCCCTCGTTTCTAAGCACTTCCGGTCACTTGTTACGTCACCTGAGTTATACTCAAGACGATCACTGTTGGGCTGCACCGAACACTATCTCTATATTGCCCAATGCCCACCATAATTGGCAAAACGGTCAAGACGGTCTCCGTTGGTATACTTTCTGCGGGAAACCCAACGGTAATCGCCGCTGGGTCTTGATCCCGATCCTGCCGTTTTCCGCTATTGAGGTTCCCTGAAAGCATTGTCGCGGTAGGCTCAAAGATATATGTGTTTGGTAAGATTAGCCCTAACAATATGGCATTGCATGCCATCGATTGTAGATCTCACACGGTGCAAATCCTACCCAGCGTGCCTATACCCATTTTTCGTTCAGTCGCTGGCATAATTGATGGGAAAATATATGTAACTGGATATTACCATTACGATCATGACTTGAAGAAGGTACTCAGGATGGTGGTGTTCAATACAGAAACACAAATGTGGGAGCCAGAGATGATAGAGGCAGACACAGAGGCAGAGCCAAAGAGGATGTATTGTGGTAGTGTTGTGATGGGTGATAACATATACATGAGGGATTGTCTGAATAGCTTTGTTTACGAGTAAATTGGAAGTTGACGAGATGCTGAATTCTAAGAATTGGACGGATGCGTGTGTGGTTGATGATGTATTGTACTACTACGATTGTGATGAGAATAAGTTAAGAAGGTATGATCCAAAGAAGAGGTGTTGGGGGGAGTGGTTAATGGTTTGGAAGACTTGTTGGCTAAGACAAGAGTTTCACGGTGGTCAAGGACAGTGAGTTACGGTTGGAAGCAGCGAGACCTCAATCTGAAGTGCATTAAACTTTAGATTTTTCTCAGATTCAAAGTGATTAGAAAAAAATAATCAATCATAAAATAATTTGTCAAAATTGCATAAATGTAATGTGACTAATGCAGAGCTTGATGCACAGGTTCTGAAACAGAACCAAACTCTCCATCATTCTCCGTCTTCCTCGTGTTAACTCTCAGCTTCGATCTCCACTCATTCCAACCTCTCCTCACATGTTCCAAATCCTCATCGATCAAACCATCGTTCTTCTCCAAATGCTCCAACCACTCTTTCCATGGAGCTTCCTCAGAATCCAAGAATCTACTCACCTGTGGAACCAACACCGCCCTGTAAAACTCTTCTATCTCCTTATTCACTTCCTCTGACTCTCCCATTGCTTCAATCTCCGGCCTCTGGAACTTCCCCGGAACTTTACGCACTTGGAAACTGTTCCCTCTCAAGATCAGTACCTCAGATGGAGCCAGAGGCAAAACGATTCTTGTGAACTTGTTGAGAGATAGTCTTATGATGTCTCTAGGAAGCAGCTCTCTCTTCACTGCCACAGCTGTTCCAATCATCTTCCGTATCTAACTCCAAAAAAAAAACCTTTTTTTAGTTACACTCTTTACATAACCAAACTAAGTTTTTTGAAGAAAGAAACGATTGTATGTGTGTGTGTATTACCTGATGTAACATGAATGATTCACCCCATATGGAGATCTCCACAAAGCCAAATCCAAGTGAATTCTCAAGCTTCCCGCAACGACACTGAAACACTTTTCTGAAATGAGCTGCGCTCAGCTTATCAGACTCATCTGGCTCGTATAGCCATTTTGCACGAATGTACGCTTGAGAGTTATCAGAATCAGGAACATGTTCTTTACATTCACCCTCTGCTTCTTCTTCTTCTTCTCCTTCCTCTTCTTCTTTAACTTCTTCTTCTTTTTCCTCAGTAAACTCTGATTCTGATGCTTTGATTGATTTTGGTTTCTTTGGAGGGCGTCCGTTTCTGTGGGACAACTTTTGTTGAGCTTTCCTTCTGTATTTTGACCGCTGTGTGTAGTTATGGAAAGGATAATCACCCTACAAGAAACAAAAAGAAACAGAGCCAATGAAGCAAGAACGGCAACAAGCTTCCGCTTGAAGTCTCTGAAACATATGCAAAGCTTTCTCTCACCTCGAATTCTTTTAAAATCTCGTTGAAATCCGAAATGTGATGCTCAATCTCATCTGGAGTGAAGCTATTCTTGACTCCAATAACATCAACAGGAAGGAGATAAGAATACATCCGAAGTGTACACTCCCTTCTAGGATCAAATCTCCTGTGAAGAAGATGCAAATATACTCTCTGTCACTTTTTCAAAACATTAAGAGAATCAACATTTGTACACCAAAACAATAGAGTCACTCTCACCTTTGTGATGGTAAAACGCTGAAAACTCTGATATTCTGAGGAAGATGTTTGCTGATGCACTTAGCAAGAAGAGTGCCGTGAGGATCATCCTTCCAAGCAGTCTCAGGGATCTCCATTTTCAGCGATATTGTCGTTGCCAGAGAATGAACCTGAAACACAAACGACAATCAAACACAGAGCACATAGTGAATCTATACATTAGAAGAGAGAAAGTAAAAAAAAAAAAAAAAGCTTACTCCTTTGTCGGTTCGGCTACTTCTAGCCCAACCAATCTTATGAAGATCACCAAAGTTACTATCTAGAATCCCACCGGACTTGTGTATAGCAACCTCTAATTCACCCTCAATAGCTACATTTCAAAGGGGATTTTGAGCTTAATTTACCATAATAGTCTAAAGGTTTAGGGTTTATGCTGAGATTCACTGTGGAGTGGCAAAACTTGCAACTTTCAAATGGGAAAAATCCAAACTTTATTAGACGGAAAGAAAGAGAGAGAGAGCTTAGACTTACTTTTAAGAGCAGGATCGTCTCTTTGAATCTGCAAACCTGAATAGGGAGAACAAAATCACAAACGGGGCATAGAAGAACTGCGCAATTAAAGATCAAAATCAATTCGGGAAACTAGAAAATGGTACCTCTGTAATCGGTACCGACGTACCCAATCCGAATGACGACTTTCTTCTTCCGATATGATTCCCATTTATCGGCGAGATTATTTGAAGAAGAAGGTGAGAGGGAAGTGGATTGCTGGAATGCGGCGGAGGAAGAGATCCGTACTAACGCCGGTGTGACCCGAATGAGTCGGGTCGGATACGAGAGGACCCGCGAAGAAATTGGAAATCGGAGAAACGAGACCGCCATGAGAAATGGTTCTCTTCTCGCACCGGAGAGACTAGAGAGCGTCCCAAGCTAAAAGCTAGGAGTTCCGGTGATTCCTTCTTTCAACTACCCGCCGTTTTTCGTAATGATAGAAACAACGCGCAGTTTTTAAATAAATATTGATAACATCAAGACGTTGGCAAAGGTGTTGGTGCTTTTTTTGTAGTACTTGATTTTGAAATCAGAACCATAGTTTTAACCATGAGAAACAAAAATAGACGTTGTCTTAACTATGATGAATCAATGATCACATACGTGTGGAGAAGGCAAATTTCTCACATGACCAATCTCTCTCTATCTTCCATTATATAATTGCTAATTAACTTGGATGAAATTTGTTTTAATCCATATGTCCTCCTGTAAGGTGCATGTGTTAGTTTTTGGAGAGAGCCATTGTGCTTTCATATATACTAGTAGGATTATCTGTTTAAATTATCCATGATCATCAAATATAGTTTTTTATTCAGATATGTTATATTGAAAAGAGATATATTATGGATGATTAGTTAAAATATGAAATACATCTCTTAAGGTGCAAATTTTCAAAACTACACTTATAGTGTGGAAATTTTCAAAAATACACATTTCCCCAATTTTAATATATATGTTTGGGTTCACTAATCCTAGATTAGGGTTTAGATTTTGGAATTTATGGTTTAGATTTAAGGGTTCAATGTTAGATTTTAGGGTTTTGGATTTATATTTTAGGGTTTAGAGTTCTTTTACTAAATGAAAAAAATGTAGTTTTGAAAATTGGCACTATAGAGGTGTATTTTTGAAAATTGACAATTAAGAGGTGTAGTTTTGAAATTTCCCCTCAGACAAGGTCATTGTGTATAACTAATTTCTTTCATATATGAAGAAGGAACGAAAAAGTAACACCAATAGTCACTAGGAATTATCCAAATCTTCACATCCCTAAAGGGAAAAGGATTTAGCTGAAACGATACGTCGGGCTCTCTATATAAACACCTTACTGCCCTCTCAAACTTCACACCAAACAAACTCAAAACTTTATAAACCTCTTTCAAAGTTATCGTCTTTTTGCTCTGCCTTATTCTCTCGTTCCAAGAAGAACTAAAATATTGATCATGGCTTTGATCAAGAGCAAATCCTTCTTCAAGTCCTTGCTGATTCTTGTGGCACTTTTTGGAGCTGCCGTTGGAGGAACCGTTCACAAAGTCGGCGACTCAAAGGGATGGACGATGATGGGTGCGGATTACGAGGCTTGGGCTTCTTCAAGAACGTTTAAAGTCGGAGACTCTTTGGTCTTTGAATACGACAACGAGTACCACGACGTCACTGAAGTCACTCCTAATGATTTCGAGCTCTGTGAACCGTCTAGTCCGCTAGCGACGTACCGAACCGGTTCTGACACGGTCAGTCTAACCAAACCGGGAATCCGAAACTTTATATGTGGAACTCCTGGACACTGCAAGATAGGTCAAAAGCTTCAAATCCTCGTCTTACCAGCCTCGTTGGGTCCCGTTGCAGCTCCGGTTCCTAGATCGGTCCAATCAAGAAGCTCGTCCTCGTCTCCTTCACCGTCACCGTTTGCTGATTCACCGGATAACAATGGTCCACAGTACCAGATGGGACCATCATCACCATCACATTCACCAGCTCCCGTTCCTAGATCGGTCCGATCAAGAAGCTCGTCCTCGTCTCCTTCACCGTCTCCTTTGGCTGATGCACCAGTTAACAATGGTCCACAGTATAAGATGGGACCATCACCAGCTCCACAAAGCGCAGCTTCAAACCCTAGTGTTTGGATTGGATTCTACTCAGTGCCGTGCGAAGGTTAACTCGGGCTCATGGCAAACTTAAAAATAGGGGCCCCTATAAATTTATAAATTCTCACAATTTAAGTCAATTCCTTTCATGATTTGTGATTCAGATTTTCGGTTTGGTCCTTTATGATATTAAACTCACCTGGTTTGGTTAATTTCGTTTTCCTTTGTGAAAAAACCAAAAAGAAAAACAAAAAAAGTGTATACCTAGACTCGAACTCAGGTTTTGTCCCCCTTTGATAAGATGTCAATGCCACTACGCTACTATAAGTTTACTTAAACTGGAGGCCCCTATAAATATATATACTTTGGGGGCTCAGTGCAAATGCACTTTTCTTAACATATGGAGCACGGCTCTGATCCTACTTCCTAGTTTCTTTACTTTCTCTTTTCATCTTAGTTTGATAGATTCTCACACACGTTTGGTTATACTTCTTTGTTTTTATTTTCTTTAATTATTTAATTTTTATACCTTTCAATATAATAATAAATATAAATAGATTCAATTTGTTTTTTCTTATGCTTGATGTTGTTCTTGGTTTTAACTTGAGAGGAGAGATAGCCAACATTCACGTACCTTTAGCCTAGCATGCGTTCAGGCAACAAGCTCAACTCATCATAGCTTTGAGTATTAACAGTTTATACGATGTGCAGAAACAAGTTGGGCTTGCCTCAACGGCGAGCAAAGAACGTGAACACCAATACACAATTTTGCCACATAAAAGGCATATAGCAGTGCCGGTAAAGCAAAAACCATAACAAGCTTGTAAAAAAAATGGTGCAGGAAGCTTTTTTTTTTTTGTCGACAGCCTCTATTTCTAAACCAGTTCGGGAATCCAAATTGGCGAAACAGAGTTTACATAATACACATCAGTAGGTAGAGCTCGAGCACTCCGTGCTAACTTGTCTGCCTTCGTGTTTTTCGTCCTAGGTATGTGCGCGATGGAGAAGGAGGTGAACCTCCGTTTACACCGGTCAACCTCGTCAAGAAGTATTGCGAACGCTGGCCACTCCTCTGGCGTAGACACCATCTTCACCACATCAGAGCAATCCGTCTCAAATCGCGTTAGCAATTTATTATGCCGCAGCATACAATGCATGGCCCAAATAAGTGCCTCCAACTCCGTTTGGAGGGGCGATATTCCCCTTCTCAAGTTACGAGTTCCCATTAGCTTTTCCTGAGTATTCATGTTCAAATAAAACCATCCTAGCCCAGCTCGACTCTCTGTCTCCTTCCAGGCCCCATCTATTTGACAAATATCACCCGTTCTAGGGGATTCCCCTGAGGTTGTCAGTGGTGGACATAGCATTACATTTTTTTCCTGGGCGGTTACCCATGCCGAAGATTCCGCTGTTGCTTTGATTATTATTTCATTTGGATCCCAGTCCACATTCGCCATAACCTTATCATTTCGTGATTTCCAGATATACCAAATTAACCAAGGATACATCCGCATTCTATCATCGTCTGGCAAATTCCAAAAAAGATATGCCATGTTTGCAAACAAACTTCCTGTAGGGAAACGCTGTGGAGCCGTTGGAATTGGAGATAGAGCCCAAACTTGCAGTGCCGGTGGGCATTCAAACAGTGTGTGGTTCACTGTTTCTGCCGCCATTCCACACCGCATACATTGTGGGTCTATCTGCATACCGCGACTCTGGAGTCGCGCCCCTACCGCTATGCATCCCGTCAAAGCTTGCCAAATAAAATGCTGTAATTTCTGAGTACATTGTACCTTCCAAACCTGTGCTTGAAGACGCCGTGTGTCCGGACCAATAAAGATGGGCCCATCAGCGTCCAAGCTTTGTTGCAGAATCTTGTAACCCGACTTCACCGTATATCTTCCCGTCTTCGTAAAAAACCATCCCATGGAGTCTGGTCGAGCGACATGTGAGGTTGGGATCCCGAGAATTAGTGATACATCCATACTGTCAAACAATTGATTCAATAGTGGTAAATTCCACGTTGTTGTACTGGGATTAATCAACTCGCTCACCCGGAAGTGAGGGTAGTAATTGATCCCATCTCCTGTGGCTGGCCTCGGGGTAGAAGCTGGAATCCAGGGATCATCCCAAACAGAGATAGATGTTCCTGAACCAACCCTTTTGATAAGTCTTTTTTGGTGCAGGAAGCTCTCTCCCCAAATTCTTTTAAAACTTCGTTCAAATCTAAAATGTGAAAGAAAAAAAAACGAAATTATGAAGGAAATCAAGAACTGATCAGTGTTTTTCATTTTCTGGTAATAAATAGTGATGTTTTCTAGTTGGTGTGTAACTAATCAATGAATGAACAAGTGAGCCATAGAAATTAGCAATTTAACAATGATCCATATACTGCTGCAAAGAAAACTCTCATCTAGGCGTCTGGGTACGTAAACCTCAACAAAGAAATTTCATTAATATAAAACAAAACAAAGCACAGTTTACAGTAAAACCTCTATAAAACAATACTCGATAAAACAATAAACACTATAAGATAATAAATTTCTCCGGTCCCAACTCGGGTCAATGTAAAAATAGCATAATGCGATAAGAAGATAAGACAATAATATTTTTGAAACTCCTATGTAAAAATATAGTCCCAACAATAGGCAAATACAATAATTATAAAACTAAGGCATATATATCTAAGGCAATTTAGTAAAATATGACTCCAATGTAGTTTGTCTTTTATGAAAGTTGGATTCTCGTTGGAGCTCATCTCGAATTTTTCTTATTGCATCAACAATTTATGGGGCCAAAAGTTGTGAAGAGTTTTCGAAGCCACAATTGATTCCTTGCGTGTACCTACTTACATATATTTCTATAAAGTTTCTTGTTTTTTATAGAATATTTTTATAAAATAATAATTTATCGATAAAACAATAACTCTATAAGATAATAAATTTTCAAAGTCCCAACATTATTGTTTTATAGAGGTTTTACTCTATATGAAATAGAGTTTCAGCATCAAACCATAACAGCTACTTTTACCAAGAGAAAATTATAAGGAATCCTATTATGATCACACCACTCAACTTTACCCCAAATATCCCCTCCTTGTCTTCTTTCGAACAAAATCTCCGCACACCGAATCCTATTTCTTATATTCTTCCCGTAGAAACCTTCTTCTAATAATATAAAAAAGCAAAGCAAGTTTCCCACCGTAACTCACAGTCAGTGACAACCTTGAACCGCTCGCCTCAGCCCACATATCTTCCAAACCGTTCACCACTCCCCAACACCTCTGCTTTGGATCATACGCTCTAAACATTTTCTCATCTGTATCGTAATAGTACAATACGTCATCGACCACACACGCACTCTTCCACCTCTTAGAATTCAACATGTCTTCAGTTTCCCATTTACTCTTCTCTGGGTCGTAAACAAAGCTGTTATCATCATGATCTCTCATGTACAACTTATCAGCCATCACCACCACATTACAAGCCCACGTGAGGCCTAGCTCAACGTCAGGCTTTATAATCTCTGGCTCCCACATTTGTGTTTCTGTATTGAACACTACCATCCTCAGGACCTTCTTCCTGTCATAATCGCAATATCCAGTTACATATATTTTCCTATCGATGAAGTTAGCGACTGTATCAGTCAAGTTTATAGGCATGCTCGGGAGGGGTTGCACCGTGTGAGATCTACAGTCGATAGTTAAGGCACTCGATGTCATATTGATATCCTGATGGCTATATATAATTGCTAGTAAACACAAATATCTTCGAGTCCACCGCGACATACGTTCCATTGCTAGGCATAGCGGGAAGCGAAGGGATAAGAAACAAGCCGTTTGTTTTCCGGCGGAAAATATACAAACGATGGTCAAAGAGGACAACGTAGAGACATTGTTCGGTGCATCCCAACAAGGATCGTCTCGCGTATAGCTCAGGCGACGCAACAAGTGACCGGAAGTCCTTAGAAACGAGGGAGAGTGTTGGATAGTCGCATCTCCGTATGATGTCCACGATGACGTCTTCCGGAAGTGACATAGTCAGAGGCGGTGCTTCTGTTCCTTCGATGCCCTAATTTTGGTAGACATCCGTTCCCGTTTATATAAGACCTAATGTTGGCACGGTTTGGTTGTTCTTTTTTTTTGGGTTACGACTTACTTGGTTTTATAAAAACTAAAAAAAGTGGAAACCCTCCGGTTAAGTTTGTGAACCGTAAACCATAGCTGTGTGGGTTTCCCCAAGCTATATTATTCATCGTGTAACAAACTAAAACTACATTATGAACAATAAGGTTATCAAATTATTTGGGTACGAGTAGCAGAAACAAGTAGGGTTTCACTCAACAGCAACAGCAAGCAGAGAAAGTGATCAAGAGTATAAATGGTGTGTGGAAAGGATATAGGCATAAAGCAGTAACCGTTTCAAGATTTGCTTGAATTCTCTGAAACTAAAAGAAACGATGCAGAAAGCGCTCACCTCAAATTCTTTTCAAACTTCGTTGGAATCTAAAATGTGAAAAGCGAAATTAAGAAAGAAATCAAGAACCGACAAGGTCTCGATTGTTTTTCAAATTCTGATCAATGTTTCCAATAAAAAAAATGATATTTCAGTTGGTGTGTAAGTGTAACTATAATCAATCAATGAACAAGAGAGCTTAAAACTGCCATTAGTTGCAGCCTTAGTTGCTTCATCCCCATTGATCTTTGTTGGTGCCAGCTTCCATCTACTATCTAGGAGATACCTTGATTTATGATATTGAAAACACACAAAAAAAAGAGTACAGATCTTGAGACATGACATAACCAATTAGCAATGTGGCAATGATCTAGAATGCTCGAAGAAAACTCTATAAATCTCAACAAAGAAATTTCAAATTTCCAAAACAACAAATAAAAAGATAAAACCAAACACACTTTATGAAATATAGTTTCAGCATCAAAGCATAACAGCTAGAGATTTTACTAAAGAAAAATTCCCAGCAATCATAACATGATCACACCACTCAACTTTACCCCAAATCTCCCCTCCTTGTCTTCTTTCCAGCGAAATCTCCATACAAAAAATCTCAGTTTTTCTTCCTTGCAGTTGCTGTTGTAGAGAAACCAGCACCGATAGTGCTTAGCACTAGCCCAAGACCGTAATACCCGAGAAACCCGAAAGAAACAATAAACCCTCTAAGTATGAAGAGAAATATGGAAGAACACAAGAGAATACTTGAAAGACTTTTAAGAAGAACAAGAGAGAACTTAGCTTTAGAACACTCTTTATTAACTTGTTCAATTTCTTGTGCATTTACAAATGAGGGGGTGAGGAGGTATTTATAGCCTCCCAAATCTACTTACAAAGTTTCTACACTCTTCTATAACCTCCTTAGGTCCTAGATATTTCTTCTTCTTCTTCTACAACTTTCTACAAATTATCTTACAAGTTTATCCTAATCTCTAGAACTCTCTAACATAATATCTAGATTTCTTGTCTTACAAGAACTAGAAAGTTCTACATAAATATCTAGAGAGTTATCTAGTAGAATTCTCTAGAAAATTTGAGGAAGTGATGACCTCTTATGATGTTTCTAGAGAGTTCTAGAACTTGGGCCTAATTTTGGGTTTAATAATAATTTGTTTATGGACCCAAAATTAAACCTTGATCAAAATCAAGTTTAATTTCAATACTCCCCCTTAAACTTGATTTTATCAACCATCCCGAGTTTCGAGCGAAGTAACTCGAACTGACCTTTTGGTAGTGACTTGGTGAAGATATCTGCAACATTATCCTCACTTCGAACCTCCAAAGCTTCAATTGTTCCATCAAGCACCTTCTCCCGTATGAAGTGATGTTCCAACTCAATATGCTTCGTCCTTGCATGGAACACCGGATTGTTAGCCAGCTTGATAGCACTTTGGTTATCTCCATATATGGCAACCGGCTTGTTGATTGGCTCAAACAAATCTTCAAGAAGCCTTCGAAGCCAAATACACTCTTGGGCTGCGAGCGTCGAAGCTTTATACTCCGCTTCAGTGGTAGACAGCGACACCGTTGCTTGTTTCTTGCTGCACCATGAAACGCTTGTGTCTCCACACAAGAACACAAAGCCCGAAGTTGATTTTCGACCATCTAGATCTCCACCAAAGTCAGCATCCGTGAAGCCATAGAGAGAGACCTTGGCATTGTACTTGTACATTAGACCCATGCCAAGAGTTGTCTTCACATACTTCAAGATCTTCTTTGCCGCTTCTAGATGTGGCTTCCTTGGTGACTGCATAAACCGACTTACAAGACCAACCGCGAAGGAAATGTCAGGTCTTGTAATGGTTAAGTATAGAAGACTTCCCACAAGAGAACGATAAGGCCGAGGATCGGGTAGCAAGGATCCTTCATCGCGCTTCAGCTTGATGTTCGCATCCATCGGAGTAGTACGTGTCTTTCCTTCGTGTACCCCGAACTTCTCTACAATCCTTCTTGCGTAGCTATGTTGGCCGATGAATATTCCATCCTTCATCCTTTCAACCTCCAAACCAAGAAAGTTGTTCAGCTCACCCAACATCTTCATCTCAAACCTTATCGACATATCCTCTTGCAGACGAGCAATTTCCGCTTCATCATTCCCGGTAATTATCAAGTCATCCACATAAAGAAGGACTACCACGTGGACTCCTCCATTCTTCTTGAAGAACAGACTCGGATCAGAGTTCGACGGAGAGTAACCGCAAAACTGAAGAAACTGAGCAAGCTTTCCATACCAGGCCCTTGGAGCTTGTTTTAACCCATACAAAGCCTTCTTTAGCTTGCAAACATAATCGGGATGCTCTTGTGATATGTAACCAAGTGGTTGCTCCATATAGATTTCTTTATCAAGTTCTCCGTATAGAAAAGCGTTCTTCACATCTAACTGCCATAACTTCCAGCCAAAGCTTGCAGCTAAAGATAAGAGTGTACGTACCGTAGTCATCTTCGCCACTGGACTGAAAGTCTCATCATAGTCTTCTCCATACTTCTGAGAAAATCCCCGAGCAACCAATCTTGCTTTGTGTCTATCAATGTTTCCATCCCTCTTACGCTTGATCCGGTACACCCATTTGCATGAGACGGGTTGGACATCCTTGGGTTTTGGAACCAAATCCCAAGTTTCATTTTTCTTTAGAGCATCCATCTCCTCCTTCATTGCGGTCTCCCACTCTTTAACTCCTTTTGCTTCATCATAAGATGATGGTTCTTCTTCATCAAAAGGAGATGCAAAGTAGCATGAGTAAGTAGTAACAAACCTTTCATCTCTGTACCGAGCAGGTTTAACGATGTCCCGTTTTGGTCGTTGATTAGCCAAGGAACCATGATCTTCCTCCTCCTCTTCCTCTTGGTTAGTGCTCCCCCTTTCACCTTGCATCTCTGGTTCAGAAATTCCACCATCACTTGGTATCTGAGCAGCTGGTTCATCGTCTTTAAGTGAGCCCGCACCATCTTGCTCAACCAAGACTTGAGGAGATCCGTAATATGAAGACACTTCATCAAAGACAACATCACGAGATACAGTGTATCTGTGTGTCTCTGGATCCATACACCTCCACCCCTTCCTTTGTTCATCATAGCCGACAAAGATGCACTTTTTCGCCTTTGCCTCCAGCTTGGTTCTTTGAGAGTCGAACACATGGACATAGCAGATAGATCCAAATATCCTGAGATGTTTCACTGTTGGCTTCTTCCCATGAACCATCTCATAAGGAGACTTCATATTATTTGGACTAAGCGGCATCCGATTGATGACATAGGCTGCACATCTCATCCCTTCTGCCCATAGAGCCTTAGGCAAATTCTTCGCATGTAGCCAGCTTCTACACGTCTCACTTAGATGCCTTATCTTCCTTTCTGCTACTCCATTTTGTTGAGGTGTGTATGGACATGAAAATTCTCTCTTGATACCATGCTTTCGGCAGAAAGAGAGAAACTCGTTTGACATAAACTCCCCTCCATTATCCGTCCTTAAGGTCTTGATTTTCCGACCCAACTCTCCTTCCACGGTAACCTTGAATTCTTGAAACTTGGAGAATACTTCTGACTTTTCCTTCACAAAGTATACCCAGGTGTACCGTGAGTAATCATCAACGAACAACAGCATGTAGCGGAACCCGGAATAGGAGGATGTTCTCGTCGGACCCATCAAATCACTATGGATCCTCTCCAACGGAGCATTGCATCGTGAAGTAGAATTGTCAAATGGAAGTCTATGTGATTTTCCATATTGACAACCTTCACAAAGCTTTCCTTCATCTTGAATCTTCAACTTTGGGAGCCCATTAACCAGATCTTTATTCACCATAGCCTTCAGCTTAGTCATATTTATATGGCCAAGCCTAGCATGCCAAATAAAAGCATTATCATTCGTACTCATCTTCTCAATGTACGAATTTGAGGCCGATAAGACATAAAGATCTTTAACCCGTGCTCCGGTGTGAACTACGTCCGCCTTTAACTCTTGAATATTCTTCAAGAATTTAACGTCTTTTGGTCCAAATAAAACGTAGTTACCTGAGTCCACCGCATTCACCACGGAAAGAAGATTCTTCTTAACTCCAGGGACATGGTATACGTTCTTGAGAGTGATTGGGCCTCCTTCTTCTCCTTCAATAACAATAGTCCCTTCCTTCTCAACCCGGTGGATTGAATTATCCGCAGTGATAATAGCTTCTTTCCCGTCATGACGTTGAAGACTAGAAAATAACTTCTCGTTTCCGGTAATATGATGGCTACAACCCGAATCCACAATCCAATCATTTCCAAGATTTTTAGTTGTGGATGTACCTGAAGATGCAGCCTCCACCGTGAAACATTTCCCCCAATCTTCGTCTTCAGTATGACTTTTTGATTCCGCCATATTGGTTTCCTTCAGCTTGACCCGACAGTCCTTTTTGAAATGCCCAAGCTTTCCACACCGGTAACACTTGAACTGCTTCTTGTCTCCCGTAGAAGATCTTTCCCGTCCATCATTATTCTTTACACCATCATTCTTGGTTTTTCCTTTGTAGCTCTGTTGCCTCCGAGCTACA